TTGACTAGTATTTCACCAATTCGTTTATCAGTGTTTCATTAAATAGCCTGAAGAATATTCAGTCTAATTAGCCAATTTGATTAAAAATGTATTATTAAAATATGTGATTCGGATCTATTAGCAATTATATAACCGAAAGGGGGTGCTCCAACGAATGCTTAGATATATTAAACGGGATATATGAATTATTTAATAATGTCGAGTTAATATAAAACTGGTTCTAGCACGTATGCGGTACTATAATATTATCATCTTAATCGAATCGCTCGATAAATAATCGCTTAATCGCCCGATCGATTTTCACCAATTAATTCCATGGCACACTGCTATACTTGTCGTCGCTCTCGTTAATTAATTACAACCATAATTATTTATGAAAAAAAAAAAAAAATAAAATAAAAATAAAAAAAAACATCACCGGTAACTCTTCTTCTTTTCCTTCTTTTTCTTCTTTTCTTCTTGTTTGTTTGTTTCTAGTATATAATCTATTATACTGCTCGAATTATTCGAAATGTAAACCGGCGAGATGGTAAATTCATTAACGCGAAATTCCGTAATTAATCTTAATTAGTATCGGCTGTCACCTTTGCAACGCACACTTCGACCACTAGAATTCCAGTAATTTCTTTTGCGGTCGTGCTATGTTGCACAAATCGCTCGGTATATAATACAAATGCAAGGCCTCCTTCAATTATTTCCCGCGATTCGAGTTCTATTATTCTTATTCTTTCGTTTTTAGCCGGTTAATTATCCGCTTTTCGACGGCACATTTCGGGTTTTTTTTAGGATGTCTTAGCCAGGTTTCTGGCTGAATGCGTACGAGGGAAGAGGCCGCTCTTGTAAGCCTAGTAACACTTTGAAGTTAGCTCTTAATCAAAAGCGTTTTTAGGCTCTAAATAGGTGTAGTCGCGAGGCCATAAACAGAAGAAAAAAGTTTCAGGTCTTTTACCCCTATAGGCATTTAGCCACTTGGATGTTAGCTTGGATATTAGAGAAAATGGTCTTGTACTATTGTGCATATACACTTTGCTCCATTTCCGTTTGCAATATGATCATTTCTATGAGTGAAACAAAGAAAGATTATTAAAATATCAGTTGTCAGAGTGAAAAGTTGCAATGACATAATGTCACTCTTTCTTTTTTCTTTATAACTGTCTAATTGAAGTTGTCTTTGTTGCACCCATAGCCTATGTTGCAATGAAAAATGGAGCAATCTGTATACGTCTAACGCGAAGTTAGTCATAAGGTTTCAAGCCTTTTACCCCTCTGGACATCCAGCTAGTTTGAGGTTAGTTGGCATTTGGAAACGGCCTTTTCCTATACAGTCAATCGAATAATGAAGTAAATCAAACAATCGAGTTTGAGTGAGCGTTTCGGCCTCGCCATTGTTCGAAGTTTTGTATATTTTTCATAGGAGTTTCCAGAACTGTAATTACGCATTCAATGGCTTGTTGTATTAATTCATACATCATAATACGGGTGAGTTTCTTATGCGCGTTATTAAACGGTATACGAGCCCACTTATATGCCTCGTCGACAGGTCGACAACTCGAAAAACGGACGAGCTCGTTTTCGCCTTCCTTTTTTTTTTTTTTTTTTTGTTTTCTTTCATTTTGTCTTCTTCTTTTTTTTTTAAGTGCGACCCACGCCGTTGAAAGTCTTCGGGGTTTCGTTCCGGCTACCCGGGTTCGAACCCCGGCACCGCCAAATTTTTTTTCTCGAAAATCTAAATTTGTATTAAACAGAGACACCTGCTAATCGATTGACAATTGACGTTTGTTTGACAATTAACGCTTGTTCGCATTGAAATATACAAGTTGCTCCATTTTTCATTGCAACATAGGCTGTAGGTGCGTTAAAGACAACTTCAATTAGACAGTTATAAAGGAAAAAGAAAAGTGATAATATGTCATTGCAACATTTCACTTTGACAACTGTTATTTTAATAATCTTTCTTTGTTCAACTTATAGAAATGCCCATGTTGCAATCGCGAATGAAGCACGGTGTATGCATATCTTTTGCGCATCCAAACGTCACTTGTCACCAGTCGAAATGTCATTTGTCAAAAACAAATCGAGCGCATCAGAGGTGCCGGTATAAACGATACAACGTTTAGCGTTTATTACATAATAAAGATAATTTCGGGTATCGGAGCGGCTCCATTAAAATCGAGCGAGAGAGATACCGTTCCGAAATATCGTCTAAATATTAATTCGACTGGAACTCACGACAGTTTTATTAGACGTTCGAAGGTGAAAAATCGATTAATTTAATAATGCTCGGACCACCAACGCGTCAAACGCAACTGTCCCAATCGAAGAAATATACCGTTTTCGTTTCGTTAGAAGAATATCGGAAGAAGAAGAAGAAGAAGAAGAGGAGATGTTGAAGAAGAAGAAGAAAAAAAACCAATCGAAACGCCTCCCGATTTCCAATAACCCATCCGGTTGATTTATTAATTAGCGTCGATTTGACGGCTGTAACGAAGCGCCACCCAAGTCGAATGTCACAATTCAATTTGGTTTAATTTAATTTGTAATAGAGAGAAGAAGATGATGATGATGATGGTGAAAAAATGCCGGTCGAATTGAATATGCGCGTTTCGTCCGAATCCGGAGTTTTACATGTGTCGTCGGCATTTTCGAAATAACTCGACGACGGGACGATTTGTTCGGTATCGTCGGAATTCGGGTTTAGATAACATTAAAAAAAATATATTTTTTTCGTTGAAAAAAAATGTTGAAAATTTATCGTTGTTTTCTTCGTCTATTCGTCAAATTCTCTATTCCTTGAATTGTCTATTCATCAAATTGTCTATTTCATTCTCGTATCTATTAATTTCATCAATAAATTTTATATAAAATGGCTCGTTTGGAACCGTTTTGGACCAGTTCTAATCCTTCCCGAAGCTTCCTAAATTGTTCTAAACAGATTCTAATTGGTTCTAAATAATTATAATTCTTTCTCAATCATTTCAAATAGTTCTGGACAGTTCTGATACGTTCTGAAACGTTCCGAATTGTTCGGGACGGTTTTAGCTCTTTTTTAAGATTCTTAAATATAGTTCTGGACAGTTCTGATTAATCCCGATGCCTTCTAAATTGCCCAGGACAATTTTAATAACTTTCTAATGCTTCCTAAATAGTTCCGGACAGTTCTAAATTGTCCAGGTCAGTTCATCTAGTTCATTGACAAGCTTACTAATTCGTTCTAAACACTTTAAATTCATCCTGAAGTATTTTAAAAGTTGTTCTAAATAATTATAAATCATTTTAAATAGTTCCGGTCAGTTTTGATTCGTCCTGAAGCGTTCTAAATGGTTCTAAACAATCGCGAAGGTTCCACTAAACAATCCTAATTCTTACTAAAACCGTCCAAATAGTTCCGAACTGTTCCAATTCCTCCTAAAGCGTTCTGGACGATTCTGACTCGTCCTGAGGCTTCCTAAATTGTTCACAAACAACATTACATCCTAGGAGGAACCTAAGGTTCTAATAATTAATACTTATACTACAGACCAAGTATGTATAGATACGTTTCGAACAAGCTGAGGTTTCTTCATGTTCCAATAATTATGAACCACTCCCTGTATAATGTAATATATAAGTCTGTTGAATGGCGGCGTCCTTGCATTGTGTACCAATCACACATCTAACGAATTTGATGTAAAACGCCAATAAAACGGGCGATCTACACCCACTCGATCGAAAGAAAGCCTGAGAAATGGGTTAGCGGATCGTCTCAAGCACGTTATAATGTATAATGTAATGCATTCGGTGAGTATTAGATTGATTTTTATATTACCAACTATATATTTTATATTTATCCTATATCGATTTATCGGCGCCATATTTATACTCCGTTCGCTATAACTTTGTAATGTAAAAGACTCGATGAAGAGGCTAATGCCGAACGGAGTATAAGTATATAAGAATTAATTTTCGTCGGTTATTTTGCATTAGAAATTTTGCAATAGAGTTCGCTTAAATACGATTTAGTTTTTTTTTTTTTATTTTCATTTCTCATCAATATAGATCCTATCTGGCCCAGCAGATAATAATTTTTTTTCATATAACGTATCATTAAAGGTGCTTTCAATTAACAACTACAATTTTCGAATTAATTTCGTTACGGATTCGTTCCCACCCATTCCGAGCGGTTATTTTTAAAATTATACGTTCGAATAACCGTCCGCATAACTTAAATTATTCCGAACGTTTATTAGACGAATAACCGAACGGGCCCGGGCCGATCACGCCGCAAATTGTCAATTGTCAAACGAACGTCAATTGTCAAACAAACATTGAAATATACACCTTGGCTCCATTACCGATTGCAACATGGTCATTTCTATGAGTGGAACAAAGAAAGATTATTAAAATGACAGTTGTCAAAGTGAAAAGTTGCAATGACACAAATGTCACTCTTTCCTTTTCCTTTGTAAGTGTCTAATGGAAGTTGTCTTTATCGTACCTATGGCCTATATAACCTATGTTGCGATCAAAAATGGAGCAACCTGTATATTTCAATGGCGATGAATGATGAATTTAGGAGAGTCTGTTTGGTTGCCAGAAGAGTCATTTATAAAGGGATATATGAAAAATTTAAGAGAGTCTGTTGGTTGCTAAAAGAGTCATTTATAAAGGGATATATGAAGAATTTAAGAGAGTCTATTGGTGGCCAAAAGAATCATTTATAAAGGGATCAATGATGAATTTAAGGGAGTCTATATTGGTTGCCAAAAGAGTCGTTTATAAAAAGATTTATGAGGCATTTAAAAAAGAGTCTATTTGGTTGCCAAAAGAGTCATTTAAAAACGACCTGTGAGGCATATAAAAGAGTCTATTTGGTTGCCAAAAGAGTCGTTTATAAAAGGATCTATGAAGCATTTAAAAGAGTCAATTTGGTTGCCAAAAGAGTCGTTTTTAAAAGGATCTATGAAGCATTTAAAAGAGTCTATTTCGTTGCCAAAAGAGTCATTTATAAAGGAATATTTTACCTTGCATCCCTCGCACGTGAACGCCCCGAAATGGAAGCCGGCCGCCGGTTCGCCGCACACCTTGCACAACTGGTTCATCTAGAATTAGAAAAACAGAAGAATCGTTTGTGAACTTTTTTTTCAATAAAAAAAAATGTCAGCTGTCAGCTGTCAACCGACAAAAGTAGGAAGTTTCAATACCGTCAACAAACTGTCAACTGTCAATAGTGTCAACTGTCAATATTGTCAACTGCCAATAGTGTCAACTGTCAATAGTGTCAAATCTGTAAAGCGATAATTGACTTTCCTCGCGTAAAATAGACGTCAAATTGGAAATTCCGCCCGTCGCGGGTGAGACAAAGCCGCGTTAGACATTTTTTTTTCTTCTTCTTCTTTTCTCGTTACGTCTCCACGAGGCAACAATGAGCCGGTGGGCGTGTATGCGAGACCATGGGTACGGTCGAATGTGGACGCGTTGGTGTGGGAAAAGCGGTTTTTTTCCCGGTCGAAAGCGTCGCATATTTCGACGTCGAGTCGGTTTAGTAGACGCGCCAAACGATTTTTCGATTATTTACCGGAATCTTCGGAATAAGGAGTGGCTACGAGACCGACGCACGGTTCTAATGAGAGGAATTGATTCCCGTTCGAAATTGGTGTTTAGTTGTTGATGAGGTATTATGTAAGAGGCCATGTATCTAATGAGAGAAGAAGTACTAATGAGAGGAATTGACTCGCGTTCGAAATTGTTTAGTTGTTGATGAGGTATTATGTAAGAGGCCATGTATCTAATGAGAGAAGAAGAAGAGTTATTTAATAAAATGGCGGATCCAGTTTTGGCCAAACAGCCTTCTTGGTTAATGTCACAAATAAGAAGTGTCATAAAATTCTTCTGTTGTGTGTTCGTTATTTCGCAGCCAACTAATAAATCGTGAAAAATAGAACTATTTTTAAATAACCATGCGAATTATCAATAAATAATAAATAAATAATAAATATATTTCAAAATTGCGAATCCAATTTTGGCCAAATAGCCTTGCTTTTTAGTGTCATAAAATTCTTCTTTTGTGTGTTCATTTCGCACCCAACTAATAAATCGAACAATTTCTAAATTAATATTTCAAAATGACAGATGAAGTTTTGGCCAAACAACCTTATTAGTTTACTGCCTATTTCTCTTCTTTTTTTACTTGTGACATTAACGTCATCGTTCCACAGCCAACTAGTTAATGCTCGAGCATATATCCAAAACCACCAGCAAACTGGTTATATTATGATAGGCCTTTTATTTGATACGTGATAAATCGGATAAAAAGAGGGTATATATAAATATATTTTATGGTGCTCGCAATAGTATGTGTGCAATTACCTTTCTTATGGCCATTAAAACCTGAATAGAACGGCCGGTAAGTTACGATCCCATATAATCGCAATCTCATTTGTTGATAAAGGAGCGATTCGGAATTATGAAAATGATTTTAATACGAAAATAAATAAACGGACGCGGGTCGATTAAAAATGAATGATGAAAAAAACAAGAAGAAGAAGAAGAAGGGACTTTAACGGCTCGAGTGCGGTCGTATTTCATACGGGAAATTTCTATATAAATTTTTGTGCCCACATATCGGCCTTTGTTATACGAGGGGGGGACGAAAATTTCCTGGCTCGTAAATGTCTCGTTTAATACGATTTGGAGTTTACGTTTGATTTATTCGAGTAATTTTCGATTTTATTACGACTTCTGTTGTTTGGATTTTTCTATAAACTCCACTGGTTACAATAGACACATTTTTTTGTAGATAACAGCTAAAGAAACTCATGGTTTTTATGAAAATCGCAGCCCACTTTTAGTTCTCTATGACTCCAGCAACCCACTTTACATGTATATTTTCCTCCATAACTCCATAACGAGTTATGTTAGAAACTTAAATGTAGCATCTTTTTGTAGCGATAACTTGTAACTTCATCTTTTGTAATTTAGAAAAATGTCATAGAACCCATAACTTTCGAATTATACAAACTTTTCTGTCGCTCTGAATAGTCTAAATTGGCAACCCACTTTACACATACATTTTCCTCGATAACTCCGGAACCGCTCGACTTAGCGACTCCATTTTTGCGTCAAATTGAAGAGAAAACTTCAAACTACAAATCCCCTAACGCCCGAAATTCCACGTGCAATCCAAAAGGACGAAACCGTCGTATTTACATCTAATCACATACCGGCCGTTCGTTTTCTATATGGAGGCCGATATAGCGAGCCTCGCTGGGAAAATGAAGTCATAAATTCCATATGTTAAGTTGCGGTCGACGCGTTTGCGAACAGGCTCTTAGCAAAAACGTCACAGCAACGCCGTGAATCAGACAAATAGCGCGATTTTCCCGTTTTGATATATTCGAGCCATCGTCGAAAATTTATACGGCTCTCCGGCCGACTCGCTGCGGCTTTAATCCGACAAATTGCCGGTATTTATGGACGCTAATGCGCCGTATGAGTTCGTGCTTTAATTAAAAACTAATACGGTTGTTCGTCACGATGATTTTATTCAAAAAAAAACTATTTAAATTCGCGCATTTGGCTTGTATAACCTCGTTATAGTTGAGGCGTAAGAATAAACGAAGAAGATTGACTTATTGAGACCGAATAGCTTCGTTAGTTGAGGCCTTTGAGTTAATATGTTTTTGACAATTGACAGATTGAAATGAAACGTTTTTTGTTTGTTGGAAATTTTATGTTCATTCTCCTCCATAACTGAACAACAAGTTGCGATAAAAACTTAACTATAGCATTTTTTGTAACTCAAACTTGTAATTTCATCTTTTGTAACTTAGAAAAATGTACAAGTTATACAAACTTTTCTGTCGCTCTAAATTGTCTAAATTGGCAACCAACTTTACATGTACATTTTTCTCCATAAATCCATAACGAGTTATGGTAGAAACTTAAATGTAGCATCTTTTTGTAGCGAAAACTTGTAACTTCATCTTTTGTAATTTAGAAAAATGTCATAGAACCCATAACATTCGAGTTATAGAAACTTTTCTGATGCTCAAGAACATTGACTTGACACCGAATAGCTTCGTTAGTTGAGGCCATTGATTCAAAACGTTTTGACAGTTGACAGATCGAAATTAAATCGTCACTTCAGAGGTACCAACTTAGCTCCGTAAAATCCCAATAAACCGGTACTTTACGCGCCGGATTTTCGATTTATAAACGTAAAACGAAACTCATTCCATTATTACTTGCAGAATTAAAGTCCGAAATACACGCCTCTGAACAAAGCGCATGACTCACAAATGAATAATTGGATACAGTTATACAGGTATATAAAGATATAAACAAAATGATGGCTTACGTATTAACCTGGGCATATTCTTCATTTCTTCGCATCTTCACTTTAAACTCGTGGGAATACGTTGACCTGTCTGATGGTGTTTTTATATTCGGGAAGAATGCATTGAAGAACATTGCACGGATTTACTAATTGCATATAGGTTTATATATATACGATGCTCTTCCATCCGATCGAATAGAATCATGATCTTTCTTCATATTTTTTTTTACTTAATATTTTATTTTATACCTTAGATCATATACACCTTGATCCATTTCCGATTGCAACATGGTTATTTCTATGAGTGGAACAAAGAAAGATTATTAAAATGACAGTTGTCAGAGTGAAAAGTTGCAATGACACAAATGTCACTCTTTCTTTTTCTTTAAAAGTATCTAATTGAAATTGTCTCTGTTGCACCCATAGCCTATGTTGCAATGAAAAATGGAGCAATTGTATACTAACGTGGATCAGGCGACAGTGGTAAACTCTGTTGCCAACATATTCACGACGTATTTTTATGACCCGTCCTTGTTTGACACTCGCTAGTTTCTAACGGTGTGTCTTTGTCTTGGAGCCTTTGACAATTTTGACGTATATAGTTAGCGCCAAATTTAAATATTCATGCTTCAAAACTATTTTAAGATGCTTGTTGTTTACCTCAGTGTTATGTATAAACCGTAGACACTAAAAGTGTCAAAATTGTCAACAATGACATTTTGACGTACAATCAAAATGGCGTCGCATTTTGTTAATTAACGATGCACGCCGCTGGTCGAGCAGATTTGCGACAAATTAAACTAGTTTTTCTCCATCGCCTTGTTTCGTTTTTTTCTTCCATTATTTAAGGAACCGCTCTTGATCGCGATTCCGATCGAAAGCTTAGCTTAAAAGAGAAGATTTATCTATGATTGGTAAGTGAATAAAATGCGAAACGTCGCATAAATAATGAACTCGTTCGCCATATTCGTTAACGATAAAATGCTATTCGTATACCGTAATCAATACGCCATTCTTAACACTTATTTAGAAAACGAAAAAAGAAGAAACTTTTATATATGCGGGTACATAAAGCATCGGTGAAACTTTAAACGGGATTTTTACGAGATTATAAAACTCTTCTTTCTAAAGGTAGCTAATCTATTTTCCTCATCTTCTTTTCTAAAAAAATTGCCTCACCTGCTAAGGCTATTCGGTCGTACTTTATTTTTGAAGTTTTAGGGTGGCAACAGTGATTTCTTCAGCGGAAGTAAGGTAAATCTAGTAACCGTTTATGATAAATATATAAAAATAATTACAGCCATATTTTTTAATAACAGCAAACTTAATTCACGATATTCCTCTAATCGTTTATAAATTAATAAATGCATACGTATTATCTAATCACACGTCACAATTAGATATTTATAACATTTGTAATTAATTTAATTAACAACAGGAATCTAGTCAAATGTCAGGATTAACTCGAGTCATAAACAAAGTCGGCGTTGGTTATTATTTCTAAAGAATAATTATAGAACGGTACCAATAAATACTTATAAAATCTTTAATTTGAAACTACAGGTACCTATCTAAGAATTCGAAATAAAATTCCAATTTGAGATGGTACTGATTCTATCTATCGCTCAGAATTCGTTAAATTTTAAACTAAATAAATTCATTAACATCCCGAAGATATCACAATAAAAGAGCAGGTAGATACTATACGGTAGTACTGTTTGACATATCGCTCAAAATTCTTTAAATTAATTACCTAAAGTAAGCACAGTAGAATAGTACCATAGGGTAGTACTGGAAGAACTAACTCGGTACTATAAGTAGTACCTTTACAATTCGATATGTACCAATAGATGAACATGTTTAATACAGACCTTATAGGTACCCATAAATACGCAATAGGTACTCCTATCCAATCAGAAATAGTTACACCCGATACACCGGTACTTCTATTGAGCATCAACAGTACCAATTACAAGAAAAATAAAATAAAATAAAATAAACAATTTACCTACAATTACGTTATTCGCCACAGCGTCATAATCCATAGATGTAGATCGGACGAAATCGGAACAGAGTACCGAATTTGAGCCACTACGTACTGCGTACGGCGATCATAACGCGGAACGCGCGACACGTCCCATCTACCCGTACGACTGGTACTGGGCCAGCATCCCATTCATCCGGGCGCCTTCGGCCCGCGCTCCGGCCGCGGTGGTACCGCGAGCGGCCGCCGGGCGGCGCTACCTGCCGGCCGGCCCGCCCGCCCCGGTACCGCCCTCGCGGCGGTACCGGTCGCGAACGCCGGCCGATTGGCCGGAGCGGTACGCACGCCCCCTTCGACGCCCACCTCGGTGGTTGCGCAACGACGGTACTGACGGTACTCTAGGTTCGCTGGTACTACCGGACGGATAGGAGACTTTGAAGCGTAGAAATAATGCATGTGGTTCCAGGAGGAAGCAAGAGAGATTATAAAAATCCGGTCGTGCTTTAAAAATTAGCATATTTGGTGGTACTGGAAGATGCTAGAAGATCGAGGGATTTGCTCTGGATAGATCAATAATGGCTCCTTTGAGACCGTTGTTGTTTGGAGAAATCAGAGATTAATTATAGTGAGTTAGGTACTAGATTTGCTAGTAGTACCGGATCGATATGTGGAATTTATTGTATGGTGACTCGGAAATGCAGTTTTTTTAGAGTTTCATTAGGCAGCAAGTGGTACCATAAAAGCTAGTTATGTTACATAGAGTTGGAATATTTATGGATTTGGTGGTACTGGAAGATGATCGAAGATCGATGGAGTCGCCCTGGATGGGTTAATAACGACTCTTTTAAAACTCTTTATATATCAAGAGATCAGATATTATTTACAATCAGATAGTACGAGTAGTACCGGACGGCTAGGATGAGTGTTTGAAGCCAAGAAATAAGGTGGAATTTGTTGCATGGTGACTCGCAGACTCGCATGTTATTTTTAGAGTTCCGTTTGATGGTACTTTGGTGGTACCTGAAGACACTTTAGAGCCATACAATCGCCTCATTTACCTTCAGGAACAATTCCCAAAACCATCCAATTCCCGTGCTCTCCAGAGGGTCTACCAAGTCTTCGATTTGATTCTTAAAGGGAAGAATAGACAATAAAAATACTACATCGATCGCACAATTATCTATATTTTCCTTAAAAAAAAAGAACAAACATTTTAGCCCTACAAGAGCACGAAGGCGCAGTCCTTCTCCAATCGCCTCTTGGCCTTGATCTGCAACACGCCCAAAGGGTCCGTGGGCAAGGGCAAACCGCCCTGACACGACGACGTTTCGCTGTAAAACGCCCTCATCGGTCCGCAACTGTACCCGTACAACACCGTCTCGTCGCATCTAGACAAATATCTGTATAGTAGTACCCGTCCAGTGCGTATAGTAGTACCAGATATAAATGGAAAGACTTCATAAAGCTTAACGCATCGAAGTAAAGTCAATTGGAAGAAAGGCTACCGCCCTTTCTCTTACCCTTTGTGGTACCCCTGCAGGGCAGAGCTGAGCAGAGCAGAGCAGATTATGAGCAGATTAGGAGCGGATTAAGAGCAGTTTAAGAGCAGATAGAGAGAAGATTAAAAGCAGATTAAGAGCAGATTAAGAGCAAATTAAGAGCAGATTAAGAGCATATTAAGATCATATTAAGAGCATATTAAGAGCGGATTAAGAGCATATTAAGGGCATATTAAGAGCAGATTAAGATCATATTAAGAGCATATTAAGATCATATTAAGATCATATTAAGAGCATATTAAGATCATATTAAGATCATATTAAGATCATATTAAGATCATATTAAGAGCATATTAAGAGCAATTTATGAATAGTTTAAAAGTAGTTTAAGAGCAGATTAAAAGCAGTAAAGGAGTAGTTTTAAAGGTGTTTAAGAGCAGATAAAGAGCAGTTTAAGGGTAGTTTTAAAGTAGTTTAAGAGCAGTTTTAACAGCAGATTAGGAGAAGATTAACAGCAATTTAAGAGTACTTTAATAGTAGTTTAAGAACAGTTTAAGAAGACAACTACCATTAGACACTTATAAAGGAAAAGGAAAGAGTGACATTTGTGTCATTGCAACTTTTCACTCTGACAACTGTCATTTTAATAATCTATCTTTGTTCCACTCATAGAAATGACCATGTTGCAATCGGAAATGGAGCCAAGGTGTATGTAAAACAAACTCACCTCACGAACACCTCGCGCACATTCGAACCGTCGAAGTCGCCGCGAAAGTGGTTCAGATGGCGCCACTCGTCGTCCGACGAGCCGATCGACCGGAAACGGGCGCTCGTACCGTCCATCACCAGGAACTTGTTGGCGTCCTTCTCTTGCTGGACGTTGCGCGAGTGCGACTTGTTGCGAATTTTGCACTCCAATTTGCTCGCGTGCCTCGCGCACACGTCGCCCTTTTGAAATATCGAATTTTGTATCGTTTCGAAGCGCAACTTCTACTGCGCATATTCGGTACGTGCGATCTCGCTGTATCGCTCTTTCTCTTATCATTATATTAGACTTCTAAGAAGAGTTCTCTTTGTTGCACCGCGTAGACAAATACACGCAGTAGAAGAGGCCTCTAAGGCGCTTGCGCAAAATGGTTTCATTCGATTACCAGTACATAAAGGACAAGCGCGTTCGCTAGTCAACGACGTCACAAGCCAACCTGTTACAACGTTGCCGGGTTGAAATGAAATGAAAATATTGATGTGACAGTTATATTTAATTTAAGGTTATGTTTACTTTCATTGTTTAGAAATTAAAAAGAAGAAATGCATTAGGTTGCAATCCGATTGACGGGAGAGGTGTTTATTTGCAACGCTTCACGACCCTATAAAACCGAAATATACATTTAAAAAACTATTCGTAAGTTTAACATAACCTATAAATTTCAATGTGCTGAACTATCGAAAATATTGATCGGGAATTAATCGGGAAAAAAGGGCCTACAACGTCCCGTTCCCTCTCAAAATAGGTCGAAAAACATCGAAAATCGCGGGAGAAACTGTCGATAAATGTACATAAACCGCACGAAAAACTATCTAGAACGAACGAAAAACACAAAACCTACTCGTAAACTTGATAAAATACAGGAAAATCGCGCAAAAACAACAAATTGTAGTCATAACCTGTCAAAGTGTCAACTACAAAGCGCCGCTAAATATTGCGAATGTTGAGACTAAATGCACGACAACATCGCCTTCGACTTTCAACTACGCATCGTAAAATTCCCCTAGTCAAATGGGAGAATTAACATTGACACTAGGGAAATGTCGACCTGCGTGGAAATCAATGACGTCGTCTAAAAATGACGTCATTGCCTAACGAGCGCGAATGTCCTTTACTTACCAACGACTCGATGACGTCCTTCAATTCGCCGGCCTCTTTCCTAATTAATACAGTCAATACGGTGTCTTCGTGTTCCCACACGAACAACAAACATCTCCTGGTACCGTTCGAATCCCGTTCGGTGGAGCTTATTCTGCTCGATTTCTTGCAGCGAAACTCGAAATTCGGCTTGCCCAGCATCGCCTGTCGGTTCTTGTTATCTTTACCGGCCTTGAACTTGCAGTTGAAGAAGCTACGCGATGGCAAGAGGCCCTTATTAGGGACTCCGTCGACTCGTCCTGCGGTTTCTTCGTAGCATTTGGGTACAGTATTGGGTACTCTATTGGTTCTGTGCAAGTGCAAAGACATCAATCGACCGTCCGGCTTGAATAGAGGATAGAGCGGATCCGCTATGGTCTTGTACCGCGCGGATTTCCGATCGAACGGCACCGCTTCGATCGAACGGAACTCGTTTTTGGCCGTGCTCGTCTTGCGCTTGTCGCACTCGTTCGTACAAATCAACAGCGGATTGAAATGGACGATTTTCTTCTGCTCCTGCGACGGCGTGTTGCAGACCAACAACTGGCTGGCGGAGGGCGGCACCGCCGCCGGCGGTCTGGGCGGCTTCTTCGGCGCCGCGTTGTTGTCCAAATTCAGGAATCGCGGCCGCGGTTTCCGGCCGGCGGGCCGCGTCGCGGCGCCCTCCTCCGGCACCGACGTCAGTATGAGGGACTGCTCTCGCTGCATGGCGCTCAACAGGGCCGTGGTGCTCGATTTGCCGATGGGTTTCTTCGCCATCTGGAAAAAGGTTTTTCGTTTGTTCAATGTAGATCGGAGCTCCCTACCCCTTTCTACTCTTCTCTAACCCTCCCTACCCCTTTCTACTCTTCTCTACCCTTTCCTAGCCTCTTCCACTCTCCTCTACATCTCCGAACCCTTATTTGTCCTCCCCTAACCGCTCTCTGCCACCTTTATACTCTTCTCTAATCGCTCGCTGCTCCTTTCTACTCTCCTCTACCCATCTCTACCCACTTCTAGTCTCATCTAACCCCTCCCTACTTTCTTCTACCCCTCCCTACCCTCTTCTACTCTCCTCTACTCCTCCGTACGCTCTTCTACTCTCCTCTACATCTCCGTACCCTTATTTATCCTCCTCTAACCGCTCCCAGCCCCCTTATACTCTCCTCTAATCGCTCCCTGCTCCTTTCTACTCTCCTCTACCCCTTCGTACGCTCTTCTACTCTCATCTAACCGACCCCTGCCCCCCTTATACTCTCCTCTAACGTCTCCGTACCCCCTTGTCCAATATTGTCTACCCCTCCTACCTCTATATACCCTCCTCTACCCCTACGTACCTTCTTCTACCCTATTCTACTCGTCCCTTACCTCCTCTTACTTACCCTACATGACAAATTATTGGTCGATTATTTCAAATACCTTTTTCAAATCGCCTTTATGGAGATGTTCGAAGAGGTCGTTTTCTTTCAAGTCGTTCAGCAAATTCGAGTATTCGCCGGACGATATGTAGACCTCGTAGAGTTGGGTGTCGATGGATAGATTGAACGGTAGTTGATCGGTTATCGAGGGGCCTTGTACGTTGCAGGTGGCCGACAATAGAAGTAGCTGCGTCAGTAAGGTGTTGAGCTGCGTTGCTATTACTCTGCGGGAATTAGGCGAAATTAGAAAGTATATTGAGAAATTGTGGTTCGAAAATACCTGTTGCGGTGGATGATGGCTCCACCGAGGACGAATTCGATGGTTTTGCAGCATTCCAGGATTTGCATGGCCTCGATGAAGATGTCGTTGAGGCTCTACGAATAGCGGAAATAATATTACGAATGCATTTGTGAATGTGTTTACTTTAGAGAATGGGTGTTGCGGAAAGGGATTCGCCGAGTGGTGGTTGAGCGTTTTCAAGTAGCCTTCGAAGATGTCGTGGAGTTTCTTCAAAGCCGGATTGTCGCGGGACGGTGTTTGCAAAGTCTCAGCGTCCACGTGGAAGAATTTCAGCAGAGAGTGGAGATTTTCGGTGACCGATCGCAGGAACGAATCGGAAGCGTTCCTGTCGGTTCCCATGACCTACAAAACGAGCTCAATCAGTCGAGACTCTACGAAGCGATTTCGTGGAGCTTACAAAGTACAAATTATCGGTTTCGATGACGAGGAATTTCCCGTTTTGCATCGTTATCACGTCCGGCCGGGCGAATAGGGTTCTCGCGCATTGAATCGTGCCGACGATCTGGCCGCAGAGCGCCCCCTTTTGGTCGCCGGACACCCAGTCAGGGTAGAAATACAAAATGCTGTCCGATGCATCGGCCTTGGAGGCATCGTACACGAAAAATATCTGAATGTTTCTGCAAAAAACGTTAACCCGCTGATTTATTTGTCGTATTTTCGTGCGGTTGTGTTTTCAACGAAACGCCTAATAAATAAAAAAAACCAATCAATACCTTCAAACGAAATGAATTGTATTCTATAAAGAAATAAACGAATTATGTGTATAACGTTCACAACAAGCAACAATATCTAATAAAATGTAATTATTATTAGTACTTAGCCATTGCTGAAATTAAAACACTAGCGTCGATTTGTTAGAATTTAAAACTTTTTCTTTTTAAAATTCATTTGTTGATTTAATTGATTAAAAACATAACCTTATTCTTCTTTTTAATATACAAATTTATTTACTCTTCTTACCTTCATAGTTAAAAAGAGATGACAATCCAATGTTTGACATTTCAATATGTTCCGAACATCGAACGCAATTATCACCGAAGCGTTGACTTTTGACAGATAAGCGTGCTACGATCGTCGATAACAAAGACAGAAAATACCGAAATCGCGCGCATTAAAACGAGATAGCTAGTACTCGAGTGGTTTCGAGTGCGCATTTAGAACGCATCCATCAGTTTTGACGTGACGTACGGGTTTTTCGGCAATGTTTCGGCCAATTTACCCAATTCGGTTTGGTTTTCGCTGATTTTCAACACTAACAATCGTCGAATACAAACACCAAGTTCGCGAATATGCACAACGACGAACGGTAGTCGCCGATCGGACGCCCCCAATTGCACCAAACAATTCTAACCAGCAGGAAAGGGTTTTCGACATCGCTTCGCCAGTGTACACGCACCTGTATATGCGATCCCGTTGATCAGTCGGCCGCAAATGGGCTCATCGAAGCGACGGGACCGGTCGAGGACGCGCGAGCGCGACAGACGCGACAGGAAGCGGAGCAGGTCCCGAGACAGGTACAGAGACAGGGACAGGGATAGAGACAGGGAGCGCGACAGGGACAGGGACAGAGACAGGGAGAGGCGGCGGGAGCGGAGCCGGACGAGGAGTCGCGACAGGGAGAGGAGGCGCGAAAGGCCCCGCTCTCCGACGCCCACCGAACCCGACGGAGACAAAGTCATCGCCGATACGTTGGCCACGATAGCGGCCACCAGGAACTTCGCTAACTTGATATCCAAAGAAGGAGATGGCAATTCCAACATGTCCACAGGTACTACTCGAACTAACCAAAAGATACATATACACATCGAACTGTAAATAAACCCTTACGCGTTTCCAGGTAGTACCGAAGACGATCGTAAAAAGAAGAAACGTTCCCGATGGGGCGGCAGCGAACACGAGAAAATCTTCATACCGGGCATGCCGACAATCCTGCCGCCCAATCTCAACAAAGACCAAGAGGAAGCGTATTTACGTAAGTCGTCCTATAAATATCTCGAATGAAACCTCACCGAACGGCCTTTCACAGTTCAGCTGCAAATCGAAGAGGTGAGCCGGAAGCTGCGCTCGGGCGATTTGGGCATACCGATGAATCCGGAGGAGCGATCGCCGTCGCCGGAGCCGATCTACAGCAGCGACGGCAAGCGCTTGAACACCAGAGAGTTCAGGACGAGGAAGCGATTGGAGGAGGAACGCCATGCGCTCGTCCTCAAAATGCAATCGATCAATCCCGAATTCAAACCGCCCCTCGACTACAAGTACACTACTTATAAGCTTCCTCTAAGTTTCTACTACTAATCGATTGTGTTTTCGTAGGCCTCCGGTGACGAGAGTGAGCGATAAAGTGATGATACCGCAGGAGGAGCATCCGGAGATCAATTTCGTGGGATTGCTGATCGGTCCGAGGGGGAATACGTTGAAGAGTGAGTGGAATCGAGCGTATTGGAATCGATTTTGTGGTAATTTGTGTTTTTTGTAGCGATGGAAAAGGAAACCGGCGCGAAAATTATCATACGAGGCAAGGGTTCGGTGAAGGAAGGGAAGGTCGGTCGAAAGGACGGGCAGCCTCTGCCCGGCGAGGACGAGCCCCTGCACGCCTACATAACGGCCACCAATCCGGAGTACGTGAAGAAGGCAGTCGAGAAGGTAGTGGAGTAGAGTAGAATTCGCGGCCTTTGCCTGTTTCGGTTATACAGCTTGGATCGTTTGTGTTGTAGATCAAGGAAGTGATTCGACAGGGCGTGGAAGTGCCGGAGAACCAGAACGATTTGAGACGGATGCAATTGAGGGAATTGGCCCAATTGAACGGAACGTTGAGAGAAAACGACGGTTTGAGGTGTAACAATTGCGGCGCCACCGATCACAAATCCTGGCTGGTAAAATGGGCGCATTCGAATGTGTTGTCATCGAATTAACTGTTTTTCTTCTAGTGTCCCGACAAGCCGAACATCACCAATAGCATCGTGTGTTCGAGTTGCGGCGCCGCCGGGCACATCGCGCGCGATTGCCGGTCGAAGAGACCCGGCCAGGGCGGGCCGCCTCTGCCCGGCGGCCCCGGCGACAAGGCCAAAATCGACGAGGAATACATGTCGCTGATGGCCGAATTGGGCGAAGGCCCCCAACCCGTTTTCATGCAGAACGGCAACAACCAACAGAGGAAAGCCCAAACGACGGGTAAGCATTTTTGAATGCATTCGAATTTAGAGATTGATTTCGTTTTTTGTTATCGCGTTAGGTTTCAACGTGTTCGATCCGCAATCGACGCCGCGCCCACTGATGGCGGCGCCCATGCAGCTGATGAACGGCGCCGGCGGCGGTTGGACGGCGGCGGCGGCGGCCGCGCAGATGGGCTGGCCGCCCGGTCCGCCGCCGGGCATTTTGCCGCCGCCGCCGCCGCCCGGATCGTCGAGTCCGCCGAGCGGTTGGTCGTCGGGGCAGCCGCCGCCGCCGGGCGCGCCTCCTCCGTTCGCCGTGTGGCCGGCGGGCGGGTTCGCGCCGGCGCCGCCGCCGCCGCCCGGTATAGACGTGAGCTCGTTGTTGACGTCGCCGCCGCCGCCGCCTCCGTCTTAGAGTCGCGTCCCGTTTTGTGTGAAAATTGCGCCCGAGGTGGGTCACCCCCGGGAATGTGGAACTCGGTTGGTTTATTATTATTTTTTTTGGCGGTTACTTGATCTTCTTCGTAATTTGTTTGTTTGTAAGACCGAGTTGGGTGATTTTAATGTTAGTGACACATACACACACAGATATAAACTCTTACGCACTCTCTTTAGGTACTAAATAGGGACGGTTTTGTTTTTGATGAAGGTGTGTCGATCAGTGTTCGTTTTTTCTTTAATTTTAATTTCGTTGGCCAAAAGAATTAAAGTGGATTAAAGAAGATTCGTCGGCGCGACGTTTAATATGTACAATTAAGAGTTAAACATAGGATGATTTTTTTGCAGACATTTTACAGTATGTTTATTTTAGTATTTGTATATCAAATATCGAGGAATTATATTATTAAATACAGTAAGAGGTCTTAAGAGTTTACTGGATTTTCACTAATAGGATTATGTTCTAATATATGCCACTAATGATATAAATGCAACTCGTTCCTTTTGTGATTGGTTAGTGACTTTACACGTCACTTGTCAAAAATTTGCAAGGGCTATACAGTGTGTCCCAATAAAATATACAATCTCCTAAATCTCCAAAAATCCTTAGGGATCTAGTATATATATATGTCATGTTTTCCTGACCAAGGCCGGAGGTGAGTAAATAAACTACAAGTAAAAAAAATCGGTAAACTAAAATTTAAATTTTAATTACAACTTAAATTCGCGAATGAAAATATAAACAGTAAATTAACCAGCCTAAGTATTAACAATGTATCAGTAAAGAAGCCATCTCGGGTTCTCTAAAAAACGGATTCTAAAGCGTGTGTTTTGTTTTGTTCAAATCTTAAAATCTACGAATAGCAAACGAACTTCCAACGGATTCGTCCGGATACAATTAAAAAAACATCCTCGGTGTTGTGCTTAAACATTGAAAATAAAAACGATAGTATGCGAGACACACGAAATTCGAGAAATAAATGCACATAGGAGGTATATAGAGTAAATATAGATGTAAAAAAATATATAAGTATAAATTATCCGCGCGGCGTTCATCGCGTCTCCTTCGCCGTTAATTTATCGATTAATTCCTGCAGGGGGGCTAGTTCGCGTCGTTCGATTAGATTAAATTCCTGCAAAAAACGAACAAATTAATCACGTTAATTACGTCGAGAAATACGAATTCACCTGTACAAAAAATATGAAATGTTTAAACGACGTGTTCAGGTGGGCCTCCTCGCCCAATTGCACCACCTCGCTGAAATGCTGGTGGTAGATGTGGGCATACACTCTGAACAATCTCTTCAGTATCGTCTTCGCTATCGATTGGAAATTCTTCGGGAACGGCACTCCTGCAAATCGAGTTAGAATAAAAATCGATTGTTGCATTACGAGTAGCGAAACAAATCGATTCCTCTCGTACACGATTGGTAAATTTACCGATTTTCGAAGGGAACAAAGTCTCATCGTCCAACTGATCCTGCACCCACGTCATTAAATAATCTATGTATTTCGGAGCGGAACATTTGATGGGTTTCTTCACGGTGTGCCCGTCCGCCCAATGGTACTCGTACTTCGGCCCGGCCGACATGATCGAACAGCTGTCTTCGGTGCAAAACTCCGTTATCGTCCCGTACAACATGTTGATTTGATTGAAGAAATCCACGGCTAAAACGATCGATTATGAGCCTTCGAAAAGGATGTGGGAATACGTACTGTTGACTGCGACCCATTCGTTCAAGTCCTCCCCTTCGGGGAGCATTACGGCTAAGCGAAGATTGCCCGAGCCGAGGGTGGCGGCTGCGTGTTTCATCAACTCATACTGGTGGGTGCCTTCGGGGATGTTCTTCTTCGGTTTGAACGTTTTGGACGAACGGCTTCCGCTGAAAGTTCGCAGGCGGATTAGTTTGGATCGGGGAGATCTTTGTTTTGGTAATGACTTTGTTATTAATAGATTGCGGACGGGCTTACAATAAGAAACTCATCTTCGTCGTGCGATGGGTTCGCCGTTGTTCCGGACTGCGTTTCGGCGATTCCCGTGGGTTTTAGACGATGCAGAAGACCGCGGTTTTGTCGTATTGTAAACGGAATAACGAAAAATTAAAGTTTTTACATTTCTTCATTTAGTTGATGTTTAATTGCTCATCTTTTGACAATGTTGACATTTCAATTGTCAGAATAATTATTCTTCTTTTTTTTTAATGAATTGTTATAGCTGTATAATCGATAGTGTCAAAGGCACGACTTAATGTCATTTGTCAATGTCAACATTGAAAACAAGCTGCTTCGTGTAAACGTAAATACACTCTTGTATAAGAAAATTATATTTATTTTCCAGAAAAATACGATAAAAATGCGTGCAAAATCGAAAAATGAGCTCAGATAGTTCCGAAGACGAAAACGCTCATCTGTTAAAAGAAGCAACAGACTCCGAATTTCTGCAAGAAAACTTGTACAACAAAGGTTACAACTATTTAATATTCGCAATAAAATTCTATTAAACTTCAATGCACAAAAAATCCTTTTGTAAACTCGTTTTGGTATCGCAGATAAACCGATCGAAAAGCCGAAAACCAAACTGGTGAGTTTAAGGAAGGACATTGAAGCCGAGGATGAGGGAAGCTTGAAATTTTCATCAGGATTTCGCTCGCACGCCGAAAAACACTTATCGAAACTACTAGAAGAGCAACTGGATAAGCGTTTAGTAAGAGTACAATCCGATAAACCCATCGAAGCTGTACAGAAAAAGGGTGGTGTACGTTTGTTCTCGAATTCCAAAAGATCTCTCAAAATAGAAGACGATTCAGAGATTAAAAAGTAAGCGTTTGTGCAATTTATTAATTCGTTACTAAATTTTGTATTTTAGTAAAGCGGCAAAAGTAGATCGTCCTAAAGCAAAGAAAGCCCCCGCGACAGAGGAAGATTTCAAACAACTGGCCGTATCCGGCGAGGATGTGCTCCTGAAAAAGGACACCGAACATTGGACGAACAGCCGCAAATCGACCGTGTTCCGCTACGACGATGCCGGCCTCGAATTAACCCCGAACTGAACCACCAAATGGCCCATCTACCGCCGGGCTTCCGCTCCAACGTGCCCCCCGACATGCCGCAGGCGCCGCCCAATCCCAAGAAGCGCCGCAAGAACGCGCAGGCCCAATCGGCGGCGCCGCCGCCCCCCACCCACCAGGACCTCCTGCCGCCGCCGCCGCTCTCCGGCTACGGCGACACCATCGTCGCCTCCAACCCCTTCGACGACTGCCCGAGCAACGTGCACGCGGGCGGCCGGCACGCCGGCCCGCCGCCCCCCATGGGCATGGTCGTGCCCGGCCCCGGCATGGTGATGGGCGGCGGGCCCGGCATGGGCATGTACCGGCCCATGTGTCCGCCGAACGGGCCGCCTTCGATGGCGATGATGCACAGCCCCAACGCCCACCAGATGAACAGCTCGATGATGATGAACGGGCCGCCGCGCATGGGCCATGGGCCGCCCCCGCACATGATGAACAGCCCCAATGGGCCTAACATGAACATGACCGGTCGGTAAATGTAATAATCGTGTAATGTAGTGGATTAACTTGTGTGGTTTGTAGGTCCTCCGATGCACAGTCCTTTGATGGGCGGTCCGATGAACGGGGGCGCCGGTGGTAACCCCGGCGGGGTGCAAATGCAACACGGTGGACCCCCCGGTATGAATATGCAAGGCGGTAACGGACCCCCCGGACCAGTAGGTATGTAAATTCGTTGAGTAATCGGTAAAATTTAAATAAATTTACGTAAGCGGGAGGTTTCGCAGGTCCGCCGATGAACAACAACAACTTTCTGATGTCTCCGATGGGCAACAACATGTACGCCAAGCAAATGCCGGTGTCGGCGGGGAAAGTGTACCCGGTGGATCAGCCGATGGTGTTCAACGCGCAGAATCCGAACGCGCCGCCCATCTACCCGTGCGGCGTCTGTCACAAGGAGGTGCACGACAACGATCAGGCCATTCTGTGCGAAAGCGGTTGCAACTTTTGGTTCCACAGGGGTTGTACCGGCCTGACCGAAGCGGCCTTTCAGCTACTGACGGCCGAAGTGTACGCCGAATGGGCCTGCGACAAATGCCTCCATACGAAGAACATACCGTTGGTTAAATTCAAACCGTAGGGCTCGATCGAACTCGAACATACCATTCGAACGATTTGTAACATCCTTTATATCCATTTATCGCGCGTTATATATTTTATCCGTCGAATGTCCTGGCGCATCTAGATTCTAAGTTTGTAAAATTTCAATATAGCGCTTGTTGTTTTAAACTCTCGCCGTTTTCTTCATCGAAACGTCAAATTGATTGACAAGTGACATGTCCCATCAGTAGAATAGAAATCTGAGGTACAAAATGGCGGGATAGAATCCGATGCCGCGGCTATCGACGCTCGAATGCATCCTGTTGACGTTCGCCGTGCTGGGCAGCGTCGAATTGCTGGTCAGCCTGCTGGAGAACCTCGACAAGCCCGAGTCCGATTGCACTGAGTTGATGAAGTCCTACGCCCGGTCGCAGTTCTTCCACGACGGCCGCCTGGCCGGCGACCGCCCGCCCGCCCAGCGGCCTTATTATCACTGAAAAATGCGCAAATAAATCGATGAGTATGTAAACTTTGTAGCTACATGGTTTTATTCGATCGATCTTCGTGTCCCGAGCGTTTAGAGACGATTGTTTGAGGTTGATTGCTTCGTGAGAATGGCCAGTGTATTGTTAAGTAAGAGTCAGTTTATAGAGGTCGGTGAGTAGATGAGGAGATTGTCCTTCGTGTTGCGAGGGCAATAACGGAAACATCGTTTCAAATTTAATAGTAATAATATTAAAAATAATAATAATAAAAAAAAACAAAATACACTTCTTACTTAATTCTGCGGGCTACAAACAGTTTTATTATCTCATATCGTTTATCTAGATTCCGGTTTGTTTTTGGGCGGTCGAAAAGTCTTTATTTTCTTGTTGGATTTCTTCTCTTTCGATTTCGAACTCGATTGGAAGTTCTGCCAGCTGTTCACCCTATTCTGCCTCGATTCCTGCATAACAGAACAATTATTACCAATTGGAATCTTGTATACAGGACGTCCCGCACAAAGGACACCCGGTTCGTGCGAACCTCGAAATTCTTCTGCCACTCCTTCTGCGCTTTGGCCGTTTCCTCCTCCTCGATTTCCTGTTCGCGCTTGCGCTTCCTCTCCTCCTGGTCGCGGCCGGCCAGTTCGCGGCGCTTCCGCTCCATGTCGGCGAACAGTTTCATCGTCATCACGTACACCGAGTGCTTGTACTGGCCCGGATCGTCCTCCGGTATCGACTCCTTACCCTCCTTCTTCGCCTTCTTCCTCTTCTCCGTCAACTACAAAGTCTCCGTCAACGTTAGGCTAGATATCAAACATATAACGTTGAACGTGATGTGTTGTTCAATTGAGGCGAATTGAACAAAGTATTAGGTTAGTTTTAGGTACGTACCATTAGATCGGTTCTGCCTACGGCTTCTTCGATGATGTCCATGCATTTCTTTCGGGTTTCCTCGCTCTCCAGGGTCTTCCAGGCTTTGTTGACGGCTTCGAAGGCCTGCTGGGCGCGATCGGCGTCGTCTTGGTTCTTGTCCGGGTGGACTAGGATGGATAGGCGTCGGTATTTCCTTTTGATTTCTTCGAGCGGGGTGTCGGGCTCCACTTGCAGGACGTCGAACGGGTTGAGATTCCTGTAGGTGGAGCCGGGCCTGAGTAGCCGGTCGATTTGCTGTTTGGGCGTTAGGACCGAGTCTCTTTTTTCGATTTCTTTCACCTGAAAATGTCGGAATGTTAACGGGCCCGTTTGGCGGGTTCGTGGGGTACTTGCTTCGGTGTAAAATTCGTTGAATTTCGTGTCTTTTTCGTTATCCATGCTAATGGATAGGTTGGATTTGAAATGTTAGTAAAATTGTTTCAAATCCGAGCTGAAAGCTGAAATTGTATATTATAAATATTTTTTTTATATAATTTGACAGTTGACGTCTGTGTCAAGTCATGTGTCAATATTGTCTTGTCTATGTTGATTTAGAATTTTCGTGACCTTTGAGCTAGTTAAATACCGGCTAGGTGAAGGCCATATAACTATAGAAAAAGAAGAACAAATCAGTTATAATTTTTGCATTTACCATTTAATTTGTTTATTTATGTATTTCATTTAAGTTTATGTATGTAAAAAAAGGCATTATTACCATTTTATTCATTTATTACTTATCAATATTTTTACAATCTTTAATAATTCATTCAAAATTTTTATCTGTATTTTTATTTTTTCAATTAACTCAATTTAGTAATTTATACACAATCATTTTTACACTTAATTATATGAAAATAAAAAAATATCTTACAAAACAATCACCATTTCCAATTATCTAATCTCGATTTCTTAAGCGCTTGCAAAGATTTCTCGGCCCTCATTTGCGCCTCGGTGTGTACTCTCAAACTCCCCCCTTTAGACGTTTCTTGTACAACGGAATCGTGCTGGATAGCACCGGAAACACCTTAAATGAAACAAAAAAAATTACAAATCCCCACATAAAATCACAATTAATAAACCAACCTTTTTTATTAAACAATTTGCCCAATATAAAATCATCTTCACCGCCGCTTTTATTCGACGCATTATTTTTGTCTTTCTCCGCGTTTTTCGTTTTCTTCGTTTCGGTTTTCACCAAACCTTCGATCTTTTCTCCGTCTATTTTACCGGTCAAATCGATTTTCCGTTTTTTGAATTTTTTTATCAACTTCTCCGGTTCTTTGCTCACCGTTTCCTTGGCCGTATTCACCTCATCCGCTATCTCATCTAAATCTACAACCAACGAATAAAAAATTAGTTTACAAGATTTTTTGCAAAGAATTTAGTAATAATGATAATGTAACATAGATAATGTAACAATCTAGAAGCCTCTAGAATCATTTAGAACTGTCTAAAACTATCCAGAGCGCTCTAGAACTATTTAGACCTATCTAGAGGGCTCCAGAATCATTTAGAACTGTCTAGAACAATCTAGAATCTTGCAGAATCATTTAGAACTATCTAGAGCGATCCAGAACTATTTAGACCTACCTAGAGCGTTCCTGAATCATTTAGAACAGTCTATAACTGTTAATCTATAGACTATATCTAAAAAATCGATTCGAATATACCTTTGTTGTTCGTTTTGAGTTCGTGATGCAATCGAGCCGTCGTTTCGGCGTATTCCAAAGCCTCCGAGAACCCCACCAGAGCGTCGCGATCGTCTATTTTGTTCGCGTGAACGTCCTCGACGATGCCGGCCTTTTCCCTGTTGTACCTCCGCAACTCGGCGACCTCCAATCGTTTCGCTTCGTCCGTTTCCTCGCGCCTCCGTCGCTTCTCTCGCTCCAATTCGAGCCGATCGGCGCTCTCGGGCGGCGGCTTCGAGAGGCTCTTCGCTATCCGGTGCGCCATGTGCTTCATCTCGAGCAGCTTTTCGTCGGTGAATCGCCGCTTCGGCGAAGCTTCGGGTCGCTTCGGTTTCGATTTCCTTTTGAGCTTCTCTTGAATCCTCACCTGGAAAATCGAACGCGTTAGAGAGGATGCATTCGAAGGATGCTCTTTACGAGCGAATTACCCTGGATTTGTGGAAAATGTTGACGGTTTCCGGGGCGTTGTCGGCGTTCTCTTGCAGCGAAAACAAATCGAACAAATCCGATGATTTGAAGAATTTGTTCGTCCTCGGATCCAGCAGGATTTTGTTGCTCAACAGTTGTTTCCATACTTGTCGTTGGTACATCTACAAAACCCTTTATTATAGAGTAGTACAAAACCGATTGTAATTAAACCTTTTCTTCTATCGTTCCGGCCGTTAGTAACCTGTAAATCGTCACGTCCTTATCCTGTCCTATTCTCCAGGCCCTTTCTCTGGCTTGGGTATCGGTTGCCGGATTCCAATCCGGATCGTAGATAATCACCCGATTGGCTCCCGTTAAATTCACGCCCAAACCACCCACTCTAGTAGTCAACAGAAACACATCGTAACTAGAATCCTAACCAAACGAAACCTCATATAAGCAAACCGGAATGGTCACAAAGCGATTCTCACTAACCGTGTTGAATTTCTCGATCAAAGGCTGCCTGGCCCCGATGGCGGTGGTACCGTCCATCTTCAGGTACTTGTACCCCTGCCGGTCGAGGAACCGCCGGAGCACCTCCATCATCGACCTGCCCTGCGTGAACAACAGCACCCGATGGCCCTGTTTCTTCCAGATTTTCAACAAAGCCGACACCACCACCATTTTGCCGGAGGATTTGTAATCGAAGCGCAACGATTCCTCGTCGGCCCCGTCCGAGAGATATATGTCGGGATGGTTGCATATCTTCCGCAGCTTCGTAATGGCCACAAACACCTTCGCCCTGACGCCGTGATCACCGCTCCAATTCTTCACCCCCTTGCCCAGGATATCCGCCACAGGATCGCTCTAAAACCGACGAGTTATTGTCAAAAACAACCATCGAGTAGAAATATCCGATGACTTACTAGCAAGTAATCTTTGTACAGGGCCTTTTGCTCGTCGGATAACGAGCAAAACAGCACCTGTTCGGTCTTGTTCGGCAGCGAGACGTGACGTTGCACTTGGTGCTTGGTGCGCCTCAACAAATAAGGGTCGATCAGATCTTTGAGCGCGCCGGCGACGGATAGAGCGGTGGCCTCCTGCGCGTAGGTGGAATTCGAGTAGCCGCCTTGCAGGATCGGCTCGATGAAATGCTCTTGGAACGTTTTCAGATCGCCCAGCATGCCGGGATTCGTGAAATCGAACAAGCTCCACAGTTCGGTGAGATCGTTTTGCATCGGACTGCCTAAAAATCACGCGAAAATTTACGAATTTTCCAACGACTATCGATCGATTTCTAACCGGTGAGCATCAAACGGTGAGGCGTATTCAACGATTTAACGACTTGAGTGGCTTTGGTGGCGGGGTTGCGGATTTTATGGCCTTCGTCTAGTATCACGTAGTGCCACTCGTGCTCCGTTAGATACTTCTCGTACTTAATGACGCCTTGGTAGGTGGTTATGATGACGCCTTTGGTCTTGCGGACGTCTTTGATGAGGCGGTTCTTGTCGCCCTTGTAGCTGCCCGACTGATGGAGCACGGCCGCCCGGAACTCCGGCGCCCACTCGTGGAAGTGCTTGACCCATTGGTGGATCACGGTGGCGGGGCAGACGATCAACGTGGGGCCCAGGCCGACGAACCGGCCGTGACAGGAGCTGATTTGGCTGTGGTGGAGCGAATGGAGGAATACGATGACTTGTACGGTCTTGCCCAGGCCCATTTCGTCGCCCAGCAGGCCGCCCGTCGACTTTCGGTGGATGTTCCACATCCACTTGACGCCCTCTTGTTGGTACCTGGAATGGTAATTACTATAATTACATGATATTGCACAATGCTTTTAGCACTAGCCTGTATAGTTTGTTCCAAATTTTGTAGGGAATTTTCAAGTTGTCTTGTACAGTGTGGACGTCCTTCGAATCGTCCTCCGAAGATTCTTCCTCTTGTTCGAGTAGTTTGTAATAGAGATCCAATCTCGCTTTGTACGACTTGCAATCGCCATCGTCGATGGTTTTTTCTATAAGCGTGCATTCCTTGCGTTTATTTTTCTTTGTTATAACAGTTTGTTCATCTACATAATTATACGAAGGATCTAAAAGTAATATATTGATGAATCGTGTTGATTAATTTCGTTTAATTATTATGTACCGGAGTCTTCATCATCACTCGGTACATATTCACTTCCTGATTTGTCTTCTAAATCGCTATCATCGCGGACTTTTCTCTTCTTGCTATTATTATTTGATTTAATTGTGTCGTTTGCCAAGCTTCTTTGGAAATCTTGGCGTTTTTTCAAATCCTGTTGCTGCTTAATGTACGATTCTACGTTTAAACTAAAATTTTTATCTTCCTTTTCATCAACCTTTTCATTATCGTCTGTAATTTCTCCGTCTTCGGCGGTATTTAGTTCTTTAGCGAAAGTTTGCAATTCTTTTAGGGCCTGTTCTTCGAGAGTGCTTTGATTTTCGGACCAAATATTTATGTTTCCGGCCAACGACAGGCTCTCCAATTCGGAATTCTAAAACAGGAGGAATTAGGGGATTTGTACGGATCGGTTATACAATGTTTTTATCACTTTATTGCTCATTTTTCGTTTGTTTATTTTTGAATATGTACAGAAATGAAAGTGAAAGCGGACATGTTTTTGTTCTGTCACTGTCAATGCGGTCTTCTTTTTTTAGTAAATATTAATTAAAACGGAGCTCAGCTGTTAGGGGTGTACAGCTACTTTTACAAAAAGACGTATGGTTTATTTGTGACAGTTCATGTGTCTTTGTCTTGCAGATAGAAAAAGAATGCAATGGCAGGTGTTTTTAGAAAATTGACTATAGAAAATGTCGGAAAGTGGAAGAGATTGAGGCCGATATTGATACATTCAAATAAGGTAAATGCCGATGAATTTCTCGAAAATTGCATCGGAAAAGCTTGCGCTTATTGACCAGCAAGCGTTTGTTTCAGATGAGTTCCGAAGTGGATAAAGCGCTAGGGGCGAACGCCGAGTCGCAAAAAGAGACGATTTTCGATAAAATTATATCGAAGCAAATACCGGCCGATATAATTTTCGAAGACGACAAGTGCATGGCCTTTAACGACGTCAATCCGCAGGCCCCCGTTCATTTCCTCGTCATACCGAAGAAGAGAATCCCCAAGCTAGACGACAGCACGGAGGACGACTCGAGCGTAAGTTTCATATAAATACTGAATCAACAATTAATAGCGAAAATAACGTTTCAGTTACTGGGCCATGTGATGTTAACGGCCAAGAGCTTGGCGCAGAAACGTTTACCCAACGGGTATCGACTGGTCATCAATAACGGACCGGACGGGTGCCAGTCCGTCTACCATTTGCACATCCACATCTTGGGCGGCAGGCAAATGAACTGGCCGCCGGGCTAACGAAGTAAAAGGCTTTGTAATCTTTGTTCTTCAATAAAAGTTTTGTTAGTGGAATTTTCCATCGAAGATAATCTTCCTTCTAACGCAACGTTGCCAACTATATTTGTATGTGTAATCGATTGTTGTTGTTTCTACCATATAAAGAGACTAAAAATGAAGTTATAAAATGGAATATGTGAGGTGGATATCGCAAGAAATGGCGCCTTATCGAAGAATTAATCACACAAATCGAATAAAGTGTGTAACAAACGTTTTATTTGATACGAAACGAAATGACTAGAAACGCTCGCAATCGCAAATCAGTTCGTCAAGGCGATCAGAGCTTGAACGACGCTCCCGTGGTACTCTCGAAGGGTCCTTTCCGCCAGCGTTCGCGTTATTTCCATTTCCCTTACGATCAAATCGACGTCCTCTTTCTTTATCGACACTTTGAGCAGCTCCTTCTCCCTGGCCTGCTTCTCCAAGGCGTCCTTGTTGCGTCTGTCGCCGATGGCGGAGATCGCGTTGGCGACGTCCTGCGTGTAGATCTCCTTCTCCTCGGCGTAGTCGGTCACCTTTTCCAAATCGGCCGCTCCGCTGTCGTATTTGGCCACTTTCTTTTGGTTCTTCTGGTTGTCGGGCAGGTCTTCGCCGTTCTCGTTGATCGGTTGATCGTCCGCCATCGTATTTTTTTAATGGCAATGTTGTTTGAAACGAAATTTAATAACAGTAAACAACATGAATCTCGGTTTGTTTGTAGGTTAGGTTCTTCTTCTTTTTCTAAATTTTGTTAGATGGACGTTGAAAAAGAGGCCAAATATGACTTATGACAGATTTATTTTTACGACCTTCGAGTTGGTTAAATACGGCCTAGGTGGAGGCCATATAATATAACAATATAACTATTGAAAAAGAAGAACGGCTTTTGATTAACCGCTTATTTTGTTCTTTGGTTATTTAAATAAAAAAAGTAACCCCATTTTTTTGTTAGCATAATATGAAATGTAGCGTTAATTGTGTTATTTTGCAAAACATTAGAATAATGAAGGTGACTGGTCCACCAGACATCACGGGTTGCTATCCTTGTGAGCCCGATCCCGAAATGAAAAGGATAATCGACGAATACCTCATAGAACGCGACGAAGACGGTGCTCAGGAGGCGCTGGAAGCGGCGAAGAAGAAGCTAAGTAGTGTACCGATAGCAGAGACAAATGGCTCGAAAAATGGGGCGAAAAGCACGAAAAATGTTGGAGTTCAATGTGAACTTCTGTCCGATGAACAAAGCCTTCGAGGGCTGATTGATCAATGTGCAAAGATAAATCCGGGTGAGTTGATGGAAATGGCTGCTGGAGGATTTGTTTAACGGCAATTGGGTTGTAGATAACGCTGGGAATTTCAAGAAAATCGTTAAAAGCTGCGCCAGGTTTACTGAGAGTCTCTGGTTTCCCGTTCCCGATGATGCATTAAGCGATATCAGTGATATTAGTACCTTCTCCGATAACAGAAGGACTGATTTGAAGAGGTTTGTAGAGATATGTTGAGGCTGGTTCGATTTTTACATACAATCCTTTAATTTTAGAAAAGCTAGTGGACATTTTGAGAGGGTGAATGGCATCGATGATGAAAATTACGATTGTTCCAATAAAAAATCAAAAAAACAAAAAAGTATCGATAAAGTTGTTAAAAAGAAATCAAAGACAAAAGATAAGAAAACTTCTAAAACTCCTACGAGACACGAGAAGCAATCTGAAGAAACTTCGTTAAAGGATCATTCGAAAAGCGATGGGAAGATTAAAAAGTTTCGAAAAGACTTTGTATTCTACTCTGGTAATAATACGAATGTGTTAAAGAAACAAAATCTTCTAAACTATTTTATTTTTCCAGAGAAATACATGCAGGAAAGTACATCTCGCAGGAATTCCCTTAAATCTACTTGTAATGGTAATTTACTTTATTTGTGATAATTTCTGTATGTATATTTTGAGAATTCAGTGTACTAATGAAGGTATTTTTCGTTCAAGGAGAAATAAATGTGAAAAAATTGGCTAGAAGTTGGTGGAAGGTTGATGTCTCCAAGGAAAGGCCTGATATAGATAAGGGTAAGTTTCACAATACATTGCTGGTCCAGTATCGAGTCTACCTTACCACAATTGGTTTAGTATGCGGTCTACCTTACCGAGTCTGGTAAACCCCGTACTAGACTCAGCAATTGGCAACTGTTTAACGGCAATTGGGTTGTAGAAAACGCTGGGAATTTCAAGAAAATCGTTAAAAGCTGCGCCAGGTTTACTGAGAGTCTCTCGTTTCCCGTTCCCGATGATGCATTAAGCGATATCACTGATATTAGTACCTTCTCCGATAACAGAAGGAATGATTTAAAGAGGTTTCTTAGAGATATGTTGAGGATAGTTCGATTTTTACATACAATCCTTTACTTTTAGAAAAGCTAGTGGACATTTTGAGAAGGTGAATGGCATCGATGATGAAAATTATTTTTATTCCAATAAAAAATCAAAAAAACAAAAAAGTATCGATAAAGTTGTTAAAAAGAAATCAAAGACAAAAGATAAGAAAACATCTAAAACTCCTACGAGACACAAGAAGCAATCTGAAGAAACTTCGTTAACGGATCATTCTAAAAGCGTTGGGAAGATTAAAAAATTTAGAAAAGACTTTGTATTCCACTCTGGTAATAATACGGACGTATTAAAGAAACGAAATCTTCTAAACTATTTTATTTTTGCAGAAAAATACATGCGGGAAAGTACATCTCCGAGGAATTCCCCCAAATCTACTTCTGATGGTAATTTACTTTATTTGTGATAATTTCTGTATGTATATTTTGAGAATTCAGTGTACTAATGAAGGTATTTTTCGTTCAAGGAGAAATAAATGTGAAAAAATTGGCTAGAAATTGGTGGAAGGTTGATGTCTCCAAGGAAAGGCCGAATATCGATAAGGGTAAGTTTCACAATTCATTGCTGGTCCAGTATCGAGTCTACCTTACCATAATTGGTTTAGTATGCAGTCTACCTTACTGGTAAACCCCGTACTAGACTCGGTTTATGGTAGAATTTTCGAGCTATAATTGGAAATATTAAATAAATCTTCCGTTATTTTCTTCAGATGGATTTCTTGATCCGAACAAAGTCTTTTTGCATCCAACTGATGCTAGAAGAAAGGGCGCTAGATCATTGGGAAATGAACATGGAACATATCAAGGTATGTTTGTTGTAAATTATAGTTTGAAGAGTTTGTAGAAAACATGAAGCGTTTTTGGAAAACGATTCTTGAGCGTGCTAGATAGTTCTAAATGATTTAGGCCGAGAACTTTTCACATTGCACTACTATTTTTAAAATCCGTGTTTTTTTTTAGAAGTATCAACGTTTCGTTGTGAGAAGGGTTCAAAATCTTTAGTAGAACGTAAGAAAAGACGACGGCTCTATTCAGAGTCTGTATGGCTGAACTCTGCTTCATTTGATGCAATACTTCCCGAGTTATAACTTCTATTATTTACCGTTTAATATTTTTTTGCTGTCGTTGATTATGTATATAAATAAATATTTTAAGTTTGTATAAAATAAACACGATTTAATTCGAATATGCCGCTTATTTTTATGTTCAAAATAGCAGTAATCTGTATTACCGACTGACACGTGTCAAAAATACGGTTGTACATTCAGGTTTGGAAACTTTGAAATAACATTCCATTCAGGTTGCTGAAGATGCGGCCATAACTTAGACAATCTAATAATTGCTTACACAGATTATTATTCATTTATTTTACTTGAGAGAAATATCGCAAACATCTTCGTTTAGCAAATCACCACAAATTCGATAGTTTCCAGACCTGCACGTAAGACCGCGGTCATAATCGTACGCGTTTAGTTCGTTTGAAGGCCGCGTCGCGGCGGGCCGGTCGTTCTCTCCGCATGTCCCTTTCTACGATTGCGATTTCTGATTGGCCCGCGTCTGGTGCTTTTCAATTTTTTAATGCGTGCGTGTATTCGCGGATAACTCGCCGAAAAAATCCGCTTTTCCGTACAAATATTCGGCGCTTCTTAATACGCGACACTTTGCCGAATTAATCGTATCGTTTCGAGCGTACAGTGCGGTTAATTAAAACAAAACCGGCGGTTTCGGTGTCATGTTATGCATTCGTGAGGCATAAATTGGTCTTCGTGTGACGGTGATAATTAAAATACATTTATTTGTTGTGACACTTTGATGGATTCGCCGATATAGCAAAACAAATCAAGTACGTAGTGTTGCGTTCGTTGTTCATTACTGATAGCCGCAAAAATGATTTGGGTAGGCGTTGAAATTCGATTCCTTCGATTGTTCGGTGGAAATGACGAATCGATTGAGGTTAGGTTAGGTCGCTTTACGCCTCTTATGCCTCTATTGTGCAACGGAGTGAAAGGTGTTCTAAATTTCTGAACTTGTTTTAACTTGTCCCTGTCGCAAAGTTGCCAGGTCAGTAACCAGCACGGCAATTGGACACGAACGTAGGCATCTAGTTGGCGAAAAACAATGCACGTTCGTTCGTTAACAATTTTATCTATTAAATGTTTTATCAATTGAACAACTAATTACGGTAGAAAATTTACTATTGATAGTGTGTAGATGAAAGTTTAATATTAAAGTTTCCAAATGTAATATTTGAAAAATTTCGAAATCAAATTAATTCATCCCTTTCGATCTGGATTTTCGAACCGATCCGGCAACGTTGCCAATTGCGAATAAATCTGGGTCGGCAAAACGTGTTTTCGGTCGATTGTTTATCGATAATTTTGCGTAGCACGCTAGATTTATTTGTTTTAATTAAATTGGCCCCGCACATTCGATTTCGAGTAATTAATTACAGTCGATTTCTAACGAATAACATTTCAAATGAAATGATAAGGTCGCTGTGGCAAATAATACACGAAGTATGCGGGAATTAATTACGCGGAAAATTTTGATTGAATTTGATTAGATTAGGACCGCAGGAAATCGATTTAATCGGAATCGAGTCATCCTAGAATTCGCATAATCGATCGAGATAATTTTAATAGCCTTTGCGAAGGCTCTACAGGTTGAAAGGTGTTAGTCAATTTTAGTCCACAAAATCTGGGGATTTTTCATTAAATCCGGCAATCTTGCCTTAGTAAGACCGGGAAATTAAGAAAACTCGATGTAATTAATTTTTTTTTTCGAATTTATTCGATCGAAATGTCTCCCATAAAATTCCTCTGCAGTATATCGTGCCAGTTATTACTCATTGTTCTCTAAGCTTTAATTTATTTAATCTATCGATTGAATTACATCGCGTCCTCGCCGATTGAAGGTCGAATTTCATTTATTTAAATCGAATGAGAAGAAAAACCGATTCGAAAGTACCGCGGGGATTTAATGTCGATAAAATCTCGACGAAAATACCCGTTAAAACAATTAATCATCATTAAAAACTCGACGAATTTATCTTTTAATGCGGCTAATCAGTAATCAATAACCGAATTTCATCTGCCTTAATCCCGGGCGACTTGACTTCGTTTTTTAATTCAATTCATGCTGTCAATCAACTGTCAAATCTTAACGGAGCGAATTAAAAACCGAATGACATCAACAGGCGGAGGCCTTTCATAATATCTGATAACAAGAAGAATTAAATCGAATTTCACGCGAAAAATACGCACACTGGTATATTTTCGTAGGTTTCTTGCGGGTATCTAATCTTATCTAATTGGCGGTTTTCGTGTTTTCATCGCAGGTTTCGTCGGTTCCGTTGAGCATTCCAACTCGCAAGACGGGTTCGTACGCAAAGCGTCCTCTGAGGAGCGACCCCGACGAGGTCGAAACGTCGGATTTGGGCTACCCGATGCTCTATAGGTTGCTGTTCGCCATAACGAGATTGGGCCGATCGCCCAGGAAAAAAAGCGACCCATAGAGGAGACACAGTGCGAAGGGATATTTTTTTTTATTTCATTTTAAATTTTGACATTGATATTCGATCGGTGAATTTATACGCCAACGATGAATAGTGAGCAGAGGAACAATTTGAAGAAGTTCTCGTTTCTCGGGTTCCACAACAGGAGCTCCTTGAAGGTGGGTACGATTTTTTTTTATTGTTGATTGTTATTGGTAGGCTTTGGAATGTCAGATGTCAAAAACATCAAAAATTAAGGAAAATAAACGTTTAGAGAATTCAATTTAAATTTGGTATACTAATAATAAAGCGCTTATGAGTAAATTATGTACGAAATTTTATATAAATTATCAAAATATCCATCACTATTCTTCTCGCGCTTTGCACATTAACAATAATCTATCGCCATCTCTCTCAAAATCTCTGCAGATTTTTTTATTTTTCGAGCTGTCACTCAAACGTCAAAATATTATTCACGCGAAACCGGCAAACAAGAACATTTTACGGAAAACTTGTAAGAATAGTACCGCATTCGCGGGCCTCCACAATCACTCACTTATCACCTGAAACATACCAAAACTGAAATTTCAAAGATAACTCGATGTTTCGCAACTTCCATCGAGATATCGTCCAATCGAGCGACAGCAAAAGTGACAGTGACAGTGACCTTGACGCGGAGGATGCGTCACGGCCGTCCGCGATAGCGCCGCGCCGGCTCGGTATCGATCCCGCAGGAGGATTTTAATATCCTGGTATATGGGAATAGCGGAGTTTCCGCTCGGCGCTCAGTCGGCAGGTCAGTGTTCGGGGGAGAGATCTCGTCCTCCTGACCTGGAAATTGCGCTCGGTTTTCTCCCTGCTGCGGTCGATTCCGGGATCATCTGATCTCCCGACGTTTTTGGCGGGCCTTTTTTTTCCACCTTCCTAACGTTTGGATTTGGATTCGACGATGTAGTGTGGATGATGTATTGACGAGGCGATGGATTCGATGACGGGTTTATCATGTAAATGGAGTTGTTTTTTTCAGTATTAAATGTGCCATATTAAGCTGTTTATATTCATGTGTTTTTTTTTGTTACGTTTTATGCTATTTTACGGTTTGGGACGTTTCATTAAAATGAGTTTATAAATTGAAATTGTTGTGTAAACGTATTTTGCGCAGTGACGATTTTGAAGCGGAAATGTTACATTTTATCTCCGAAATTTTAATGTCAATGTTGTTAGATTAATATAAATTATTATATTTTTTTCATACAGTTTGAGGGTAGGGTGAAAAATTCTCGGCCTGGATTATTTATAACCGTTTAGTACAATCCAGGATGCTCCAGAATCATTTAGAACTGTCTGGTGAACCATTTAGAGCGCTTCAGAACCATTTAGAATGCTCCAGAATCATTTAGAAATGTCTAGAACCATCTAGAACGCTCCGTAGTCATTTAGAAGGCTCCAGAATCATTTAGAATTTTCTAGATTCATTTAGAACAATTCAGAATCATTCAGGACGTTCCAGAATCATTTAGAACTGTCTAGAATCATCTAAAACGCTCCGTCGTCATTTAGAACGCTCCAGAATCATTTAGAATTGTCTAGAATCATTTAGAACACTTCAGAATCATTTAGAACGCTCTAGAATCATTTAGAACTGTCTGGCGAACCATTTAGAGCGCTTCAGAACCATTTAGAACTCTTCAGAATCATTTAGAACTGTCTAGAACGCTCCGTAGTTATTTAGAACGCTCCAAAATCATTTAGAATTGCCTACAATCATTTAGAACACTTCAGAATCATTTAGAACGCTCCAGAATGATTTAGAACCATCTAGAACGCTCCAGAATTCTCTCGAACGATTTCGATTTTTATTAAGAATAATACTGTAATTTTTTAATTGACAACTTTTCACCTTACCCTTGTATATTCTACTAGTAGCTATTTATGTATTAGAAATTGTCGTTACAATGTTATTATTTTGCATATTTCTTAGTTGAAATTATTGTGTAAACGTATTTTGCACAGTGCCGGTTTCAGCGCGAAACGTCACGTCAAACTTCCAACGATAATTTTATCGATTCACCCGATCGATAATTATCGTTTAATTATCGCGCTCTAATCGAATTAAAGCGACGCTCGTGCCTTAATTGGATTGGAAAAAATACAAATAAAAAAAAAACACACACACACACACAAACACGTAATCAATTCAGTCGTTTCTCTCGCGGTCTTCCCCCTCAAACAAGTAGGTCATGGTAAATGTCAATTCGTTTGTTTTGTTCGAGTTTTCCGATCGCAAAACAATTTATAACCGAAAAAAAAAGATACATGCAAATCGGATTCGATTAGTTTTAGCGCGCCGATGTTTCTTACATGACAAACGAGCCGGTCGGTTTTTTTTTCCTGTTCCAGAATAATGGCGGACAAAATGGCGGCGAGCTCCAGTTGGACGAGGAGTGCGCCAAAGTGTTCGCAATGGAAAGCGACTCCATCGGCTTCGACTTCCACGATACGCCGTTCACCGGCCAGCCGAAGTTCGACGAAAAGGACTACGAAGGTGAGTACAAATGGGGGTTCACCCGAACCGCCGCGGCCTCTTCCTCTACGCTACTTCAGTTACCCCGAACGAATTTCTTCCGATTATCGAATGAATCATGATCGAATGTATCGTTGTTTTCGGCCGTCAAGAACATCGACAAGACTACCCGCACGTGCACGCTCCGCTCAAGATCAGCTCCAAGTCGATGAAACGCCGCCTGTCGTCGGCCCCGTGGGGCTCCGTGACGGAGTCCCCGACGCTCGAGCTCAAATCGCCCGACGTCGACGATCCCAACTTCGGTACGTCGGAAACCCGTCCGCTCGTCCGCGATGATTCCACGATTGTTATGATTTTCCAGGCCCGCCGGCGGACGAGCCGAACTCCGATTCGGAGCCCGAATGCGTGCTGTCCGATCCGTGCCTGCACCAGGACAACACCGACGACGACGACGACGAGGACGAGCGCGACCGCAAGGTGTCGTTCGTGCGCGCCGAAAACGCCGATCAATTCGACGCCGAAGGGCTCAAAGAGAAGAGGAAACGGTAAGGAAAATAATCCTCGCTGAAGTTCGTACGTTTCGAAATGACCAATGAGAACGTCTCGCGAGCCGGCCCGTCGCGGTCATTATTTAGAACGGTCTAGGTCGCTCTAGAGTCATTTAGAACTGTCTATGAGCATTCAAAAAGCTCCAAAATCATTTAGAACTGTCTAGTATCATTTAGGACACTTCAGAATCATTTAGAATGCTCCAGAACCATTTAGAACAGTCTATAACCATTTGGAATGCCCCAGAATCATTTAGAACAGGCTAACACGATTTAGAACGCCCCAGATCCATTTAGAACAGTCTATAACCATTTGGAATGTCCCAGTATCATTTAGAGTGCTCCAGAATCATCTAGAACAGGCTAACACTATTTAGAATGCTCCAGAATCATTTATAATTGTCTAGTATCATTTAGAATACTTCAGAATGATTTAGAATGCTCCAGAACCATTTAGAACAGTTAGAACAGTCTATAACCATTTAGAATGCCCCAGAATCATTTAAAACTGGCTAGTATCATTTAGAACACTTCAGAATCATTTAAAATGCTCCAGAACCATTTAGAGCGCTCCAGAATCATCTAGAACTCTCTAAAACGATTTAGAACGTTTTACAACTGTTTCAAACCATTTAGAACTGTCTCGTTACATCTTTATAACTGTCCAGTATCATTTAGAACGCTCCAGAAAAATAGAAAAATCTCTGGAAAAGCCACAAAAACAACAAATCGTAGTCGAAACGTCCCCTAGTCATCGTTTCTAAATTGTATCTAAATCTAAATCGTTTTTAAAACGTACGAACTTTAGTCCTCCCATCTCTCCTCCCGTCGATAACTAAACTCGCTTCGGTACCGCCAGACGCCATCATCACGGGCACCGCGCCAAGTTCCGCAAGTACTCGCTGCCCGCCGACTCCTCCGCCAAGCTATGGGAACCGTCCGCGGCGCTCGCCAAAGCTCGCAGGGTGTCCACCCAACCGGAGGACCGGGAACTCGCGCCCAACGATCGCGATCAATTGGACAGCCACAGGTCGGTATGACTAGCGCAAGTACCCTTCGCGGGTACTAATAGGGGATGTTTAAACGTAGGTCCGACGATCCGAGGGCCCTTCGAAGGCACAAAACGCACAAGGGTACGACGATGCACGTGGGCAAAGGGGCCGATTTGCATCCGTTCCTCAAGAAGCTCTACGATCACAGTCCGCACGCCGTAAGTAATTTTCGAATTACCTGTTAATCGATCGTATATCGATTCGTTTAATGTGTGTAGATATTCGTGGAATTGGCCGAGTACTTCGAGGACGCGGACGTCAGCGAATGGAAGCAGACCGCCCGCTGGATCAAGTACGAGGAGGACGTCGAAGAGGGCGTCGACAGATGGGGCAAGCCCCACGTGGCCTCGCTCAGCTTCCATTCGTTGCTGAACCTGCGCCGGTGCCTCGAAGAGGGCGTCGTCATTCTGGATATGGAGGAGAAGGATCTACCGGGAATCGCTTACAGGTAGATGTAGACGTAGATGTAAAGGACATTCGCGCTCGCTAGGCGATGACGTCATTGTTTGACGACAACGTTGCATCAGGTTGGCTTGTGACGTCATTGCCTAGCGAGCGCGAATGTCCTTTAGACCCCGAATTCATCGCAACAACATACGAAATGCTATCGATTTGTTGCAGAATATCCGAGGATTTGTACAAGGAGGACCTGATCAAAGAGGAGGACAAGGCCAGGGTGATGAGAACTTTATTGTTACGTCATCGACACGTCAATTGTCATCAGAGTTCCGGCTTCCGGTTCGCCAATAAGAAGCACAGTTACACGTCCTTGCAGGTATGCATCATGCGCATCCATCATCATCATCTTTCATCGTCTCGTACCATCCCGACGGTGTTAGTAAAAAAAGGCGCAAATGTTTTTTTGACGTTTTTGTAGTCCGTCTGGTTGGAAGATGGCGTCGACGCCGCCTACTTGACGTCGTTGTCCCGTTGTTCGTTGTGCTCGCAGCACGGCCAACTGCGCAAGGCGACCTCTCTCGTCAGAGGCTACTCCTTTCCGCACGTAATGATAACCGATCGCAGGATATAATTCCTATTCCGCTTGATTAGTAGATCAATACAGTTTGTACGTTGTAAAATGGCTATGGCGTCATTTTTAGTAATGTCCGCGCAGTTCGAAATATCCCTAGTGTGCGATATGGTAATAATTTTATAGTTTGACTAGGGGAATTTAACGGCGCGCGGTTGTATTGCCGATGCGTTGTTGCCATATCGTTAGCCTCAAAATTCCGCTATTTGTTGTTGACAGGTTTCGACTGCAATTTGCTGTTTTTGTGGCTTTTCCAGCGATTTTTGTCTTTTTTTTTTGAGCGTTCTAAATTATTCAGGAGGATTCTAAATTGTTCTGGAAGGTTCTAAATCATTTTGACCAGTTCTAAATGATTCTGGATCGTTCTAAATGGTTTTAGATAGTTGTCGATGATTCTGGAACGTTCTGAATGATACTAGACAGTTCAAAATGATTCTGGAACGTTCTAAATTCTGTTGATTAGATTCTGTGGAGCGCTCTAAATGGTTTTTGTATTGGTCCAGTTTTTTTTTCATGCGGTTTCTGTTTACCAGTTTCTCCCGCATTTTTCTCCTCCCGATGTTTTTTTTCTTGTTGTAAACATTCAAAGTAAATATAGGGTGTTTATTACAAATGTATCTGTCACCTAAAGGATTTCGATTCCAACCCGGCAACGTTGCGACATACTCTCTCTCGTGACGTCATTGTCATTTTAAAACGTACGAACTTTACGTAGATTCGTGATTACTTTTTTTTTAATTTTGTTTATGTATACGCCACATTATATTGTTTTACACGCATGATACAATAAGAGAAGATATGATATTGCGCATGTGGGCGTGACGTCACAGGTGAGAATCTTCGGAAAAATAACAAACATAACCTTATTCTTTGACATATATGTCAAATTCTTATTTCTTTTTTCTTGTTATTTATATTATTGGAATTACTATTTAAAATATTCTAGAGTTTTTTAATATTTCATCTTAAAAAAGGTGCTAAATTTCATTGCATATCCTATTTTCGTTTGAATTTAACTCACCAGTGACGTCATTGCGCAAAGCGAATCATATCTTGTATATTTGTATCATCTTTTACACGCTTCCTTAGACGTTTTCTAGCCCGCGTTTCGTCTATCAATCTCATCATTCGCTCGGTATTTAATTTAACGGCCCCCCGCCTCGCGTTCCAGAACCTGTTCGAAGTGGAGAAGCGCAAGATCAGCCTCACCGTCGACGCCGCCTCGCTGAAGAACGGCGGCGATTGCGCGCAGGACGCGCTCCTCAAGCCGCACGATCCGTCCCACCACCACCATCACCATCAGCATCACCAGCACGTGGTCGATCTGAAGGAGGACCAGCTGCAGGGCAGCTGCGAGGACGTGCGCCGCGGCCACCAGGACGCCATCATCAAGCGCATACCGGCCGGGGCGCAGGGCTCCACCGTGCTCGTCGGCGAGGTGGACTTCCTCGACGCGCCGGCCATCGCCTTCATACGGCTCGCCGAGGGCGTCGTGGTGCCCTCGCTCATCGAGGTCGATATACCGCTGAGGTGAGTATAGATATACAGTGAGGACCAAAAGTCCGTCGCCCCCCCCCCTTTAACTTTTGAATGGTAAGAGCTTTTGTCGCGCAATTTGGGTTGTTTATATTGGAGTAAAAATACTATTTTTTGACCAGGATAACTTAATAAGGGGGTAGCGGCATTAGGTCGGAGTTTAGAGAAGAGGGTGACTGAGGTAAGGGGAACGCAGAAGTCAAATTAGGTTGGCAACAAACACTACAAACAGTGACAAAAGTGTCAAAAGTTGTGACAAAAGTGTCACATTAGAACTGTTGGCTAACCTTTTTAATGAATTTGAATTCAAAAATTGTTCCTAAGGTTGTGTTTTGAACGTTTATAATTGCTTTTATATGTGCGTTGTGTGTTATTTGAATTTTATTTATAAACAAATAGAAAGTTATTGGTCTTTTACCGTTTACATGAACTATACAATTTAAATTTTCGCGCCAGATTGACGTTTGCGACTTTTCATACGTCACCAAAATGGAACCCTCTTCCACCTCAAAATGCCATTACCCCCTTATTAAATTATCCTGTTTTTTGTAATTCTTACGCCACTAATGACACAATCTAATTCGTTCGTTATGTGATTGGTTAGCGACTTTACACGTCACTTGTCAAAATTTTAAATTTAAAACGGCCATATTTCCTAAACTATTAAACATTTTCATCAACTAAAAACTGCTCCGACTTCCAATAACTCGTTTCCACTCACATAATCTCGCTAAAAACTCGTACATCACCCATCCATTCGCTCGCTTTCGTAGGTTCATCTTCCTGTTGCTGGGCCCCAAATTGCCGAACATCGATTACCACGAGGTGGGCCGGTCGATATCGACGTTGTTCTCCAACCAGCAATTCCACAGCATCGCCTTCAAGGCGGAGACGCGCAAGGAGCTGTTATCGGCGATCAACGAGTTCCTCGACGACAGCATCGTCCTGCCTCCGGGCGATTGGGAGCGCCAGGCGCTGCTGCCCATCGAGGAGATCAAGGCGAAGAGCGACGCCATCAAGCGGCGCAAGGAGAACGCGCTGCGGAAGGCGCGCGAGGCCCAGGGCATCGTCTCCAAGCCCTTACTGGCGCAGGGTAAACTAATAAACAGTGTTGTTAAGTAGTTAACTATACACTAATTCCAAAATAGTAGGCACTAAATTCTCAGAAATGATTGCGATGAGTCTCTCCCAGTGGCGTAATTCGCCCAGTACTTGTAATTGTAGTTAACTACATTATACAAAGTAGTTTTAACAACACTGCCAATAAACGATTACAAGAAAAATTGTTGTAATTAATGAAAGTTTTTTGTCGTGTAGACGGGGACGAGAAGAAACCGCCGGCGGACGATCCGTTGACGCGCACGCGCCGACCCTGGGGAGGGCTCATCAAGGACCTGAAACGTCGTTATCCCTTTTACAAGAGCGACATCACCGACGGGTTGAACGTGCAATGCATCGCTGCCACTATTTTTATGTACTTTGCAGCCGTTTCTGGTAAATTTTATTTTCGCTTCGGTACTCCCTCTGTACTTTGCTCAATAAGGCTTGGTATAGTGGTACCAGAAATAAACGAGAAGACTTTTAAATACAGAAATTTAATGTCCTATTCTAAATCTACTCTGAATTTACTCTTCCGAATCTACTCTAAAATGTACTCTGAATCTGCTCTTCTGAATGTACTCTGAATCTAAACTACTCTGAATTTACCCTTCCGAATCTACTCTAAATGTACTCTGAATCTACACTTCTGAAGGTACTTTAAATCTACTCTTAAACCATCTTATGAATCTATTCTTCTGAATCTTCTCTAAATGTAATATGAATCTACTCTAAATATATTCTGAATGTACTCTTCAACTACTCTGAATTTACTCTGAATGTACTCTGAATCTACTCTTTTGAATGTACTTTGAATCTACTCTGACTATACTCTCAATATATTCTTAAACTACTCTAATTCAGCTCTGATTATACTTTCAATCTACTCTTAAACTACTCTGATTATACTCTCAAAACTACTCTTCAACTACTCCGAATCCACTATTAAACTACTCGTCTGATCTATACCCAATTCACTTGTCAGATTATAAATTACACAATTTCCAGGCGCGATAGCCTTCGGCGGCCTGACCGGCGACAAGACCGACAGCCTCATCGGCATCTCGGAGACGCTCCTCTGCACGAGCGTCAGCGGCGTCATCTTCGCCCTGCTGGCCGCCCAGCCGCTCGTCATCGTCGGCACCACCGGCGCCCTGCTCCTCTTCGACGAGAGCCTCTTCCAGTTCTGCGAGGCCAACGGCCTCAGTTTCCTGGCGACGCGCGTCTACGTCGGCCTCTGGCTGAGCGTCATCGGCGTCGCCATAGCCGCCTTCGAGGGCAGCGTGCTGGTCAAGCTGTTCACGCGCTTCACCGAGGACATCTTCTCCACGCTGATCGTGCTCATCTACATACTGGAGAGCGTCGAGAAGGTGTGCATCGCCTTCCAGAAGCACCGGTTGTTGGCGAACTATTGCACCGGAAACACCACGAATGTCACCGTGGAATCGATCGCGATCGATGCGGATCTATCGAATCAGCCCAACACCGCGTTGTTTTGCATGATACTCACGTTGGGCACGTTCGCGATCGCCTACTATCTGAGGATGTTCCGGAACAGCCAGTTTTTAGGCAGGAGCGTAAGTGTTTCTACGGCCTCTTACGTCGCCTTATAACGGTTATTTATTTAATGTTTGATAGGCGAGAAGAGCGCTGGGCGATTTCGGTGTGCCCATCGCCATCGTGGTGATGGTCGCCGTCGATTACGCCGTGCCGCAGATCTACACCGAGAAGCTGAACGTGCCGGTGGAGGGGCTGGCGCCGTCGGCGCCGCGACGCCGCGGTTGGGTCATATCGCCGCGCGGCGTGCCGCTTTGGATCGCTTTCGCGGCCGTCGTGCCCGCCGTGCTCGTCTACATACTGCTCTTCATGGAGACCCAGATATCAGAGTAATCCATATATCAGTTTTTGATAGGACAGTCGCGTTTGGAGAGTAGATAGTAAGGAGTAGAGACTGGTAGAGAGAGAGTGAATAGTAGAGATCGGGGGCTGCATAGTAGGGAGTAAAGACTGGAGAGTGGAGTTTAGAATGATGTTGTGAATTAGAGCAGATTACAGTAGAGTAAAGAGTAGAAGAGAAAAGAGAGTAAAGAAACGAGAGCGGAGAGTAGAGTAGTGTGGGGAATTAGAATCAAATTACTACAGAGTATAGAGTAAAGAGACGATACTAGAGCAGATGAGCTAGTGAATTAGAGCAGATTACAGTAGAGTAGAGTGGTAGAGAAAAGAGACGAGAGTAGTAAGTAAAGAGTGGAGAGTAGAATAGTGTGAGGAATTAGAGCAGATTACTCTGCAGAGAGTGAATAGTGGAGAGTAAAGTGCGGAGAGTAGAATAGTGTAGGGAATTAGAGCAGATTACTGAAGAGTAAAGAATGGAGTAGTGTGGGGAATTCTTGCGTGGGTTAGCGGAAATTCGGTACGGAGCGAGTTCCGGTGACACCGAACCTTCTTTTCCTGACGATTAGGTCAATTTCTACCTACAATCTCGCGTTTCAGGTTGATAATAGGCAAACCGGAGCGAAAGCTGAAGAAGGGCTGCGGCCTCCACCTGGACATCGTCCTCATATGTCTCATCAACGTGCTGTGCGGCTTCTTCGGCTTCCCGTGGATGTGCGCCGCAGCCGTCAGATCGATCGTTCACACGTCAGCCCTGACGGTCATGTCCAGGACGCATGCGCCCGGCGAGAAACCGCATCTCATCGAGACCAAGGAGCAGCGATTGTCGGCCCTGTTCGTCGCCATTTTTATCGGTACGTCATACTGTCATACTTCACCTGTCATCGATTATTGACAACAATACTATACTTCATCCATCCAACCGACGGAGTAACTAAAACAAAGTTAGACGCTGGATCAAAGCGTGATCACCTGTGATTGGCCAGCGTAAGGAGGCTTCTTTTATTTTTGATTACTCCGTTGGTTGGATGGATGAAGTATAGCTTATCTGATGAATCTCTAATCGAACTATCGTTGAGATTCGTTCGTTCTGTGGCCTCCTACGCGCTTAGTCGTCCATTTTGACTTTTGATTTTTTTTTTGACAGGTTTGTCAGTGTTTATGGCTCCTTTATTGAAGCTGGTGCCTATGGCTGTGGTGTTGGGAATATTCCTGTATATGGGGGTGGCCTCCGTCGATGGTATACAGTTCTTTGACAGGACAAAGTTGCTGTTTATGCCTGTCAAACATCATCCTCAGGCGTCGTACGTCAGAAAGGTGAGTCGTTGAAAGTTTTCTCTGTGTTTTTGAGAATCAAACTTGTCACAAGTTGAAGTGACGTTGTCAAAAAAATAGGTCATTTTTAGTGTTGTGGTCTCAGTTGCTTCGGTTATTCGGCCTAATAAACCGTTATTGTAGGTTTTCAACGTTGATTAAAAGGAAACGGGCTTTATAATTCGATTTTCAACGAGGTAATCGTTTCTTTTAATTGAAAATGCTTGTTGGAAAAATCAACGAAGCGTTAAAAACACTACCAGCATAATAAGAAAGTGTTATTTGCGCTTAAAAATAAACTTTTATCTGCCACGATAATATACAAACTCAAACTCATTGCGGTATATTATTTTATTTCGCGCCACTCTGTATAATAATATCGATGCAACTGAATCGTGGTTAATGAACGATGAATTTATTTTGATTGTGATATTTTGATTCGGAAATAACGTAAACAGTGATAAAACGCGCCATTTCCTGCTTGTCAAGTTATCTTAAACACGTTCGAGATTGTTTAGAAAATATCAATCAAAACGGTCGCTTTATATCGTTTTATTTTCCCGTTAATTTACGATTTAATGTCCCATTGTCGGGTGAATAAAACCGGAGCACTTTAACGAAAAATCAAAGGAAATTCCTTCGCTATGCGCATTCGTTCCTGCATACAATTCGTGGGATTATTTTAATTTCATTGATGAATTTCGACACGTAGAGCGTGTGGAAACGTGTCCGATTTCATTCATTCGATTACGTCCAGTCACGTTATGTTGCGTTACTTTTCAACACGTTTGGTAATCGAGGATGCGCCGTTACTCGAAGAAAAATTAAATAAATAATAACCGGAAACGTCACCCTCGCAGGAGCCTGTTTCGAATTATAATCGCGCGAAATTTCCTAAGCGAATTCCGGTCCGATTTTTCGAAGGCTCTCTAAAAAAATTTTGAAGAAAACGGAAAGTGAATTATTTATGTAAATTCGGCGATGAATAATTTATTCGAAACGTCGTTTCTCTCGAGCCGGTTCCGCTTAAAATTTACGATTTTATTACGAAATGTCTTATGCAAGTTCGATTATCGAAATCAATTCTTGCGCGATTAAAAACGCGTTATAATTTTCATCGATTATATTTGATTAAAATCACAAAAAAAATCTATAATTAACATCCAAGATAATTATACTTAATACTTATACATATTTCCAAAAAAAAAGTCTTTACATCATCAGTCATGGCTACAAAAGAAAAAAAGAATATAATCTTTTCGGAACGCGAACGCAATTTGAACCAATTCCAAATTATGTACATACACACACACTCATATCCCTCTCAAAACAACCCTTTCTTCTTCTTCTCCTTCTTACCGTCGCCGCCGCCGGCCGACTCTCTGCCGCCCTCCAGCGATCTCCTGCGCAAATCCTCCACGGTGATCTGGTTCTCGCGCTCCCACAGCTCCTTCTCCTCCTCGAACATCCGCCGCTTCTCCTCCAGCTCCTTCGCCTGCGCCTCCAACGTCTTCTTGGTGGCCTCGTGCCGGCGCTGCAGCTCGCCCTCGCTGTCCTTCAGCTTCTGCTTCTTCTCTCGCACCTTCATCTCGAACACCTGCTCCATCTCCGCCTCCATTTTCTTCATCTTCAGCTCGTGCTCGCGCTTCTCCTCGTCCATCTGCGTCAGCGGGTTCTTGTTCGACAGCCTGGTCGGCTTGCCGTCGGCGCCGAGCCCGGCCAGCTTGCAGCACCTGTAGTTCTCGTAGTGCACGTTGTTGGTGACGTCCTTGAGGTCCTGCAGATGGGTGCGGATGATGGTGTTGCGCAGCGCTATGAAATCGCAATGCTCGAGATTCTCCACTTCGGCGACGCCCCACGGATACTTCCGGCCGCGCACCTTCTTCCCGTCGACCTCCACGACGGCGTTGGCGCCGACCACGGCGAACGGCACGCGGTTCTTCAGCATGGCGTTCAGCTTGTTCTCGTCCTCTTCTTCGAGCTGCGTGTCGGGGAACTCGTAGATCTTGATCTTGTTCTGCGTGATCTCGTTGAGGATCTGCCGCTTGGACAAGGCGCACTCCTCGGAGGTGAGCGTGTCCGCTTTGGCGATCACCGGGATGATGTTCACTTTGTCGCACAGCCGCTTCATGAATTCGATGTCCAACGGTTTCAGACCGTGCCCCGACGGGCGGATGAAGTACAAGCAACAGTGGACGCGCTGATCCTGATTGGATTTCCTGGTGACGCGCGACTCCGAATTCAAATAGTCCTCGTACTTGTCCTCGATGTAGTCGATGATGGGCGCCCAGCAGTTGCTGTTGTCGACGGCGTCGCCGAAGCCCGGCGTATCGACGACGGTCAACGTCAGATTGACGCCGTTCTCTTTCATCAGCACTTTGGTCGTTTCGACTTCGACGGTCTTCTTCAGCCGCTGGCTGGGGCCCGGATAGTCGGGCGAGTAGATGTCGGTGAGGAACATGGAATTGATGAGCGTCGATTTGCCCAGGCCCGATTCGCCGACCACCATCAGCGTGAATTCGAAGCCCTTCTTCACCGCTTTCCGGTACACCTGGTTCGGTAGGTTCGCGAAGCCCACGTACCCGTCCAGTTCTTTCACTTTCGGCTTCGGAGGCGGGCATTCTTTGGGCGCCGTCGCGACGGCGCCGGGTTTCGGCGTCGCGTCGTTGGCGTCGTTGGTTAGGCAGCGGGTCTCGTTAGAGGCGGTTTTGGCCGGTTTGGCGGCCGGTTGGAGCGGCGCCGTCGCCGCCCCTTCGCCCGTCGGCGAGCCGGTGGAATTGAAGAACATCTCTCGCTTGCTTTGCACGGAGGCGGTCGGCGTCGGCGGGTTGTCGCCGTTGGTTTGAGGCGAACCGCCATTGGGGGCGGTCAAACCCTGTAAACAATTCATTCAACGTTTAATTAACCGGTCAATAATATCGAAATTTTGATTCTTTATAAACAATTATTGCATTAGATGATTGGAAATAATACAAGTGAGAGTTCAATAAACTATTCGTGTCGTTCGATATATTAAAATAAGCTTTGGAAAATTACAAATTTCTCGAAAAATACAATTGTTCGAACGAAGAATCTGCTGTATTAATTGCATCAAGGCGGCCTTGGTCGTTAATCGTTAACGCAACAATTCCTGCGGGGCCGGGTTTCGAAAATAAAACCATTCTACCGCGGGTTATTTAACGAGAGTTTCCGATAAAGTTTTATAGAAATTACACGCAAACGAATTTATCGCACGTTTACACAATGCATCACGCTGCGTGTTTTGTACAATTTCCACCGCGAATGTGTCAATGTTTTGTTAAAATATTTTCGAAAGCGATCCGGAAATTCCTTTCGAGCAATTCCATGAGCCGCTTTCGATAAAAATAAAATTCCCTATTTGAATTTTTAAAAATATTAATCACTACGCGTTATTAAAAAAAATACGTTAAAATTTTTAAAGTGACATAATCCGAAATTAATTTAGTTTTGACGCGTACGTCATTAACGTCAAATTTGACAGCACAGCACACTAGAAATCGTCGATTACATTCGAATTAATTACATCATTTCCAATCGCTCGTAAACGTTTTCGAAGTACTCGTAAACACAATCGGAGCCTCCGTACGAACGTTTCGATGCGTACCAACGAAATTAAAATGTATTTACCGGATTCTGTTGATCCAAGAACTTCTGCCTCATGGCCAGCCTGTCCAAGCTGGACAACCGATAGGAGCCGCCGATGCCGTCCTTGTCCCTCTCCCTGTTCAAGCTTCCCGCGTTGAAGCTGCTCGTGTACTTGGGCAACGTCGGCGGCGGCGTCGGCTTGTTGACGTTGACGCCGTTGTTGTCCGCGTTGTTGCGGCTCAGCAGCCCGCTGCTCGATGTGTACAGGTAGCTGCTGGGCGCGATGCCCGGCCTCGACTTCACCGTGGCCGTCGTCGCCGTCGGATTGTTGGCGCTCATCTCTCCACGCCGATCGCCGCTGGCGCTGCTATCGGGGATGTATTCCGCGTTCGAAGTCTGAATAATACTCGCGGTAGCGAAACGTAAACAACGCGAATCGGATGAGTCAATGGGTTCGTGTGTTGTGTTGCACCTACCACGCCCTCGGCTTTTTCTTCTATACCATCGTCGGCCGGCGGAATCGTGCGCGATCTCCCGGGCGATTTTCTCGACGTTCGTTCGATCACTCGCTTTCGATTATTAGGAGCGAAAACGGTCGGATGTTTTCATTGTTTTGTTAGAAACTGGGCTCGTTTGGTGGCACTGTTACTCGCTTACTGGTTTAGGTTATACTGCGAAAAAAAAACCGATAGAAAACATGACAGATGACGTACGGGGCGTGCTGTTCTTGTTCGATGGCGCGAGCGAGAAAGCGATGGCGATAGTAGCGAGTTTACAGGAGAAGGAGATCGGCGGTTAAAGGGTGGGGAATTTAGGCGAGTGCGAGAGAGTAGGGTATAGTCGGGTGGGAATATGGCGGACGATTTCGCTTCTCTGTTTGATGATTTATAGTACGGGCGACAAAGCCAGACTTAGTTCGTTTAATTTGTTAGTAGGGGCGATAAAAGTTTGTAAATTATTTTTTTTAATTAAGTTTATTAACTCGATCTAATTGAATTAATCGATTATTTCAGGTAAAAACGATGAAAATGCACCTGTTTACGTTCATCCAATTGATCTGCCTGGTGGTGTTGTGGGTCATCAAATCGACGAAGGCGTCGCTGGCTTTTCCGTTTTTCCTGCTTCTGTTGGTACCACTGCGGTCGCAGTTGCCTAAATTGTTCTCCCAAAGAGAACTCAGAGCGGTGAGAGCTTTATTAGTTTACATTATTTCCCTTTTATTAATTATCAACACCAATTTACACTTAAATGTTGATATTTTTTTGTAGTTGGACGGCGATCAGGCCGACGTCGACGACCAGGAGCCCGATTTCTACGCGCAGGCGCCTCTACCTGGCTAAAAAAATCCTAAACCTTAAGTTCAATTAGAAAAAAAAGCCAACTCTCATTAGAGTTTAAATTTAACGATACGAGAAGTCTCGTAGGATTCTCTCTATTTTCGATTAGCAATAAGTGGAATGTTGGTCGTTCTTGTAGCCGGGGATTTACCCGATGAATTCTTCCTTTTCGAAGGCCTCTTGCGTATTATCGCATCTAGCCAACTTGGCGAGGTAACGCCAACATTTCACCGGCAATTAAACTTATCGAACTAAAACCGATTTACAAATTTAGCTTCTAGATACAACAAAAAAAGTATTAGATCAAACTAAAGTTTTCGTCGTAGAACGATACAAACGAGTAATAAGTAGGTATATATTTTTATAGTAGCAAATCTAGGCCTACTGGATCGTATGTAAGAGAAGTTTTAGAATCAAATGAACGATTTGAATTCTTTAAAATTCCAAAATGTCTCTCTTGTTACCTCCGTCTCTCTTTTAAATTCGCAAGCACGCCATTGCGAAATTAGTTGAAAACAGTATTTCCTAAATCTGTGATCGAGTTCTTATATTAATAATATCTCTAAGTTTAAAAGAAATTATAAATTATATAGATATCTATATAGTAATAAAAGAGTTGATACATATTATTAAAGTTGTTTTATTAAGGTATAGGGGGGTATAATTTCTGGAAGGGTATCTGCCCCTCGATGGACTTGAACAGCAAATCTTGCATTATATTCGTCACGACTTTCTCCAAAACCGGCTTCAAATCTTGAAACAACTCGTTGACGTTGTCGTTGATCACCTTATTCGTTATGTTACCTGCAAACGAACGAATTAGCAGTGGAAAAAATAGTGTATTAGACACTCACTCAGCTGGCTGTTGTTGTCGAACAATCCTTGGAGAACGGCCTTGGGTCCGCTGACCTGGATGGAACTGTTAGTGAATACTGGCGTGAGATAAGTAAGGCCGTTTTTGCCTTTTTCTTCAACGACCTTTTGGTATACAGTTGCGTTACAGTTATCTGTAAATTGACAAGTGACAGCAAATTAATAGGTGACTTTTTACTTGGGCAATAACTCAAGTGTCAAACATGTCAAGGCACTTTCAAAATCAGCACGTTTAAATAATGTAATAATTTACAAGTTTTAAAGAAAATACACATAAAAATGATACAAACATAATAAGCAAATTGACAAGTGACAGGAAATTTTTCACATTGATAGGTGACTTTTCACTTTGACGTTAACTCGAATCAAGTGTCAAACATGTCATGGCAGTTTTAAAATCAGCGCGTTTAACTTTTAAATAAAGTGTAATTTTTTTTGCATACAAGTTTCAAGGAAAATCAACAAATAAAAAATGCACCGTTAATTAAAAACACATAATTAAAGAAAATTCGTATTTTGTTTCAAAACGATACATAAACGAAAACAAGTTGTTAATTTGATCGTAACGATTTAATTAATTTAAAATAAGTGTTATTATTTTTAGTTGATTTTTTTTATGTTTACCTTAAAAATTGATATATAATTATGAAAATATACAAGTTTTATACGTTACGCTAATTAATTATAAAAAAAAATAATGAAATATGAGTAAATTACTATCATTTCATCTTCATTCCAGTTAGTGGCCTTTTACATCCAGTCACAAAATAAAAATATTTCCCCATAAAACACGATATAATTTTCCTAATTAATGATATGTAATTTGTTGCTTACCCACTGAAGCCTCGAACGTACCCGAACCTTCGATCGGGGCGATGAGGATTTTCCCTTTTACCGTATAATTTCCCTTCAACCTCAATTGCCTGATGCTGCATTCGCAAAAGAACTGCATATTGGGCACGTCAAAACTACATTTAAAACATTAAATATAATATTGCATTAGATATCATATCAATTAACTCACTCGAATCTAGTAAACTCGTAATCCGTCAACCCCGAAATCGCCGTATCGATCAAGGTGGCTTTGAAATTCAAAGCGGAACTGCCCTGTTGCAGCTTGACTTCCGGCAGAATGAACGGCTCGAACGGGGGGAATCCCAGCTCGGGGATGCCTTTGACCAGGAACGGCTTCATTTTGTGTGCTGTATCCACTAGACAGTTGTTTAAATGTTTATCGAACCTGTGGCACGTGGGGGGCAGGTATTTCGCTGGAAAAAGCGGCCGATTTAGAGGGTAATTATAACGGGAATCTTTTTTTTTTGGTGTTACTTACGCCAATCCTTCGCAGTCGAAATTCCCGCGAAAACCGACAGGAGTGTCAGGGAAAACTCGATGAAAACTTTCGCGTTTTTCATATTCAGCTCTATGCAAATTCGCGTCTGGCATCATGTTGTTTTATACTATATTTATATTTAAAGATATCGATAAAAAAAAAGAAGGCAAATAATTAAAAAACGGGTTTTTGATATTCCCGTATGCATAATTACTCTGCTAATAATCCACCGTGTAATTAAATTGTAGCTTTCAATGCCAAAATCGGCGCAAACCAGTTGTAAATTATGTTTGAATTCGTATAGATCAGTGTGTTACTGAGGCCTTTGATCGGTACACAAACCATAACTAAACATTGTAAATACTTGCGGTTTATTTGCGTATATTATTAAACGTTTAGTACCGGCAGCTAGGAAGCGGTGACGTCACTACGATGCCTGACGACGTCACTACGATGCCAGGTTGATCAATCCTGTGAACGAGTGTATCGATGCTTGGTAAAAATTAAAAATCCCGTTGAATTAAAATTGAATTGACCTTTAGTAATTTAGGGCCGTGCCAAGGCATACCGAGCGCATACGGAAATAGAGCGGAATGGAAATTCGCAAACAAACGGCGGAATAAACAGTCTTGACGACGCCGTTCGGTTGTTGATGAAAAATCATCCGAAACGTCAATAACTAAAATTTTGAAAGTCGACAAGTACACTCCGAAGGGCAGCCGGAAGAAATGGGCAAAGGTTCGAAGGGCAAAGGGGGCGGCGGCGCCGCCGCCGCGACGTCCGCTTCAAGCGTAAGTTCACCCGGCGAATTTTTTCTCCGTATAAAAAAAAATACTCGATGTCTTACTATCGCTCGTGCTCGTGTAATAATTGGTATTAGTATTAATAATTCACCGCTTTTTTGCGGTGATTGTTTTATTGTTTTAGCCGCGTAATTGCTCAATTATGGTCAATGTTAGCGTAATTTTCAAGTGTCTAATGTGTCAGTAGAATAATTATAAAATGAGTGTATATTTTTTGGTTTTTAGAAAAAATCAGCGAGCAATACGAAAGCGCCCGAAGCGAAAGGAGAGGTCAAGGAAAGCGCGACGAAAGTGGGGGGCGGTAAAAAAGGTGCGTAAATTAACGAAAGCGATGAACACGCGCTAACTTTTTACGGGTTTTCAGGCGGGAAGAAATGATACCAAGGCCGTAATATTAACTAGGAAACCCTCTTTGTTTTTAAACATTATAAATATGTGACTTCACGTTTCTCCTGTTTACTTGTTATACTTGAATAAAAATGCTTCATTCGAAAAATTTATACCACGTTTTATTTAAAACTCTCCCAACGCCTGAAATTATTTTTTTTGAGAGCAGTGTATATACAATTTTTAATGCGAATGTACTAACAGTAAATAAAAATAGACCCTTTCTTTTAAGCGCAAACATTTTTCATTATATTTACAAGCAAATGTTGCCAACACTAAATCTAACCCAAAATTTATCTACCTACATTAATTTATACAATTATATTTAAGCCTTAAATACAACAAACCATCCCAAACCTCCATTCAAATCATAGAACAAGTACTTTTAACAATGGCATACGAGGGTAGGGTGAAAAGTTCTCGGTCTGAATCATTTAGAACTGTCTAAAACCATGTAAAACACTCCCGAATCATTTAGAACTGTTTACACCGATTTAGAATGCTCCAGAATCGGTTAAAAAACAGTCTAAATCCATTTAGAATGCACTGAAAAAAAATTCTGTAATTTTCCTTAATTTATTATGTGTTTTACTAAATAAATTATGTAAATAACTATAATACATAGCCTATCATGTAAGACTGTAAAATTACAGAACTAGACAGGTAATACTGAAATTACATTGTAAAATTACACCGGAATTCGAGACTTTACATAAAAATGTAATGCATTACATTATATATTCTGTAATTTAACCGTATAAATTGTGTATCCAGAATATATTAAGAGAATTTTTTACAGTATATATACCGTATTTAAAAATTACATAATATTACGTAGGTAACAAAATTGCCAACGTAATATTCTGTAAAAATTTTTTGTAGTGTGCTCCAGAAAAGTTTAAAAAACAGTCTAGAGCCATTTAGAATGCTCCAGAATCATTTTTAGAACTGTCTAAAACTATTTAGAACACTCCAGAATTGTTAAAAAAGTCTAGAACTATTTACAACACTTCAGAATCGTTAAAAACAGTCTAGAACTATCTAGAACACTCCAGAATCGTTAAAAACAGTCTAGAACTATTTAGAACGCTTCAGATTCAATTTATAAAACTGTCTCGAACTAAAGATTTCGAATTAATAAGAATAGAATAATGTACATTTTCAACAGAAAATCGCGGTCCTTCATTTACAGACCGATAACTTATTATCACATTACCCTCGTATAACTCAAATAACTTAGCTCCTGCGCATTGTAATTTACTAAAGGACAAGTCAATTACTTATCCACATTATTATCTTCCTCGTCGTCCTCCGGGCGAGGGCAATAGTTGGGCCATTCGCTAATTTCCTTGTACAACCTGTCCCCCGGGCATTCGGTGCCCGTTCTCACCTGCCTGTGCCCCACCAGCTCGTAATTTTCCTTGATGTAGCCCTCTCGCACCCCTTTCGCTATCAGTTCCTTAGCGGCGGTGAGTTGTCTTTCGGGCGGTAGTTCCGCTGAAACGAAAACAACGCAAATTAGGGCTCCGGCGGCGTTGCCGAGTTTATCCCGAAATCCGGGGAGATCGTTTCACTACACCACGGTCTTATATTTCTGAGGTCTGGAAATATAGGTCGAAAAAGTGTCCCGTTATTTGAGGATAAAACAGGGTTCCTAAAACGGCCGCTTGGGGGCGATGTTGTAGAGGACCACGGTTTTTTGCGTACGAATTATATAGAATTAGCATTAAGAAAGGTTTTATTCAAACTAAAAATAGATACAAAATATAAAAATATACTTAAATCAGGGATTATTTTGTTGTAAACATCATGCCTCACGTATCGTCGGGTAATGTATTTCTCCATTTTCTCCTCGAAATGTCAAAAAATAATTTTTCAAGTTTTGACAGCTCGAACTGTCGTTTCACACGACCGCGATTTATATGTAGCGCGACGCTGATTGGCCGAGATAAGTTGGTCCTCCGATCGTTCGCCACCTTGCGGCGCAAAAGTGAAGCTCAAAAAGTCCTCAAATACCGGGACACATTCTCTAATGCATAAGCATAGGGAGCTTCCAGACCTTAGAAATATAGGGCTGCGTACGATAGTAAAAGGATGTCGTATTAAAAATGTAAAATTAAAATGTCATTTTGACAGTTGAAATGTCAATAAGAGCTGGTAATGAACAGTGTTGGGGTATAGTGGCCTTTTGTTGCATTTGAAATCGGTTAAATTACATGTCAATAAAATGCCATTTTGACAGTTGAAATATCTACAGATTGCTCAATTTTTCATTGCAACATAAATATAGGGCCGTGCAGTGCACTCACCTCGCCAGTCGCCGATCAGACAGACGCCGATGCTCTTGAAGTTGTAGACGGGCGCGTGCGCCCCGACGCGCGTCCATCCCCTGCCCTCGTAGACGTTGCCGTCGGAGCCGACGGCGAAGTTGTAGCCGATGTCCGCCCAGCTGTTGTTGATCTGGTGGAGGTCCTGCATCCAGCGCATCGCCTTCTCGCAGTCCTGCAAGTTGTAGCAGGCTGAGGGGATGTAGCTGTGGTGCACCACCACGTAGGGCACCGGATTCGAGAGGTTCTGGATGTATTTGGGCGGACGGGCGCCCCATTCCTGTCTGGTGACGATGCGGGGCTCCGGTAGGACGCCTGGTTATATCGCAAGTATACAGGGTGTTGGTTAATAAGTGCGACAAAGATTAGGGGGTGGTTCTGCTTCAAAAAATAATGATATTTTGCTATATAAACATACACCTTGCTCCATTTCCGATTGCAATATGGTCATTTCTATGAGTAGGACAAAGAAAGGTTATTAAAATGGCAGATTGACAGTTTTGACAGATTGAAAAGTTTCTTCTTAAAAACCGAAGATTTATTTATTTCTCTTGAACCAGACGAGATAATCAAATGAAATTTGGTGGGTTTTGAGAGGTAACTATTACTACGCATTTTTTGACATAAAATTAAAAACTTTATCTAGTAGTGAAGAAACTTTAACACCCCGTATCTCGAAAACTAATCATTTGCAAACATATGTTTATACATATAGCAAAATATCATTATTTCTTCATGCAGAATCACCCCCTGAAGTTTGCCGCATTTATTAATTAACACCCTCTATATACAACTACTTTTCTACAATTAATACTACTATTATACTCACCCATTGATTTACCTAATGTAAATATTTTGGTGTATTTTTTGTTTATTGAGATGAACGATCATAACATGTTACGTGTCGATTCGAACTTGACTGATAAAGGTTGTAATATAATATATAGATTATTTTTTTTCGATAATTTATATACGAATAAACGGTGACGTAATGAAATTCGTATGTAACCGCATAAATTAATCGATGGGGAATTCCCCACGCGGAAAATCCAGTTTGTTCGCTATACGGGGCGCTCGAAATGGCGGCGAGACTGGCGAGTCGTTTACAATACTTTTTCCGCGACTCTAAACGAATTTATACGATGAAATGCGTTATTGAGATGAAGTAATAAAAATAAATTAATTACCTCCGGTTGAAGCGTCGAGAAAAAGGCACAGAAACGCTGATAAAATAATTGTAGTAAACCGTTCCATATTTAATTTAATCTGTTCGTACATCTTAGGTATTATCAAAAATATATTGAAATTTGTGGGAAGAGTGGGGCACGAGATCGCGTTACAATCGGACCAGTTTAGTGTTACCACATAATTTATTGGAATTTTATTTATATCATCATTATTTATGTCAATTCTTATTAAATATTGTATCAAAAACGGGTAATTATCATTGGAATAACAGATTATGTTATTTATATGGGGATTTACGGTAAATGCACATTATGACGTGCACGTAACCTTGTAGATAGGCAATACCTAATACAACAGGTTCGGAAACTATCCTTTAATACACTATTACACGTATAAAATGTACATTCTTATTAATTAATAAATTATTTATAATAATTAGAGAATACTTGGATTTCTTCTAATCGTTTTCTGCTCCTCCAGTCCTTTTACAAACACAAATAATCCCTAAAACAAAAAAAATAATATAGTAAACACTCATTATACAAAAATTAATGCATTTATTTGTAAACACAGGGTGTCCCAATGAAAACTACTCCACTCACAAAGCGCAATTTGTTTGTAAACACCCTGTATTACTTTATCGAATCTCTTACTAATTAAGTATACAAGCAACATATTTATTACCTTCGAATTAACTTTTCAACTGCGGCCCCGCCATCGGCGGTCGTACAGGCCCCATGGGCCCCATCGGTCCCATTTGCATCATACCCATCATCGGAGGTCTCACCCCCATCATAGGAGGCACCGGCCCACCGGGACCCATCATCATAGGCGGCATCGGTCCACCAGGTCCCATAGCTGAAACGAATCGAAAGCTTACTACCAATCCAAGTAGGCTATGTACGAACACAAACCTCCGGGTGGCATCATTCCGGGTCCGCCCGGTGCTCCGGGCCGCTGGCCGATGGTCAATTGGGCGGGCGGTGGAATGGCGACGCCGCCTTTGCCCGGCTGGGCGTGGGCGAAGGGGTTGTTGGCTATCTTGCCGGCCTTGAAGGCGGCCGTGGTGGCGTCGATGAGGTTTTGGGCCTGCTCCTCCATCCACTTTTGGTAGTAGAATTTCACGTTGTCCTTGTGCTTACGGCCCGTGCAGTGGGTTTTCCGCACGCTCGGCGAGTCGTGGGTGAGATAAGTGTCGCAGTAATCGCAGTAGTATTTCGGCATTTTGAGGTTATGGTCTGCGAAATGGGACGTTGTTAATTGTTCGTCGGGGTTGCGCTGTGAAAAGTTGATTAGTTTGTTAACGAACGTGTATGTTTATTGGCTTATTCGACTTACTTTTCTATTAAAACGTATGGTTTTTAACAACAATTCACTCTTATTTTGTTTTGATTGCTGTGTGCATGTTGTGACAATTGACTGAATTGACAACTGAAGTGTTTTCTTCTTTTTCCATTTGCAATTAATAGTGCCCTATATGTCGTAGGACGAACAGCCAAATTTTGATAAATTTTTCTTCTTTTTTTGTATTCGTGTAAATATGCGCGTGCATTTTTTGAATATGCACAAAATAAAAAATTAATTTATTTCTTTCTCCATGATTTTTATTATATACAAAAATGTCCCCTGTCAATTTTTTATATGATATAAAACTAAATCAAAAGAAACTCAAACTCATATAAAATAAAAAATATAAAGACTTCGTTTAATAAAAACATATAATTCATCTTAGCTAAGAAATTCACAAATAATCACAATATCATTCAACGAAAATCTACTAAACTAAATGGGTACCTAATAATACATTCATTTTAACTGCCTCCTGAAGCAACGCGCAACATATCAAAAAAATTATAGGAAGAACAAATACCGTTGATGTAACATAAATAATGTACAATTCAAGTTGCCAGGCGTATCTTTAAAAAATAATTTTATTAATAATATCATTTCGCCAACGGCATAAACCCGGCACAGCACGATTATTTTAAACAAACAAACGTCACCCGACCTACGCCATTTCGTTTTTCGCAATCACACAAATCCCCAAGGTCACTAAACATTTAGAGGTCGCACCGTTTGCTCATGACGTCACCACCTCGAAACCATCGAAAACGAACAACAATCATCATTTGCTCATAATATCACCACCGCACTGCCTCAAGCTCTTAAAATTCTTGAGGCTCTTCAGCTCCCTGGTGCCGTTGAACGTGAACGACACGTCGCAATTGCTCAACGGGTGCGACTCCTTCGGCGTGACCGGCGTCCCGACGCCGCTGTCGACGTCGCGCGACCCCTCCTCCGCGTCCTCGAACTCCTGCACGGTGATGTCGATGCCGGCGCCGGCGCCGTTCAGCTGGCCGTGCCGCTGCTGCAGGATGCTGTGATGCGAGTTCGAGAAGAACTTCGACACCTTCTCGGCGTTCTGCGAGAGGCTCTGCGTGCGCAAGCGGCTCCCGTCCGCGTTCGTCGGCACGGTGATGAGGCTCATGCTCTGCGACTTTTGCATCGTCTTGTCCGGCGACCGTTGGAACATCTTCAGCAGGTTGTTCTGCTTCGGCTTGGCGCGCTCGTTGGCGTTCAACTGGTAGAGGACCCTCTGGACGTCGTCCGGAATCTCCACGTCCACTTTGTCGTCGATCAGCGACAGCACGAATGCGCCTAGAGTCGAAACTGCCACGTCCAAGCCCCTGTTTTGCATTTCCAGCTTGTTCAATTGGGATTGTTGCAGCGCCCTCGTCTTCTCTAATCGTTGCACGTTGCTCGACATCGCTTCCAATTGCGCCGTGAGCGATTTATTTTGGTCCGTTAACTGTTTATTTTGGGCCTCGAGCTTGTGCAAGGCCTCCACCTGAGGTTGTACGGCGTTCATTTCTTCTTGCAGCACTTGGTATTCTACTTTATACTCGTTCAGTTGTCTCGAAACGTCCGTTATATACACCTGAAAAAAATTGGTTTATTAGTTAATGACACTTGTTACTGACCGATGATATTCAGCTGATGAATTAGAACACGTTTCGAACAATTTGGTAGAGTTCAGGATGGATTAGACTTGTCCAGAACAATTTAGAACGTTTCGGAAGCAATTAGAACGGTCCAGAGCAATTTAGAACGCTTTAGGATGAATTAGAATGGTTCATGATTAACTAGAAGGGCCCAGAACAATTTAGAACGCTTCAGAAACAAATAAAACGGTCCAGAGCAATTTAGAACGCTTCAGGATGAATTAGAACGGTTCAGGATGAACTAGAATGGTCCAGAGCAATTTTGAACGCTTCAGGATGAATTAGAATGATTTAGAACCATTCGGAACGCTTCAGCACGATTCGTACGTACCTGTTTCATGATTTTCTCCAAACTAAATTTATCGATATTGGGCAATTGGATTTTCAAATAGTTCATAATCTCCTCGAAGCTGTCGCACAACAGCAGCTTGTCCTTGTGGTGGTTCAACAGAGCCAAAGCCACTTTGAATATGACCTCGGGTCCTTCGAGCAAGATCATATCTACGAAAACAAAAAAAAAAAGAAATAGTTAAATCTGAAACAGGAAGTCGAAGTGCAATTCCGGGAATTACCGAACATCCTGGCGACGAATCCCAAGGGGAACTGGGAGGCGAACACGGTGAGCAACCAGGGGGCGGCGTACAAAGTGGGCGCCACCTCGTAGAAATCGAAGTGCTCGTAGATGTCGGGCAACTGGTCGCGTATCAACCTCGACAATTGGTAGAGCTTGATCTGCAAACTGACCATGTCGGGCAGGTATTGGGCGCGCATGCCCCTTTGGAACATCAGGTGCTTCAGCAGCGCGAACGCCTGCGACTCCTCCAGCTGCAACATCGAAGATAATAGAGATATTTATGTATAGGAAGACTTGATAGATATCTTACGTGTAATAGCAGCACGCCGGCCACGAAGCTGAGCCCCTGGCAGTAGCCGACGTCCGGATCGAGCAGCGAGTAGGCCTTGAGCAGATTGAAGAGCGCCAATTGGCCGGGTCCCAAAGGACTGCTGAAGTACGAGTGATTCGGGAACGTCCTGCCCAAGTCGATCAAAATGGCGTGCTGGTGGGAGGTGAGCTGCTTCAGCAGCTTGTCGTAGGGCACGTAGTAGTTGGGGCATTTGGTCGAATCGACGGGCGCCGTTTTCGCGCTGTACCGCTCGGCGAGAAACAGCCAGGCGTCGCCGCGTTTGCCGCGCGGCACGCCCTGCCGTATGGCCTGCGCCAGCATCACCGTGTCGAGCCGCATCGACGGCGAGTCCTTCCTGTTGGCCACCATCTCCCACACCTCGAGATCGCGCTGGTGGGCGCGCATGTCGTCGTACTCGAGCTTGATGCGCTTCACCGCCGACTCCTCCTGTTCGGCGCGGATGCGCGCGTTCTCCTTCTCCATGCGCGCCAGCAGGATGGCCTGGTAGATGGACTTCTTCCAGAGGACCTTCAGCTCGTCTTTGGTGCGCCGGCGCGTCGGCTGCGCCGCGGCCGGTTCGGCGCCCTTGTGGGCCGCCACGCGCTTGAATATCGCCTGTCGCCACGAACCGGCGTCCGGTTTGCCCGACGATCCGAGGCCCAAGTCGATAGAGGGCGCTTTCGGCGTGTTGCCCACTTTCAGGAAACTGCAAGTATTAGACAATGTTACACGCGATACTGCACAAAGCGTACATACACATTCAGAAAATGCTGCTCGTTTGAAGCTTCTAAAGGTTGTTATAAACCTTCTAAAGCTCGTTTGAAGCTTCTAAATATTGTTTTGAACCTTCTAATGTTCGTTTGGAGCTTCTAAAGCTTGTTTTGAACCTTCTAATATTCGTTTGGAGCTTCTAAAGCTTGTTTTGGACCTTCTAATGTTCGTTTGGAGCTTCTAAAGCTTGTTTTGGACCTTCTAATGTTCGTTTGGAGCTTCTAAAGCTTGTTTTGAACCTTCTAATGTTCGTTTGAAGCTTCTAAAGCTGTTATCGATCATATAAGACTAGCTTGAAGCTTCTAAAAGTTGTTATGATCCTTCTAACGTCCTTTTGATGCCTTGAAAGGTTTTTATGATCATTCTAATACTCGTTTTAAGCTGCTAAAGGTTGTTACGAACAATCTAAAGCTCGTTTGAGGTTTCAAAAGGTTGTTATGAACCTTCTAATGCTTGCTTGAAGCTTCTAAAGGTTGTTATGAACATTCTAATACTCGTTTGAAGCTTCTATAGATTGTTATGAACATTCTAACGTTCTTTTGATGCCTTTAAAAGTTGTTATGATCATTCTAACACTCGTTTTAAGCTTCTAAAGGTCATTATAAACCTTTGAACGGTCGTTTGAAGCTTCTAAAGGTTGTTATGAACCTTTGAACACTCTTTTGGAACTTCTATGGTAAAAGTTGCTTAAAGCATCCAAACCTTGTTAATATGAGGCTTCTATAAATGGCATTTGAAGTTTCTAAAAGTCGCCTGAAACGTCTAAACCTCGTTTAGAAGCTTCGAAACGTGACGTTCGCTAATATTCGAAACCGCTATGTAGAGCAAATTTTGTAGCTTACATGTCCATCATAGGCGATTTCGGTCCTTTGTCCGATTGCAGGTTCTTGTCCGGAGACACGGAAAGTTTGGCGGAGTTTTCTCTAACGCTCAAATGGCTCAAATCGGTCAGATCGCTCTTCGATCCGATCGTCGACGATCTCGATCGGCCGCCCTCCGATTCCTTATCGGACTCGTCGTTCACGCACGGCGACGATTCCTGCAAACATTCGTTAAAACGATCAATCGAGATCACCTCGAGATCACATCGATTGCATCCACTCACCTTGCTTATGGGCAAATTCAAGCCCTTCAACGTCGCCCCGAAGTCGTCCTTCGAAGCTTTGCGCTTCAGCAGCTGATCGAACGAATTGCTGAGGCTGCGCTTCGCCTTGGTGAAGATCGTGCTGCCGCCCAAGTACTGGTTGAGGAACTCCGAACGGTTCTCGGCGGTGTCGTGCACGTGTCGCGCCTGCTTCGATTCGCAATGGGCGCGCAGCAACATCATCAGAAATTCGTTCTGTTCGCGCACCGAGTCCGTCTCGGCGCCGCGGAACTTCGTCAGCACCGTCGTCTGCTCGTCCTCGTCCAGTTGCTCTATCCTAAACCGAAGAGTAAACGAATAAAAAACGTACGTTGTCATTTACTTGGTCATTCTAAGGCTCGCTTGAAGCTTCTAAAGGTTGTTGGGAACCTTCTAAAGTTCGTTTGAGGTTTCGAAAGGTTGTTACGAACCTTCTAAAGCTCGTTTAAGATTTCGAAAGGTTGTTATGAACTTCTAATACTCGTTTGAAGCTTCTAAAGGTTGTTATGAACATTCTAATACTCGTTTGAAGTTTCTAAAGGTTGTTACGAACCTTCTAAAGCTCGTTTAAGGTTTCGAAAGGTTGTTATGAACTTCTAATGCTCGTTTGATGCTTCTAACGGTTGTTATGAACATTCTAATACTTGTTACTAATACTTCTAAAGCTTGCCCAAGTCTCTATTAGATTTAATGGAAGCTTTTACGGAGTTTGAAGCTTCTAAAAATCAATTTGAAGCTTCTAAAGTCAGTTTGGAGCTTCTGAAAGCCAGTTTCAAGCTTCTGAAAGCCAGTTTTGAGCTTCTAAAGTCAGTTTTAAGCTTCTAAAAGCCAGTTTGTAGCTTCTAAAATTTAGTTTGAAGCTTCTAAACCTCGGTTTGAAGCTTCTAAAAGTAGTTTGAAGCCTCTAAGAGCTAGTTAGAAGGTTCCAACGGGTCGTTTGAAGGTTTCTAAAGTTATCGAAACTTAGACTTTTACCTTCTGAGTATGGCCGCTTGGGTTTTTCTGTCCGACATGTTTTCGACTTCGACGCAGAGTTTGTGGTACCAAACCATCGGGCAGTGTTCGCAGGACGTGACGTTCGCTCTCGGTCTCGAATCGACGTTGGAGAAGGCCTGATTGATAGCTGACAAAAAAAATGGCTAAAATCAATAAAAGTTCTTTTAAACGGAGAATTGAATTACCGGCCATGGCGTCGGTGGCGATCGACGAGGACTCGCATTTGAATATGTACCCGACGAAGGTGTACGAATTCGTGCCCTCTTTGCACACGAAACCGAAGTAATCGGGTTTCTTGAGGCCCTGGAAAAGCCGATGGAGATGTCAAAGAAGTTGTAAATTTTTACGCGAAGAGATGAAGATGTCAAAGAAGTTTTTCAATGTGAATTTTTATGTAGAAGAGGACCCACCTGCACGCACGTGGTGATGTCCTTGTGCTTCTTGTGCAACAGTATGATCTTCCTGTCGGGGCTGATCAGCCGCAGGTCGGTCCTGTCGATCTGCAGGACCATCGTCCTGTTGTGGTCGTCCATGTTGACGGATTTGCCGTCATCGTCGTCGTTGTTGTTGTTGTTGTTGTTGTTTCCGTCGTTGGATTCGGGAAGGGGTTCGGGCGGCTCCGGCGGGGCTTCGGCGGGTCTCGCTGTTTCTCCGATATGGCCGAGAGGGAGTCGGCGAGGGAGGGGCCGAGCGGGGTTCTCGTCAGGTTCGAGTGCACCGATTGGGACCTGAGTAAAGGGTGGACGGGAGTGGAATTCGAATCGTCCGACGAGGAGTCCTGGTGGTCAGATGGAATGACGGTGTTTTAATTTAAGGTGATTTTTTTTACAATTGTTGTGGATTTTTTGCTGATTTTTTACTGATTTTTACTGTTTTTTTACTGATTTTTACTGATTTTTACTGATTTTTACTGATTTTTACTCATTTTACCTGATTATAACTGATTTTAACTGAATTTTACTGATTGATTTTAACTGATGTTTACTCATTTTCACTGATTTTCACTGATTTTAACTGATTTTTACTGATTTTAACTGGCTTTTACTTATTTTAATTGATTTTAACAGACTTTAACTGTTTTTAACTGATTTTAACTGACTTTAACTGAATTTTACTGACTTTAATTGAGTTTTACTGATTGATTTTTACGGATTTTTACTGATTTTCACTAATTTTCACTGATTTTCACTGTTTTTTTACTGATTTTTACTGGTTTTAACTGATTTTAACTGACTAACTTATTTTTACAGATTGATTTTTACTGTTTTTAACTAATTTTAACTAATTTTAACTAATTTTAACTAATTTTACATGGTTTTCAACTGCTTTTAACTAATTTTACCTGGTTTTAACTGCTTTTAACTAATTTTAACTGATTGATTTACCGGCCTCATTCGTTGGAATATTGATTCAATAATTTAATTTAACTTATTTTTAATGTTCAATTTAAATTATTTTCCTAGAATATTCTTCTCCATTAAATTCGCAAAATTTAATTCATTCAGGAAAAGATCTTTTTTTATATACAAAATACTAACCGAAGATCCTCTTCTGATTATATCGCTTTCGCTTTTTAACCTCCCGATGCTTCCCAATTGTTTGCCCTTGAATTTTTCCAATTCGTGCGTCCGGAATTTCTCCAGGGCATCGTCCACGAACGATTCCGGTACTTTCTTCTGCCACACTTTTATCTTTCCTATGTAAAGTACCTGGAAACGAAAATCAGAACTTCAGGGGTTTCCCTATACGTTTGACACGCGTACCTGTCGATAAATGACACAAATGACAAATTAAACTAATGACAAATGACACTAATGACAAGTTATGACACTAATGACAAATTAAACTAATGACAAATGACACTAATGACAAGTTAAGACACTAAAAGCAAGTTAATTGACAAGTTATGACACTAATGACAAATTAAACTAATGACAAATGACACTAACGACAAGTTATGACACTAAAGGCAAGTTATTTGACAAGTTGTGACATTAGTAATAAGCTAGTGACATTTTCAAAGTTCATTGTGTCAAATGTGGTTGAATTACCTCGAAAAAATTGCTCAAACTAGGCGAAATGTCGACGCAGAGGGACGTCAAATTAGCGGCGCTGCTCACTGATCGAGTAGGCGTGTATGTTTGTTCCTTCATTTGTTTGTACAAGTCGGAAACCTGTAAAAATACGATATTTTTGTTTTGTTTTTTTTATTCGTGGAAAATGTATCTAGGGATGGGAAAATTGAAAATATTTTCGAAGCGTTCGAAATTCGCTAATTACGTTACAAATAAGAGGCCTGAAAAACTGTAAAATAATTCGAATTTATCGTAACACCCCCGTAAACTCACGCGCTACTAATTACGAGGGGACGATTATAAGTTGTTTTTTTTTATCCAGGAAACAAAATAATACTCACGACTCGTTTTTGGATCAAATGAGCGTCGCTTTGCGAAGTGCCGTAAATCGGTATAGTAATCATCGTTACACTCAAAAAAAAACCAACTAAATTATTATACACTAATAAAAACAACTATCACTTTTCGCGAAGCCAATCGATCACATGGAAATCACAGATTCGTTTGTTCCGTGCGGAATATTTTTCAGTAATTTCCTTCCGTTCATTTTAGACTTGTGCACGGCTGGAAAATTCGACGCCAATAACCGATGGCGGAAAGTCGAATATCGCGCGAAGGTTGGGCTAAAATTAAAATATCACACCGACATCGAATGGACGGCTGCGAATGTATATCGGGAACGGCGTGGCGTTACGCAAACGAGGAAAAAGTCCCCGTTTACGGGGGACATTTCGAACGGCCCCGGTAGATGATGAGATGGGGAGATCCGGAGATGGAGGATCGCGGTTGGCCTTGCGATATTGAAGGGAGACAATGCATTAATTTTTAGTGCAATTCTTTAAGAAAATGTTCAATATCTCGAAAACTAGACAAGATAAAAGATATTTTGTGTTGTTTGTTGTGAATGTGCTAATTTTAGTGGAATTCTTTAAAAAGCTTTAATTATCTCGAAAAAGGATCGAGATAGAAAAATGTAATTTTCATCATTTTAAAGAAAAAACAATTGTTTATCATTTTTATAGAGTGGAGAATTTTCAAAATATACAAAATTTGCGAGAAATTTTGACTTTTTGTTATAAATGCACTAATTTTTAATGTATTTCATTAAAAACTTCCATATCTCGAAAACTAGACGAGATAAAAAATGAAAGTTGTACCAATTTATAGATAAAATATTTCTCGACAACATTCAAAGTATAGAAAATTTTCAAAAACGTCCAGATTTTCGAGATATTTTGACTTTTTGCTACAAATGCACTCATTTTTAGTGTATTTCTTTAAAAAACTTCCATATCTCGAAAACTAGACAAGATAAAAAATGAAATTTTCACCATTTTATAGAAATAACAAATCTAAATTCCTCATCGATTTACGAGGTAAATTCCAATTTTCGTATAGAATAGGAAATAAGAAAATTATGATAGAAAAGTTATTTTTTGCCTAAAATTTTAACACCCTGTAGCTCAAAAACTAAGAGGTTTAGGACATACATTGATATAAACTTTTCTTCTTAAAATCATCCAAATATTCACATCCCAAAGTATCGGCATACAATTAATTAACACCCTGTATACGAGGGGGAATAGAATTTTTGTGTAAAAAAAAACGAAGTTCATACTTTTCGGAACGAACCCTGTATACCAACCTTTGGAACGTAAAAGCATAAACAATACGTAAACCAAAGCGAATATACGGGGGGTAATCCACAAGTGTTCCGCTGACTATTTGTCTGGTGTTGTTTACGATTTTTAAATATCTCCTGCCGCGGATTTTCCTCGTGTGAATCTAGAATGAACTTTGAAATGGAAATCGCACTTGCCAAAAAACCGGGCTAAATATACCCGTTGATTCATGACGATTGACGAATTACCATCGGAAATTCGTAGATTTTTTTTTGTTTCGTTTCAAACCGAAAATTTTAAATAAACGCGACTACTGCGATATAAATGTGAAACGATTTAAATCGAATCGGATTGCTTCGATGGCCATTTACGCAAAATACCACTTAAGGACAATTGATCGAAACGAATTAGTAATGTAAATATTCGAATTTTCCGCGTATATAACGCCTGTAATTGAATTGTTTGTTCGCGGTCGCAATAAAAATAAAATAAACTTACTTCAATGAGCATTGTATCGGAATTTGCGATGCACGAAAATTTTCAGCGCACTCGAAAACGTAAATTCGCTCGGAAATAATTCAAAATAAATAAATTTATACAATCGTACATTCCGAATGTTCCCCGGCAATATTTGATATTCCAATTATCGAGTCGACTCGACGTCATTAAATGATGTTTTATGTAATCGTAGGTGGTGTTTTACAATAAAAAATAAGCGCGTAAATTTCGAGCGTATCAAAACAAAGCGAGGAATGATAAATATTTTCGTTGTGTTTTCAAGCGAATTTTCCGACTTCCCCGTAATAAATTTCAGCGGAAATAGCGATCGGGAATATATACTGGGTGTCCAGAAAATAGATAATATTATAGTGAATAATTCAAGAGCGTTTGGGGATTAGAAAGAATAAAATGTATACAGGGTGTTAATTAATTGTATGCCGATACTTCAGGATGTGAATATTTGGATGATTTTAAGAAGAAAAGTTTTTATCAATGTATGTCCTAAACCTCTTAGTTTTCGAGCTACAGGGTGTTAAAATTTTATATAGTAAAAAAATAACTTTTTTATCATAATTTGCTTATTACTCCAGATATTTTTATGAAAATTTGTATACACTTTTTTAATTATTAAGGGGCATTTTTTGAGTCACAAGATTTTCTTTAATTTTCACCAGTGACGTCCGTACGGGGTTTGAACTGAATATGTTTGAAAAAAAATGGTACACCATTGCTTTTTCTAAAAACTAAAATTATTTTTAAAATCCTCATTTATTTTGCAGCAAATTCGGTCAGAAGACTTATTTTCGTACGACGCACCATTTTCGCGTAAAAAAATTAAAACCAAAACCATTTTTTCCCAAGTTCATTTTGAGACTGCTTTTGATATTTTGTTGTAATTTTTTAGGCACCCACCATCCATGGAAACACTTTTTTTGGGGATAAAAATTAATTTTCTACAATTATCAGTGACGTCCACGTCCGAAATTTTATAAAAATATCTGCCGCAAGAAAATTATGATAGAAAAGTTAGTTTTTTTCTAAAATTTTAACACCCTGTAGCTCGAAAACTAAGAGTTTTAGGACATACATTGATATAAACTTTTCTTCTTAAAATCATCCAAATATTCACATCCTGAAGTATCGGCATACAATTAGTTAACACCCTGTATGTTATCTATTGGCATCTATTTTCTGGACACCCTGTATATTCGTTGGAGAGCAGATGTGTTTTTCTCCGTCGTCATGTCGGTCGTAACCTTGTCCAAATTCCGATATTGGTCGTAATTAAATAGGAAAAATGTAATGTGGCCGTTGAATTTCGCAATTAAATTCGAACGAAAATGGATTGTGGGTTATTTCGGGCGGTTTGTGTTTGGATTTTCCTCGGCGCTGCCGTGTCTTCGCAAAGGTAACGATTGTTTAATTTGTGGTTTTGTAGAAAAAACGATTCTCTACAGGTTTCGAAGAGTGGGAAATTTTGAAAAAATTGAGATTTTCCGAGATATTTTGAATTGTTTGTTGAGAATGTGCTAATTTTAGTGGAATTCTTTAAAAAGCTTTAATTATATCGAAAACGGATCGAGATAGGAAAACGAAATTTTCATCATTTTAAAGAAAAAACAATTCTTTATAATTTTCATTAAGTGGAGAATTTTCAAAATATTCAAAATTTCCGAGGTATTTTGAATTTTTTTGTTATAAATGCACTAATTTTTAGTTCTATCCTTTAAAAATCTCCAATTATCTCGAAAAAGGATCGAGATAGAAAAACGAAATTTTATCACTTTAAAGAAAAAACAATTCTTTATAATTTTCATAGAGTGAAAAATTTTCAAAATATTCAAAATTTCCGAGATATTTTGAGTTTTTTTGTTATAAATGCACTAATTTTAAGTGCAATCCTTTAAAAATCTCCAATTATCTCAAAAAAGGATCGAGAGAGAAAAACGAAATTTCATCATTTTATACAAAAGATAATTCCTCACAACTTTCAAAGAGTAAAAAATTTTCAAAATAATCAAAATTTCCGAGATATTCTCACATTATCGATAGCGAATCAATTTTATTAATTCCATCAAACCCAGCACTCTGACCGAGAAGATCCAACAGGACCCCGCCTACGCGGAATTCAGCTCGAAAATATTAAGCAACAACAAAGCGGCCATATTGAAACTCCACTACGAACAACTGACGGTCTTCGTCCCGGAAAATTCCGCTTTCCCCACCGGTGAGTTTCCCTACCGCATTATTTCCAAAAATTCCGAATTGCCCTTTTCGCAGGCGCCTCCTACGCCCCCCACCTGATATTCTACCACACCTGCTACGGCTACAAGCCCTTGGGCGTGCTGAATACCACCCAACGATTGCGCACCGCCCGCCCGGGGAATCCCCCCTTATGGGTGACCAGAAGAGGCGAGGACATTTACATCAACAACGCCAGGATCATACAGGATAAATCCAACTACGTATCGAGGACTATAGGGGGCCACGGGGGCGTTGTCAAGCGACAGGTGAGCTATTAGATCATACACTTTGCTCCATTTCCGATTGCAACATGGTCATTTCTATGAGTGGAACAGAGAAAGATTATTAAAATGACAGTTGTCAGAGTGAAAAGTTGCAGTGACACAAATGTCACTCTTTCACTTCTTTTCCTTTGTAAGTGTCTAATGGAAGGTGTCTTTATCGCACCTATAGCCTATATAATCTATGTCGCGATCAAAAAATGGAGCAACCTGTATATGATCTAAGGTTGAGCTCATCAAAACCGCTGCGCGAGCTCGACCACAACTCGCTCCGCTTCGCGCAGGTTCTACACGTCATCGACGCCATCTTAGACCCCGTCATCGCTTCACCAGCATCCCCGCCTACAGCCTGGAACCTCCTGCAGGACATCTCCACCTGGCGCTTCGGCGCCGCCAAAACCGTCGCGAATTTCCTCACCAAAGTGCGGGAAACCAAAACCCAGTACGCCTTCGATCAGACCGGCTCCGGGCACACGTTCTTCCTGCCGCTCGACGCCGGCTTCGATCCCTACCAGTTCAACGCCGTCGACAGGGACATCGTCTACGGGCACGTGGTGCCCTTCTACGTGCTGTTCACGGCGCCCACGCCGCGAGGCGTCTTCTACGAATCGCTGGCGAACGACGACGACGTCTACGTGGTGCTGGCCGTCGAGGAGGAGCTCGGGAAGCACTACGTTAGAGGCCGCATGCGGCGGGAGGGCGGCGAAAGCGGGGAGTTTAAAGTCGAGGTACGATGCGTGGTTGCTGGCTAAGTAACAGGCCAGGTTGTAATTGTATGTAACAAGAAGAATCTACGGTGGCTGGGATGGCCACAAACTTCGAGGTGCATTTGTTAGCAGTTATTTTCCCTAGCGGTCAAATTACGAACTTGAAAATAATTTCCAGCTATTTTTTTAGTCCACTTTATCCATCAAGATTTTTTTCTCAAATATCTAGACCTTACCATTGTCGAGATACAGCCGCTCCATACCCTTAACCGGACACCCTTTATAGATGGCGCTCAAAATCGTGTACCGATTTTTTTTTGTATAAGCACAGCTCATTATTATTCACTATAGTGAATTCACGATAGTGATGAATAAGCTGTGGTATAAGTTCACCTCCTCTGATAAAAATGTTTCATGTTTCGAAGATTGTAGTGGCGAATATACCGGTAGAAAATGGCGTCGTGCATTTGATAGCGCGCCCGCTGGGGATCTACCGGCGCCGGTTGCGCCCCTTTCCCTACGTGCCCATTGCGGAGCGATTGAGCGCCGATCCGGAGACGGACATGTTCTATTCCATGGGCCAAAGGACCGGTTTCAACAAGATCTTCACCAAGCCCAACGTCAGCTTCACCTACTTCGTACCGCGCGACTCCGCCTGGACCGCCATGGAACGCGCCGGCCTCGAACCGGTCGAAACCGATTTGGAACTATTAGGTAACAAACCCTGTCATGTGTCACACGTCATCTGTCACACGTCATCTGTCACATGTCATAATAAGAGAGATAAATCGTTTTTTAGGTAGGCATTTGGTGATATCGGGATCGCCCTATTCGATCGAGCAGCTGTCGTCGATGACGAAGGCGAATCATTTCGGGGACGTGGAGCTGCCGTCGAAGGGGGGCCCGTTGCGGCTGATGGTGCTCCGATTGAAAGATCGATTCTACGTGCGTTGGAACAATCGATACATCGAAATCGTGCGGGCGAATTACGAATGCACCGACGGCATCGTGCACGTGCTGGCGGCGCCGATGGCGCATCTGCGTCGGATCGACGGCGATGATTTTTGGACGGCGTCGGGGCGGTTTGTGGATAAAATCGTCCGATTGATTGATTGATTTGTTGAGCGAATAAAACGAGGTGTTACGTACGAAATTTGAGTGTTTTTTTTTGGCTGGCTGTTTACGTAAGTAAAGGGCAGCTTGAATGTCAAACGTTGAAGGGAATTATTTACTTACGTCTGAGGGCGTTTTGGCGACGAACAGGTAGCAATAGAGCAGGTTGTCGTGGTCGTCTTTGAGGAGGTAGAGGAAGGTGCAGGCGTCCATATCGGCTTGCGAGAATCTGGTCATTAGAGACACCCTGTGGGAGAACTGCAACTCGAAGTCCTGATTGTAGGCCTGCAGGATGCCATCTTCAACGCCCAAGCTTATCTGAAATTATAAATAGGAGTTATTCAAGTAATTTATGCTCGTTTGCACCAACATTGATTTATAATCTTACTAGTTTATAGGCAACCAATATTACACATGTATCAATCTTCTTTTTTTTCAAATCAACGATTAACATCTCTAGTATTCCGTGAGTACCTGTCATTTCGCCGCATGTTTGTGTTTGACAGTATTGACACTTGTCCCGTGCGTTCATATTTGAATTTTCTATTGATTATCAACGTTATTTTACGATTACATTGCGATTTACGTGGATAATGAGCATCCGTTCGAAAACTTCGAGGGCGACGGTCGTCCTTTCGCCCGAGAACATCATCAGACTGAGCAGCGAGCACACCAAGTCCGTGCAAAAGTTGTTCGTTTTGCGCGACAATATTTTCAAATTGTTCGGCCCGCAAATCGAAGTCGAAAGATTGCTGTAAGTAATTTCCGAACCGTTTCTATCCTTTCCTTGATTACAATGCGATCGCAAAGAGTTCCTCGCTAAATTATTCCGTTGTAAATTGCAAAAATTGCAGCGTTGGACGCCATTTTGCTTTTGACAGTTGACGTGAATTCGCTTAAACTTTTGATTTATTAATTAAAAAAAATGGTCAAATGTTTCATTATCAGTTAATGAAAAGGGTAAATTCTAAACGATATAATATATTTTTCATTTTTCCATGCATCCTCCAATTTATTGTACTTTTAATTAGAAATTAAAATAAGTCGGTATTACAGATTCCTACATTACCATTTCGATACCATATCAGTGGCGTAGTCAACGTTATATCTTTATTTTTAGTACCCTATGCTATTTGTCTTTGGGAATCCTCGACGACGAAGGTCGAATAGTAGGCGCCCTGTTCGTGCAGCCCTTTCCCAACATCAGCAGCCTGCCGGCCTCCGAATGGACCACTTGGTTGCAAAACAAGTACGGCCTGAGCGACGTCATCACGAAGAACACGCTCTTCATCCACCTGGCCATCTGCGATCCGATTTATCAAATGATCTACTTCAAGCCGCTGTTGCAGCACTTGTTCAAGACCATATTGTTGCTGAAGTACGCCATCATCGTAGTACCGCCTGGCAGGCAGCGGCTCGAATTCACCATGAACATGGGCATACCCGTCATAGCGCCCAGTAAATTCGACATTATTTATTATATATACAGGGGATTTCGTTATTAAAGCGTTTTATATGTTTTAGAATGCAAAAAAGGCCAAAGTACGTACTTGCTGTTGTTCTGCAGGAGTACTTTTAGTATTGTGTATAAGATAAGGCGAGCTGTAGAGGAAGATAACGACGATTTGGTGCCCTTGATAGCGACGTATTCCCCTAGATTTACCGAATTATATGGAAAGTAAACACTTTTGTCGATCGCGTTTGCTTCTCATCGATCCTTATGGATTTTTTTAGGTACTATTTCGCCGAAATATTGATGAACAAACAGTTAGGAAGACATTTGATCGTGGCCGAGTATCAGGGATCCGCCGTGGCGGTTCTGTGTTTGAACAAAGTGGTTAATTACGAAGTGAGCCCCGCGATTCGGGCGATATTCAAATCGATTACGAATCGATTCGTTGCAGGTGTTGAACGAGGAATTCGAATTGGTGCCCTACAACGGTTTGAAGAAACCCCATCCGAAGGATTACGAGGATTTCGACTTCAACATCGCCCAAACGAGCACCGACAAACTGATGAAAAGCGCTAAGGAAGAAGAGTAAGTCTATATATCATTCGACTCTAATGTCGATTTTCAGCCTTCTCCATTGCAGCATAACGGCCATATTCGAGAAAGGCTCGGCCGGCGATTCGGACAAGACCGGTGACGGGGAAATGGAAGAGGTGGTGTCGCACGTTTCCTACACCGAATCGGACGAGTTCTCCATCATCTTCACGTCGGCCTCGATGTTCGTGTTCCAGGACGACGAGGAGTCCGACGTGAGCAAAAAGGGTTCGCAGGAATCGAGCTCGTCCAGCAGATTGGTCTCCCAATACAAGTCGTACGACAAGGACACGTCCGCCAAGGAGGCGGACGTCGCTTACGAATATCAATCTATTTGTAAGCAATTCGGAGTTATTCCCCTATAACTACGCTTCTTCTTACTTATTTTTGGCCTTTGATATTAAAGGTATCCAGCCCTTCATGTAGACGATCAGAGTACTAGGCTGGATGCCGTTATAAGTCGGAGTGAACGATAATAAAAGAACGAAGAAGCTAGCTATGTTTTTCTTATGTTATAGATTCAGCGTCCAGAATATATATGCAAAAGATACCGGAATTCAAAGGGGAAGAGAACGCGTTCGTGATTGAAATAGCGGCGGCGTTGCCGAATCACGAAGAGGGCATTATGGAGTTGTTCGACGCCGCCTTCGATTGCATACCGGATAGGGATTATTGCGTAATGGCGGTGCCGCCCACGGTGCCGGTTAATAAACTTACTAGGTACTTACTTCTTTATTCAGTAAATAAAGGGTGTTTCAATAAGGCCGCAAGATTTGAATTGCCTGTCATGTTTGACAGTCATAATGGCACGTGATTATAACATGACAGATCGAAAATTGACAGTTGGGAGTTAGTAAATATGGAGCATTGGATCTGGATATGGAACATAATCGCGTCTTAATTGTTAAACATTACTCCCGGTCGGGTCATTTTCCGGTTTGGTGACCAGAATTGGCCGCCACGTTTTTGTGATTTAGCACCTTTGGACTTCTTCCTGTGTTTGCGCTCTTGTTGAAACACCCTTTACATGGGTAAGGTGAAAAGTTCTCGGTTTGACAATTGAAACGCCGTGATTTTCAACTGAAAAATTACATGTTTCTTCTTATTAGGTCGAAATCTTTAGTTGGAGACAGTTCTAAATGATTCTGGAGCCTTCTAAATGGTTCTAGGGAGTTCTAAACGATTCTGGAGTGTTCTAGAATGGTTCTAGATAATTCTAAATGCTCTAATTCTTGCAGATTCTTCACTAGAGTGCCGCCCAGAGCAACGGGAACGTTTCCGTTTGATTTGTACGTTATGCACAGGAACGCCATGTTGGCCAATATCGAAGTTGAGGTAAAAAGAAACTCAAAAAATGTATAATTTTCGCCTTTACGTTTTTACGAATGATTTACAGTCAATAATTGACTAGAACCGGTCACGTCGCTTCGATGGGAATGTTGTTTCTGTCGTCAAAACAATACCGATTAACCTTATAGATGATAATCTACGAACGATTGATACTTTGCTATCGTTAAAATATTTATTTAAGCGAGACGTTCGCCTTGGCGAAACGAAAATTCGGCGAATTCGCGGCAACATTGTCAATTTTCGATGTATGACGTTGTTTGGATTTGCGTCACAAAAGATTAGATATACTTGTGACCCGTCAAAATAGCCCAAAATATTCCAATAATTTCTCTATTTTACAGGAAGTTTCCAAAGAACATGAAACGGCCGTTAAACAATTATTAACGACCATACCGAATCACAAGAAAGTCTACGAACTACTTCAGGATTCCATTAACGAACCGTTAACGCCCTACTCGTCGTTCGTCGCCCTGACGGACAACCAAGTCATCGGTTTGGCGAGTAAGTACACGAGCGTTTACAATCTGTAATAAATCGGTAATAAACCACAAAAATTTTATATTGTTCCCATGTATAACTTGGAAATAAAACGTAAAAATAAGTTTAAAATTTTCAACTTTAAAGGCCTATAGCTCAAAAATGGAGGCTCAAATCAACAAAATTTATACGAAGATATACCCTTATTTTGATATCATTTATACGCTCGCGAGTTATTGACTTCTATTTTCTGGACACCCTATATATCCAACGTCTTTGCAGTCGTTTCGGAGGAAAGAGACATCGACTACCTGACGGCCCACTACGATTTGAGCGTGATCAATTTGAAAATGTACCGATCCGGCACGCACGGCACCTTGCAGTGCCTCCTGTTGTCGCCGATATTCCAAAGATACGACAAATACTTCCTGCGGGAGATCCACAGGTGCGTTAGATACTTCTACTATACTTTGTATTCCTCTGCCATTCCTGCTGCTTATGCCATCCGCGAAGCCGAGTTCTTCGATTAATTAAGCACTCGGTCCTTCTCGATGAACGCCTGCTCTTAAGGTCTTGAGGGGTTCCCAAAGATATAAATGTATAATATGTGTACAATATAAAATTATACACGCTCATTTTCAGAATGAGCGAATTCGAAATTTTGTACTACAAGCATTCGGCGTTCGACAGTTCGGAGACGCTGAGAGACAAGCCGCTGATGAACATCCTGTTCGATTTCCTGCCGATCATGCCGACGATGCAGCCCCAGTACGATATGACGGAACTCAACGATGCCGGTTCTATTTATACAGTGCATTTCTTTAATGTGCCCCCCCCTTTTAAGCTTCAAAATGATGTATCACAAGACCCCCCTTTCCATTTAAATTTATTTCTCAAGATGGCGCCCAGTCGCCATCTTGAAATTTTCATCTGTCAATTTTACTCCAAAATATAGCATCATAATCAATAAACAATCATGCATTAGTTTCATTATCCAAAATTTCAATTTTCTAAGTTGATCCGTTCAAAAAATAAAAGGGGTGGGGGGGACATTAAAGAAATGCACTGTATAATAATTCGCGTGGATTGTCTCTTGCAGAATGCGCCCCTTCGACCACGGTGATCGAGAAAAAGGAATCGTTCGCTCTGTACGTTTCGACATTGCCGCTGGCCAGTCTGGAACGGAACGTGGTCAATACGAGAATACTCGTACTGGGCTGCAGCCATACGGCGTTGTCGTTTCTCAAAGCGCTGTTGCTCAAACAGAGCCCGAATCATATGGTGAGAAACGAATTACAACAAATCGATTTATTTATTATGTATTTTTTTATAGGTGACGTTCAACAGCGTGACGCTCTTGTGCAGCGTAGGCTTGATCCATACGAGGGTCAATCCGCGCATCAGGGAGATGTTTTTGGTGAAGAAAAACTTTTTGGACGCCAGGTATTATCCTGATTCGTTGGTTAATTTATCGTAAATCGAATCGTACGATCTTGCCGCAGGCATATGGATTGCATAAGTTTGAAAACGTACGTGAATTTCATTCAGGGAAAAATAACCAAACTGGAGAGGTATGTACTTATATCGTTTGTCCCATTTCCGATAGCAACATGGTCATTTCTATGAGTGGAACAAAGAAAGATTAATAAAATAACAGTTGTCAGAGTGAAAAGTTGCAATGACACAAATGTCACTCTTTCCTTTTCCTTTATAAGTGTCTAATAGAAGTTGTCTTTATCGCACTTATAGCCTATATAACCTATGTTGCGATCAGGAATGAAGCACAGTGTATATGCGATGTAAATGTAAGTAAAATCGATTAATCTATATGTATCGATTTTTAAAAGGAGAGACAAGTACATCGTGATCAACGGTACGCAATTCGTCGATTACGATACGTTGGTGTTGATGTGCGGCGAACAATTCCAAAGGATAACCAGAGGCACAAACATGGGCCAAATTCGACCGGACAACGTGATGTACCTGAACAACGTGCTGGAAGCGAACAACGCCATTTTGAAGCTGAAACAGCTGTACCACAAGCACAACTCCAACAATTGTACGACGGTATTCTTCTCGTACTCTCGTAGATCGAAATTTCATTCGTTCGTTTCCAGATAAAATCATCATCTACGGTCATTTTCTTCAAGCGCACACGGCCATAAGCGGACTGATCAATTACGGCGTCCCGGCCTACCATTTGGTCTTGATCGAACCCTTTCCCTATATTATGTCGTTGGAAAAGAAGCAGAGACCCAACGTGTCCATTTACAACGATCCGGACATCGACGACGTCGTCTATGAACATATTAGCAACGCAGGAGTCAAGGTAAACGCTTTTCTCTCCGCGAATCAGTCCATGCTTCTTCTTCTTCTTCCCTTTTTGTGGCCTCATCTGCTGGAACGATCCGGCCTTAAGAAGAAGATTGTACAGTGTATTGGACAGTAATTGCTCCATGATTCATGTTCCACGAGAAGATCTTCCTCTTCTTCCCTTTTTTGATGCCTCATCTGCTAGAGCTATTCGGCCTAAAGAAGAAGATTGTACAGTGTATTGGACAGTAATTACTCCATGATTCATGTTCCACGAAAAGATCTTGCTCTTCTTCCCATTTTGAGGCCTCGTCTGCTAGAGCTATTAAGTCTTAAGAAGGATAGATTTGTACAACGCATTGAACGCTCTCGTGTGATCCACACGATTCGCGGCCTCTTGCTAGTCCGTTATCCACATCTAACCGGCGTATGTGTATTTTATAGATCTACCAATCCTACTATTTCATCGATTGGCAATACGACGAAGAGACCAATCTGATAACGAGCGCGAAGTTCGAATCGAAGCACAAGATGCTCGAGCAAGAGTGCCTGGCGATGTTCATGTTCCACGAGAAGGAGATCAGTCCGAGAATGTACAAGGTGTTGAACAGCGCCGGGCTGGTGTACGACGGGCGGCTGGTGATCAGCGCCGAATGCCAAACGAACGATCCGAACATATTCGCGGCCGGCACTCTGACGAAGTACTCGCGGAAGTACCACGGGCCCACTATGACGCACAAGTTTTACAGCCGCGTGGAGGTGGGCAGGCGATTGGGCATACAGATCAGGAATATGCTGATACAACAGAAGGCGAGTACCGGGGGGTACTATTATGATGATGAATGTGGCGTTTAATTGTTTTTTAGGTGAGAAAATGGAGCCAGGAATCGGCCGTGGGATGGAACTTTCACATCGAAAGAGGCGATTTGGTCGTGCCGAGGTACCAAGATCCGTTGATGAGGTACTGTCGATTGCCGGGCGGTATTTACTATCTGTCGATCGTCAAGCCGGGCAAGAGGATGCCGTTGGAGACGGCCGTTAGCATGGAGCACTACGTACCGAGAGTACCGCGTACGGGAGTCGTCGTGTCGCATTAAACCGGTGGATTTTTAGGGGCAAGTACTTATCACCGGCACGTGTAAGAACATCGCCAAGCAAGGGTACTTTAGATTGCACTTGAATCAATACAAAAGGGTCGAAACTATAACGTGTCTTCACGTACAAGTGAGTAATACTGGCCTGTTACCGTGTGTGATAACGACCCGTTTGAATGTTTCAGCCGATAGACTATTACAATTTGTACTGCCTGTGGGGGAAGCACGAGAAGTTGTTGAACAATTTGATGTTGCGTTTCGAGATGGTGTTGATAACGGATCTGTTCGAATATTTCAAACAGCCTTGGGTGTATGCCATTTATCACGAGAAATTCAACAACCTAATGGACGAATTGAACATGCTAATGACGTCGTCTATAGTAAAAGATATTCGTTCGATTTTTTTATTGCGCTTTGCGAAAGTTTGACTACATTGCAGGGCTCCTCCGAGGAATCGATAATAAACGTGCTCATTAATCTCTACAAGAAGAACAAATGGCGGCCTGTGAGTATATATACAGGATGTTTCATTGGGAAAGGGCAATATTTTAACCCTATATAGAGGTCGCCCAGGGGATTACAAAAAACCCATATAGTATCTCATCATGTGGTATCTCCAATAGGCTTAATCCACACAAACTGGAAAAATGCAACAATGAATAAAAAATATGAAAAATAAACAAACGAATAAACAAAAAACAAACGAACAAAAAGTTGTATTCAACCAAATAATTAATATCTACTAATTTAATACTAATTATAAATAACAAAAAAATAATAACTAACAAACTAACAACAAAAAACACCAGACAAAAAGTTATTTTAACAATTGCTCAAAATGTCCTCCATTTTGTTCGATACATAATCTAGCTCTCCTAATCAAATTGCAAATCGATATTAAGTATTAAGTAGATCGAGATTAAGCATTAAATTACTTAAATTACCTCTATATAGGGTTAAAATATTGCCCTTTCCCAATGAAACACACTGTATATTTTTTTTACATTGTCACTAAATGAAGTGCCAAGGATTTTGCCCGATTCGAATGAGAATCCGATGTGGATAAATTCGATTTAATAATCCTTGGCGAAGAATCCTTGAATTTCGGTGGATTTCAGTTGCCGAAAGAAGACAAGGAATATTTGGAAAAGACGTTCCGCGCTTTGGGCTATTCCCGCATAATCGAGCAAAAAGTATTGAAATTCATCAAAGCGAACATGCAACATTTGCCGATGTACGCGCATCCCACGATCGTTAGAAAACTATTAGATAATTTCAATTTGAGCTCCTTATTTACCGAATAAAGCTTTCTATACACTAATTGTCAAGTATTTGCGTATTGCCAACATAAAGATTACTATTTTTAACACTCGTACCAACTTGAAATGCCTATATTTAGTCAGTTGTACAGACAAGTGCAAATTTATACAAGCGCAACAAAGACAACTTCCGTTAGTATCATGTAAAGGAAAAAGAAAGGGTGATATTTTGAGGGTAGTGCAACTTTCTCTTTCTAATTTTCAATTTGTTCTCGTCTTTGTTCAAATACAGGGTGTTAATTAATTGTATGCCGATACTTCAGGATGTGAATATTTGGATGATTTTAAGAAGAAAAGTTTGTATCAATATATGCCCTAAACCTCTTAGTTTTCTTCTTAAAATCAATCAAATATTCACATCCTGAAGTATCGGCATTCAATTAATTAACACCCTATATATGACAAACTCAAATATTTGCCATTTGATAATATTAGAAAATTCTTAGATTTTATAAACTTTTTAATAGTTCGGCAACACTGTCTAATTGTGACACAGTAAGTGACGTGCATTGAAATTTGTTTTGCATATACTGTACAGTACTTATTATAAGTATTTTTTTGGATACATTCTTTGTTGTTTTGCATAAAGGAGCATATACGAAACACGTTTTAATCGCGCCGAATATACGATAAGGTAATTACAGAGTAAATGCCGGTGTTTACTTAAAAATAATAATAAATTGTCGTTATGGTTAAATAAATCCTAATGGTTGTTCGTACAATGTGAATTCGAGTCGTAAATATTTTCAACAATATACTTAAATCGTGTATATGTATGCTAACGTATAATGTCGCTAAATTCGAATTCTCCACGGTCATATTTTTCATAAATAAGAAATTTTAACTATTAGCAATTAACTGGTAATTGGTAGTTTTGTTTGATTCTAATAAGAAAATTACTGCGTTAATGATGATTAGGAATTTTTGTATCGGTTTAAGCACTGCAATTTAAGCGTCATTAAATTACGTTTATCAAGTTATTTGAAAATTAAACATTGTTGTAATAGTAATTTAAGGAAGGTAATATCATTTTTACGACTCCAAAATTGCATATTTTGAACAATTTTTGTAGCAATTTCGTACAGTGAATTTTATTTTGATGCGAAATAATTCCCAAAACATTATAATTTTAAATAATAGGGGATATTTTACGATTTGTTTATTTATTTTGGCGCTTTAATGAAATTGTTAAATTGTTAAACTTAAACGATTATTTGTTCTTGTAATTTACGAGACATTTATCTTTGCGGTACGCAAATAGGTTATAAACGGTAAGAAATGTTTATATGCATAATTTCGTACATATTTAGTTAAACCTGCGTGGAATTTGGAATTATTTGCTCATCAGAATTTCCTGAATTTGAATTTGTAGCGAGTTAGAAAAACAAATCCAAATTCAATGTTATCCAACAAAATCCTAAATGATTTATAATACCGGTTTCGCGGCGATTAACAAATTATTTTCAATAACTTTTTGTGTTAGAATTAACGATTATTTTAATTAGTAATCGTGTCGCAATTTTAATTTAGAGAGTCACGCTTTGGACATTTTTTTCTGTTCCATCGATATTGTTGCGTAATTTCGCTAAATATGCATAAATATTCGTTAAAAAAACTATATTTCATCTCGTAAAAAAAGTTCTTCAATGACATGCTACCAATAAAAAACTGTAACAAATTGGGAACCTACCAATGCATATACCCAACTGGGTACCCCGACAAAATAGCCTAAAGACAAAATAACCCAATGACAAAATAGCCTAATGACAAAATAACCCAATAACAAAATAACCCAATGACAAATTAGCCCGAGATAGAACTTCTTTACCAAATATTCATGACGTTTTAATCATCCCAACTGTCAATACTACAGTCATTTTGACAACCCAACAACCCTTTTCTCACCCCCTTTATTTATTTTGGCGCTTTAATGTAATTGTGAAAACCTAAACGATTATTTGTTCTTGTAATTTATGAGACATTTATCCCAATGACAAAATAGCCCGAGATAGAACTTCTTTACCAAATAATCATGACATTTTAATCATCCCAACTGTCAATACTAGAGTCATTTTGACAACCCAACAACCCTTTTGTCACCCACTTTAACATAAATAACAAAGCACATTTGGAAAATATCAATTCGCACTGTTTGCTTCAGGGTTCGGTCGCAACTCGTCAACAAACAACAACTCACTTTTTCGACGCAATTCCTCTTCCTGATCTCCGACACGATCCACGGCAACATCGGGCTGGAGAACCGCCTGTCCATGGCCGTGAAGCCCTGGTAATTCACCGGAATCAACTTCATCTCTCGACCGAAACCGACACCCGAAAATTATCCCGACAATTTCCCACACATGTCGCCGTCTCGACGCGCTCACGCACGGTGAAATGTAACACAACAAAAACGGCTGGCCGACGGACGGACAGGTAAGAGGACATGCGCCCTGCTCGCCTTGGGGGCGGTTTATTGATCGCGGGGAAAATCGAAAAAATTTACGCGAAATATTACCCGTTCTCGGCGCTCACCTACGCCGCACTGAGGCTCGTTTTTGCTTATTCCATTCCAAATAGCTAACTCGTTTCGTATTGGAATAATATTGTTATTCGACCAAGAACAAGGTTGTTTCTAATCGATACCGAATTGATGAGTTTTCACAGGTGATACACACTTCGTGACGTCACCACGATCAGTCCTCGATCGTTTTAGCGACCTTGGTTTCATGCCAAACACTTTGACAGCTGCGATAATGACAGTGGTTTACGCAAGGCTTTGTTTAGAATCCGTTAGAACGCTCCAGAACCATTTAGAACTATCTAGAACCATTTAGACCGCTCAAAATGATATAATGAATTCGCCCGGTATATTCAATAATCGGTCGATTAAATGTTATTGTAAAAATATTTTCGGTCGAACAGATTAGAACAATCGCAATCGATTAAATTCGCGTAATTGCCGTGTTGATAATGCTTGAAATGCAGGTCATTGTAAATTCGCGATTTCGTCGTGTTATTTTATTTCTAATTGTAATTAAGAAATCGCCACGTTTCGACGTACTATATAAACATTTATTCATTTATAATATACATGTTTCGACGAGTTATATGTAAATATAAAATTTAACAAATGTAATTCGCAGGGTCTTAGGGGAGCGCGGTTTGAATTAATAAAAATAAAATCTCTCGATTACAAAACTATGTACAAGTTTACGATAGGAAACGAAAGGATAAAAATGCAACAAATGCGCATAATCAATGTTAAAATTCTAAACGTTTTGATTATAATAATAGAACCCCTTATGTACAATTAAAAAATTACAATCGGTTAAACAGAAATATAGCCTTAAATAATTAACCCAGCTGGTTTTATGACAGTACATACTTACATCAAGTACCACAATGTTCTCTGTCGAACTGTCTTTAGGATACTACAAGGGTAAGGTGATAAGTTCTCGGCTTGATTATTTAGAACTGTACAGAACAACCTAGAACGCTCCATTTAGAACTCCAATTAGAACTGTCTAAAACCATTTAGAACATTCCAAAGTCATTTAGAACGCTCCAGAATCATTTAGAACTGTCTAGAACCATTTGGGATGCTCCAGAATCAACTAGAGCCATTTAGAACGCCCCAAAATAATTTAGAACTGTATCGAACTAAACATTTCGACTTGATAAGAAGAATAATGTAAATTTTCAATTGAAAATGGCGGTCTTTCACCGTCAGGCCGAGAACTTCTCACCTTACCCTCGTAAATGCATATCCAACGCCTCCCTAGATAACAATTTCCATTGAGCAAAACCTCCTAGATTGCGGTACTCTCGCGGATCGTAGGTACTTATTGAGTGGGCGAGAATTCAGTCGGTACCATTATGCGACAATGCATTTCCCTGATCAGCGGTACCGTATAGGCGACGCACTCGTCCCAACCGGGCGACCTCCAGGCGCTCTCCCTCGTCTCCTTCCTCCCGTTCAAATTGTTATAACCTAAAAAATAATAATCCCACGAGAATTATCCAATCAGCTGTTCGAATTGTTCGCAGGCTTACACCAAATGTGATGGACGTTGTACAATCGGCCGATCTGCGAGAAGAACCCCGCGAACGCCTCGTCGTTGTTCTGCCTGAAGTTGATGGCGCGCGCCCAATTGTTGCCCCATTCGATCATCGTGCCCGGCTTCAGGGCGTAGCTGCGAATTTCGTAGATGTTGTTCGGCCGCCGGAGCGCTATCTGGGGCCAGTAGCTGAACGCCAGCAGGTACTGCAGGTGGCGCGAGCGCACTATCTTGCCCTGTTCCTCGATCAGCCGCTGGTAATCCTGCAAAAGCGGATGTTCAGTTCTTCGGTGAGATGCTTTCGAGAGATTCTAATTTAGGTACTAATGCATAATAACCTTATTTTTCCCGACGAATTCGTTGTATTGGTCGATTTTCTCGTACCCGCCGGTGAATTTCCACAAATGCAAGGCCTGGTCTTGGTCTCCGACGTTGACTGTCCACGACCCGACTAATTCTACGTCTTTCGATAGACTGCTTTCGGCTTTGATGAAATCTAGCGTGTTTTTCCTATAATCGAGTATATTCGATAGTAGCCCTTTTGGGCTTGTTCAGAAAGAGTTTTTTTCGTACTTACACGTTTTGTAAATAAGCCACCTTGGAATCGGGCCGGTAATTGTGCGTTTGCAAGGAATAAATGATTTCTTTGTCGCTCAACATGCGACTGTGGGATTCCTTTGTCGGCTCGATTTTCCTGACGAATATCTTGGATAGCCAGGCGTCGCTTTTGCTAGACGACGTCGATAAAGACCTAGGTGATAGAGTTAATTTACAATTTCGTATTATTAGCGATATGCGATCGATTTACCTGATATTTTGAGGTAATTTATTGAGGTATTTGAACGTATTAGCCATTTTTCTTTACGTATTTTTATACTTGGTTGACATTAAAGGTTATCACTCGGTAGTAATGTACTTAAAAAATAAAATAAATTAATTTTGGATCGGATCATATGGATTTACGCTACGTTTACATTATCGCCGCCTATTATTATACAACCAACATTACAACTCGTATTATTGTTGAAAATAACGAAGTAAACTACAATTACTCATTCATTAAGGAAGTTACTTATTACTTTCCTATATAAAAATAACTCCTTATTTTTCATTTTTCCCAAATTAAAACCAAAATTAATTAATTGAAATTCCTAATTATTCATAAATATACTGTGTAAACGTAGCATTTATTGTCAAAAACGTCAACTTCAAACAAACGTCAAATTCGTATTCGTGCTGAAGATAGCAACTTTAAACGTCAAAATTGTCAATAAATAATTTGAGGTTATGTGTTTTTTTGGGGCGGTTCAAGTTCAACTATAAACCAAAATAACAAAAAATCGTTTATAGTTAATCAATTGATGATTGCGTTTGATTAACGTGCTAAAATGGGTAAGTCGTTTTAGATAATCTTCTACTCGATCACAGGTTAAATTCTCGCGTTCCGTTTTAGCTCAATCATCGGAAGTGGCGAAGCTTCAGCAACATTTGCAGCTGCTCAAGCAGGAGTACTCCAAATTGCAAGTGAAATATAGAGAAATAGAGTACAAATACAACACGTTGATAGCGTCCGATATTAAAAATACCGATGACACGTTCGCCTCGAGACTCTTAAAGTTAATCAATAATTTATACGATTCGGAAACCTACACGGACATTAAAATCAAACTCAAAGACAGAGTGATCAACGCCCACAAATTGATACTCAACGCCAGATCGAACAGATGGAACGAGACCGAATTGAACAACAAATCCGAGCTGGACTGGTCCGATATGGATCCGGAAGTGGCCAATTCCATCCTCCTCTGGATCTACACCAACAACTTGAACCTCTCCTCGTCCGTGCTGACCCTCAACCTGATCAAGAAAGCCCACGAATTCAAACTCGACAGCCTCGTCGAGCTGTGCGAGCAGTTCCTCATATCCGTCGTGAACATCAGATCGTGCGTGAAGTTCTACTCGGTGGCCGAAGAAATCGACGCGGCCAATTTGCGCGAGTACTGCTCGGGCCTGATCTCCGCGCATTGGGACGATCTGAACGCCTCCGACTTTGAGCACATGTCCGGCCCGTTGCTCTACAAAATGCTCAAGAGCAAGACCCAGTATCCACTGCATTCGGCCGTTCGATTGCAACGAGAGGACGTCGTGTTTCTCTGTTTGGTCGAAAACTCATCCAGGGTGAGTGTCCATTTTATTTTTATTGTATCATTAGGTACTTAAGGGAATAAGAACGGTGTGTACTCAAATACGAATCGAGCAATGGAGAGGAGTACGATGTGAGATATACGGTTTTTAAACGGATATATGAATAGAAATAAGTCATTAGAAGCCAAAGCAGTTTTCAGTTGCTGAAAATATTCAATATTTTGGGAAATATAGCCGTTTTAAATTGAAAATTTTGACAAGTGACGTGTAAAGTCATTAACCAATCACAAAACCAACGAGTTACATTTTATCATTAGTGGTGTAAGAATTCGAACAAAATGTTCGGAAGAGTAGAAGAAATGAACAAAAGTGAAATGTGGCAACAAATGACAGACGACATATCTAGGATTATGTTATTGTAGTTTATTTGTTTTAAGTTTTTTGGGCCAAAAATAAACACTTTTTTTAGAATACAATGGAGAATTTTCACAAAACGGCATGAAACATACAAACAAACGCCTTTTTTTCAGAGTAAGAAGATATTTGATAACGTTAATTCTTAAATGTGATTGGTTAATGACTAATGACAAGTGACGTATTGGAATAGGAAACGGAAAAAATTAAAAAAAATGTACTCTCCATTAGCTTATTCGAACTTATGCGATTTTATTGACTAGTATGAAAACATGAGGTGAATCTTTCAACGATTATACAATAGCATAAACTATCACAGTCGTAAATAATGCGGTGAGGAATCCGGTGGTCGCGGTCGTTGCGGAATTGCACAAATCGTAATTGCAATAGCAATTCTCGATGGTGGAGGTCCTGGTGCCTTTGTCGTCGACTTTGTGACAACCGGGCTGGTAGGGCTCCTCGATTTCCACCTCCTGTTGCCATCGGCCGTTCTTGTAGTTTTGTATGACCTGCTTCTGGCTGGCGCAGTCCCGCTCCGTGCCGTTTATCGTGGCTGCAAACCAACCGGATATTAGGCCGCTAAATTAATAAATTAATAAATAAATAAATAAACGCGCAGGGCTTACTGGGAATGTTGGCGGTGGTGAATTTCTTCGTGCAGTATGTCGAATACGGACAGTCCACGATGAATTTGTCCGAGTAATCGAAGTCTTTGCACAGCCGGATGGTTTCGTTGGTGTAAAACGTCGGTAATGTGGCCAAGCATTTGTAGCATCTTATCGTCGCCTCCGCGTTCGGGATACCTGCGAAACGATTGAATTTTATTAGATTTATCAACCTATAAAAACAGGAGACGCCCTGTATATTTATATCGTAAATATCATCCGAATTTCGGGACGCTCTGTATTCTCTATGATTAAATATTCCCCGACGATTATCCAATGGAAAAGTTTTTGACCCGAAGCCGTTCAATTCAGTCGAGTAATAAGCCGTTTCTTTAACAATATATACAAGGGTAAGGTGAAAAGTTCTCGTTCCAACAATGAAAGACGACTTTCAATTGAAAAATTACATTATTCTTCTTATTAAGTCGAATTATTTAGTTCTAGACAGTTCTAATTGATTCTGGGGTGTTCGTAGTGGTTCTAGACAATTTGGAATGATCCTGGACCGTTCTAAACGGTTCTAAATGATGCTAGACAGTTCTGAATGATTCTGGGGCGTTCTAAACAGTTCTAATTGATTCTGTATCGTTCTAAATGATTTTGGAGCGTTATAATTGTTCTAGACAATTCTAAATGAATCAGACCGAGAACCTTTCACCCCATTTGTCCGCAATATTATGGTCTATGGGTGCAACAAAGACAAATTCTTCCAGTCTCAGATAAAGGAAGAGAAAAGGTGATATTGTGGATTTGCAATTTGCTCACTCTAACCACTGTTATTTTAATAATCTTTCTTTGTCCAATTCATCGATATTACTCGTATATTATTAACAACATTTTTATTCTATAGTTTGTAAATTCGTGAAGTTGAACCCACGTCTTTCCGTTACACGGTGATTAGGACTTCCTTATAACGAAATCAAATGACTCTTTTTTTCTCTCTTCCCGATATCAAACCGGCCGGAATCTTAATTAAGTTTAATCCGGAACTCGTTAGTTTCCTGAACGGCGAGATTTCCGAGACGAGCCGTTGAGACGAGTCTATTAAATTCAATTGAGTACATAACTGGGTTCGTGTGGATTTAATTACATTAGAGCGTTGTCGTAATGGGATAAAAATGTGGGCGTGAAATGACACGGATATAATTCTGATTAAAGTCGATCGATATTGGATTCGAAATTGCGAGAAAAAAAACCAACGTTGGCTGTTTTTTATTCCGCCATTGAAGGTTAAATGTTAATGAGCAAATTGCATTGTAATGACAGAGTCAATTTCGGAATTCTTTGTGATGATTTATGCAATATCAGCGCCGAATAAAATGCCATGAAGCTATACTAATCGGGTTCGAAGAAACTGCGTTTTCCAGTGTAACATTTCTCGGTTAATTTGCTACGTTTCCCAGTGTAGGTTTCATTAACGTTTCTCGGTTAATTTGTTGCCGTTTAAAGCGTTTTAAACTGGGATTTTTTATTTTAGCGGATCACGGTCGACAACAATCATATTTTCTCTCATCTTTCGCAATCGATGAATTATTATTAATTATCGATGTAGAGGAATTGTAGTTGGAAAAATTGCGAATGTGTATCTGTTCGTTTGAGTCATCGCAATTGATGAATAAATTTCGACGGAAATATCTATTTTAAGCCCGTCGCGGTTTCGATTAGCTGTAAAAAAGTTTGGAAAGTGTTTTAATTTAATTCGATTATAATTCGGGCGAGTTTGCTAGTAAATAAACCATCAAATCTGTTTAAATTTTTCAACGGTAATGATTCCGTTCCTATTTTAAAAATCATAAAATCATCGATTTGACATGTACATAAGCCACTTTACAGTGTTGCCGGAAGTTTTCCGCAGATATACTTAAAATAAAGTTTAAAATTTTCGAAACGTACGCCACTGGATCTTAAGTAGAAAAAATCTAATGCACAAAGTTAATGGTATTTAAACTTTGAAATCTATTGTAAAAGACAGTCATAATATAAATTTGACTACATGCCAATTTACAGTGTTGCCGGAATTTTTCCCCAGATTTGCTTAAATTAAAGTAGGCTTACTTTGCAATAAAACGAAGCACATCACAGCCGAAATTAAATTAAAATAATAACCCTCGCTCATTTTGCGTTGTGGAATTCCTCGGGCATCAGTAATTGCGAAATAAAATAAAAAATTACGGCCGACGGATCGGATCGGTTCGGTCACATTTTATTTATTTTTTGTCGATTTCGAAATTTCGTACGCGCGCAATTTAATTCGGCCTCCGCGTTTCGTAATGATGGTTTTGTTCGTGCCGATGACGAGACGATACTAAAACTATAAAGTATAAACCGAGTTACGAGTTTTACTGAAACCGAATAACTTAACTTCGAAGCTACGTTGCCAAATTTACTCTGTTATCGTAATATGCACTATCAATGTTACTTAAAAATCGTCGATAATTCAAAAGTTGGCCGTGTTAAGTCGATTTAAACAACATACAGGGTGTCCCTATGAAAAGTAGCCCCTTTAGTGAGCTAATTTTTTTTAAACGCCTAATCATAAAAACATGCGGTTTTTGGATATGTATTTTGCGGGATGTGATATGTATTTTTATGAATTTGTTTGAAAAGAGCTCGCTATTGAATCGATTCAATTTTGAAATGAAAATATACCGGATTTCCCCAAAAACGGGACATTCCCCTGCTATTGGCAACGCCGCAAGAAATTCGCGAAGAACGGTTTTTTTACGTCTCGTTTTTATTCAAACCGACTGTGTGTGATAATAAGCTTTTTGGTAATCGAAATAGTAAGGTGGATTTGGGCATTTTTTCGGTACAATTCTAAACATTTTACTTTTTTTTTTCCTTTTTTTTTAACAAATAACGAGCTTATATTCATCGCTTAGCGTTCGTTTTATCTATGAAATTAATGAACTTATCGGCTTTTAATCGGTAGAGGAATTCCCGGTTTCCATCCGGAAGATAAATAAAATTCCAAGGGAACTTTATAAATAAACCAGCGGCGCAACTAACCGATTTTTCGAAACCTACGCCACTGGATAATAAGAAGATATATATTTTTTAAATTAGTCATAATGTAAGTTTTGCCAATTTACAGTGTTGCCAGATTTACTTAAATAGTAAGCAGAAAAAAATGTAATACACAAAAACATAATGGCAATTAATCACTCTCATTATTTTTCCATAAAATTTACCGGAGTTGCTATAAATAAAAACAACAACAAACTCATAACGGTGTACAGCATTAAATTACGATTAGGTACCTACTTCTTAATTGCGCAATCAAGTAGGTACTGTTAATCCGTATTTCATTTCGTACACTATACAGTGCGTCCCAAAAATAACTTGATAAATTGGTTGTTGCGAGTCAGTGGAAACATTATTAATATATAGGGTGTTAATTAATTGAATGCCGATACTTCAGGATGTGAATATTTGATTGATTTTAAGAAGAAAAGTTTATATCAATGTATGTCCTAAACCTCTTAGTTTTCGAGCTATAGGGTGTTGAAATTTTTGAAAAAAGACTTTTCTATCATAATTTTCTTCATCATAAAGGTTTATTCATAAAGTATCGGCATTTTTACATTTGCCCCAGTCTACCTTACAATTAATTAACATAATGTACATAATTCCAGTTGACCGACATCGTGAATTTGTGGAGTCCGACGGGGGAATTACCGCTGGATTTGGCGCTGCGTTCGCACAACGACAGCATAGCGGCGACGCTGGTGCAACACAACGCCGATATCAACATACGCGACGCCAACGGCGACGCCCTCTTGCACAGGGCCATCAAGAAAGAGGACTCCTTCTCGGCCTTGTTTCTGCTCGAGCACAACTGCGACGCCACATTGTCCACCAGGTGAACCGATTACCCCGCTTTTTCTTCTTCTTATTCTTCTTCTTTCTTCTTCTAGCGGCCTCTTACTTACCGCTGTACCGCTACAACCGGTCGCTGTTCGCTAATTTGCGTTTTTCTTTTTAGGAACGAAAACGATTCGCCTTTGCATCTGATAGCCGGCGCTAACGAAATTGAAGATTGCGAAAAAATCGCCGAGAAGTTGTTGAATAAAAACGTCAACGTCAACTCTCAGAACAGGCAGGGATTGTAAGTATTTAACCGAATTCGATTGCAACAAAAGGCCACCCAACGACAACACTACATCCTAATCATCGTTTATCCGAAAGGGGGTGATTCCTTGGCTTATTTTAAAACTAAAACTTCATATAAACATAGGTCCGCAAACGCTTTGTTACCGATCTACAGGGTGTTGAAATTTCATTTTTTTTTGTTTTTTTCTTTGTAGCTCCTGCATTTTATGAGATATTTAGCCGTGAATGAAGCGTTGCGCTTCAAACGCAACAAACGGCTACCTAATATAACTCCAGCACTGATAATTATCATCAATATCATCTCTTATAGATATTTCAACTGTCAAAATGGCATTGTGACATGTAATTTAACCGATTTCAAATGCAACAAAAGGCCACTCTACCCCAACACTGTTCATTACCAGCTCTTATTGACATTTCAACTGTCAAACTGACAATTTGACATGTCATTTAACCGAATTCAAATTCAACCGAAAAAATCTCATTTTACTATCGTACAAATTAACTTCTAACTGCGATTCTCCTCTGATTTAACGTCGAATTAATTCGTTCAAGCACTCCCCTGCACATCGCCGTGCAAGCCGACAACAGACCCATCTTCCAGTTGTTGCTCAAACAGGACTACGTCAACGTGAATTTGAAAACGACCGAAGAACACCCGCCCCTCTACTACGCCCTGTTGAAATACGAATCGGGCGACGACGGCGACGACTCCTACGCGACGCTGTTGCTCGAACGCGACGCCCACACGTCGCCCGTGTACTCCGATACGTGCAACAATCTGTTGCAGGTGATAATATAACATTCGCGAAACTGTTCGCTTAGTGTTTTGGTAATTCGTATGTGTTGCAGGTGCTTGTTTTGAACGGCGCCGAAAAGGCGGCTTTGTATTTGAGCGCGAAGATCGAGGACAGTTTGAACCATGTTAACATCGAGGGTAGGTATTAGAAGCTTGTAGAATGAGCCGGCAATAATGATTTAGATGTAGAGGAATAGGTGTATTAGAGGCGCCTTTCGTTTGGTGATTTTCTTAACATCTTGATTTATTATTATTTGTTGAATTATTGATTCCGTTGATGTGCTATCACGATTGCTTTTTAGGCGAAACGCCGTTACATTTGGCCTGTTCGAAAAACTATTCCAAGTTAGTACGATGCATGCTCGAACGCGGCGCCAATCCGAATTTACTAACCAACGAAAAGCGACAGTCGCCGTTGCATTACGCCGTGAAAAACAACGCGGAAAGTTGCATCAGGGAGTTGATCGATTACAACCAAACCCTGGCCTCTTTAGGTACGGTAGATGGACCGATTTCTTCGCTTCGTAGAGGAGCTAAAATGTTTCGGTTTCTTTCTTTCAGGGGACAAAAAGGACGCGAGACAGCCGTGCAATTTCAACAATCGAGACATCGACGGAGAAACGCCGATCAGTTTGGCATTGGACGAAGGTTACAATCATTTGGTGCCCGTATTGATCGAAGGCAAAGCGGACATTAACGTGAGAAACAGCAAAGATCTAACGTTGCTACATCAGGCGATTCTGAAGGAGGATTCCCAAACGGCGTTGTTCCTCCTAAACAACGGCGGCGACATTAACGCCGTGTAAGTTCCGTTTTTAAAGGCCTCTCGCTATTACTGCATCCGGCCAGCAAATAACTCGAGGCCTTCGAGCACGTCAGTATAAAACGTTTGCCGTGTTTTCGCAGCACCAGCGACTACGAGACGCCCTTGCAGCTGGCGATCCACTGCCGTCTGCCGGACGTCGTCGACGCGCTGTGCAGCAAAGGCGTCGACATGTCGGCGCCGGACAGGGCCGGCAGCTGCGCCCTGTGGGCGGCGCTCGATTCGGGCCAGGAGGACGTGGCCAGCGTCATCGTGAAGCACGGCGCCGATACGGATTGCTGGGCCGACGGGCCCGACGGCTGTCGACAGACGCTCCTCCATCGGCAAGTATACGAACTAACTAATTCACTCGATATACACCGTTTGGAAAATTATTCGCGCATAATAGGGAAATCAATGTTAAATTCTTAGCCTGCTGAAATCTAGTCTACCAGTGTAGATTTCAATAGAACGTGTCGCGATTAATTCTAATAAATTTAATTGTTCTACTGGACATCACATAGCGCTTTGGTTCGGTTAGATTAAAAATCAAATAATTTCGACGGTTTCGACACTTCGACAGTATCAAAACGGGTTCGGATGGGTGAACGTCGAGTCGATTAAAAAGAAATGAGAATTTTTAAACGATAATTTATTGAAAAAATATCACTAATATTAAAATAGAATTATGTAGATATGTCTTTTTGCCACAATGGCTTGAAAAAGAAAGTAAATTCTAAGAAAATAGTAAAAAGGAAACTCCAAAAATAAACTTAAAGATTATTTTAAAACAAAAAATAAAAGAACTCTAAAAAATAGTCCACCGCTTTCTGCTAAACTATAGCCAAACCTGTCATACAGATGTCATCCCATATTACTGAGCTGAGGTATAATTCTAGCTGAAAATTGAATTATTTTTTCCCTTATTTCAACAAAATTTGTTGCTATTTCAAAACTGTACCTACCGATACACACATTTTTTGAAATATCCCCAAAAGACCTATTAAATGTAGTTTCTAAATAATTTTGTACCTCATACCTAACACAAATAACTTTGTACCTCTACAAATCGCGGCGTGCGATCCAGTAGAACAATTAAATTTATTAGAATTCATCGCGACGTTCTATTGAAATGTATACTGGTAGACTGTATTTCAGCCGGCTAAGAATTTAACATTGATTTCCCTATTATGCGAAATTAAATTTCCAACAGTGTATAGCTGAAGACTGGTTTGTTTTTTTTTTGTAGGGCGCTGGACGAGAACAAGGAATCGGCGGCGATATTTCTGATACAGGCCGGTTGCGATTTGAACCTGTCGAGGATACCGGGCGTGAACGGCGAAGGCGGCGAGGAGGCGTTCGATAAAAAGTCCCCGTTGCATTTGTGCTGCCAATGGGGACTCGAACCCGTCGTTCGGGTAAACCTAACGCTCGATCGAAAGTGATCGTCGATCGTTGATCGTTGAATTGTCGTAGACGTTGGTGGAGCACCGGGCGAACGTGAACATCAGAGACGCCGAGAACAAGACGCCGTTGCACGTCGCCATCGAGAACCAACAGGACGAGATCATATCGCTGTTGCTGAGCGTGCCCGAGATCGATTTGAGCCTCAGAGACAGGCACGGCCTGAGCCCGTTCGCCGCCGCGCTGACGCACCGGAACAACAAGGCCGCCCAGGCCATTTTGGATAAGCTGCCGAGCGCCGCCGAACAGGTACGAACTCGTTTCTAATCGGTTTTTTTCGATAACGGCGCCGCAAGCGGCAGGATCTGTAAGTAGACTATGTTTATAAAGGGTGTTTCAAAATGTGAATCATTTAGAACTGTCTTGAACGGTTTAGAACGCTCCAGAACCGTTTAGAACGCTCCAGGATCATTTCAAATTGTCTAGAACCACTAAGAACACCCCAGAATCAATTAGAACTGTCTAGAACTAAAGATTTCGACTTACTTAGAAGAATAATGAAGTTTTTTTCAACTGAAAATCGCGGTATTTCATTGTCAGGCCGAGAACTTTTCACTTTTATATCCCAAGCGCCGGTAGGGGGCGCGCGTGAAGCTCGAAACATCGCGCTTTAATTGCATATAGGTATACATGTGGTATTTATTTTTAGTTCGATTCGAGAGGTCAGAATTTCCTGCACATAGCGATCAAGAAGGGCGACATCGAAAGCGCCCTGTTCCTGTTGACGGTGCAAGTCGACGTCAATTCGAGAGTGCAGGATCCGATGTTGACGCCACCTATACACCTGGCGGCGAAACACGGCAACGAGACGCTGGTGAGGAGCCTCATATTGGCGGGGGCGCGCGTCGACGACAGGGACGCTCAAAAGTATAATCATAATAGATTTTTATCCTTAGATCATATACAGGTTGCTCCATTTTTGATTACAACAAAGGTTATATAGGCCATAGGTACGATAAAGACAACTTCCATTAGACACTTCCATTCCATTAGACACGTCCATTAGACACTGTTATTTTAATAATCTATCTATGTTCCACTCATAGAAATGACCATGTTGCAATCGGAAATGGAGCTAACGATATACTAACATGGATGCATCAATGCCATAAGAATTACATTTACGTTCCTGTTGCCAACATCTACATTTCTATGAGTGGAACAAAGAAAGATTATTAAAATGACAGTTGTCAGAGTGAAAGGTTGCAATGACACAAATCTCACTCTTTCCCTTTCCTTTATAAGTGTCTAATGGCAGTTGTCTTTATCGCACTTATGGCCTATATAACATATATTGCGATCAAAAATGGAGCAACCTGTATGATCTAAGTTTTTATCGATGTTTTAACGATACCGATCGCGTTCGTTTGTAGGCGTACGGCCCTGCACGTGGCGGCGGAGGCGGGAAACGCGCCCGCCGCCGCGGCGCTGTTGCAAAACAACGCCGACTACGACGCCGTCGACGCCGAGAACGACAACGCCTTGCACATCGCCGTGCGCGAAGGGCATTTGAACGTGGTCAGAGCGCTGCTTACCGAATCGTCGATTAACGCGGAGGCCACCAATCTGAAGGTACCGTAGCTAACTTCACGCCGCGTTGGTATTTTTTTTTGTATAGCCCGGTCCACGGTCCTATATTTCTAAGGTCTGGAAACATGGGTCGAAAAAGTGTCCCGTTCTCCTAGAAATGAGTTCCGGGCCACCCTGTATAACACGAATAAAAGTTAAATTTGATAGGCAAAATGGCGGAATGAAGGAAAAGTGTCGTTATGTAGCACACCTCACTTCCCACGGGAGTTTCCTGACCTGTTAGATGCGACCGTGTTTTGTAGTAACGTTCGGCCTTTGATAATGCGGTCGTTCGGTGCTTTATCGAATGTTTCAGTTTTACTAAAATATTAATTTGTATTTTTAGGGTAGGAATCCGCTACACGAACTTTGTAAATACGGTAAAGAAAATGCGGCGACGATTTGCGAATTTTTCTTAGAATGCATGCCGAATTATCCGATAAATACGCCCGATATAATGGTAAAAATTTTTTTATATTTGGATTTATTTGTGATGTTAAATTTTCGTATTTTTTATAGGGAAATTCTCCTTTACTTTTGGCTTATATGAAGGGAAACGGAAATTTGTGCCGAGTATTAGTCAAAGCGAAGGCCTGCCTATCGTCCGAAAATTTGGAAAGGATCACCATATTCAATTATCAGGTAAAGCAGTGAAATGTCTATGCAGTTACAAGGCAGTTGGAGCGCCATCTTTGTACCCGAACTATCACTAATTTTTATAATTTTTTACTTTTCTGACTAGATTTTCACTAATTTTACACCTTACTATTCATTTCTGATGTAGGATGATCCAAATAATTATATAAAACTCGAATTACACTCAAACTTCATTCACTTTCTTCGATACAAAATTTTATAATGTGCGAAAATAAACAAAATGGCCGCCCGAGATTTATCTAAACTACGACATCTTTAAATTGGAGGTAATTTTTCTACGTGTTATTAGATATCGTGGAGAAAACAATGATTGTAATCTAAAATTAAAATCAAACTTTCTTCAAAAGTCTACCATACGTCACCTGTCACAATAACAATCGTGGCCTTTTACTGGCTAACCTAGCCTTACAAAATTTACATAAACGCACCGATCAAACAATTCCCAATGTCACATTTATCATCGAATTTATTCATAACCAGCTCGGTTCGTTCTTTCAAGGTACCCACGAAGCAGCTGTTGAACAGATTGCTGAACTTTCTTCAAAAACTGTATCAAATTGATATCCAAAATCACTCCCTCTCTGTGCCAAAAGTCCACCATACATGACAATGACATTATTGACAATCCTGGCCTTTTACCGGCTAACCTATAGCCTTACAAATCTCGCATGATCGAACCTAATTCATTCAAGGTACCCACGAAGCAGCTGTTGAACAGACTGCTGGACTCGCTGGCCCAGCCGGCGCCCTGGACGAACACGGACTCCTGCCAGGAATGCGGCGATCACTTCACGTTCCTGAACCGGTCGCATCATTGCAGGCACTGCGGCCGGGCCCTTTGTTCTAACTGCTCCAACGCCGAGGTGCCCATCGTCAAATTCGGCGAGGCCAAGCCGGTCAGAGTGTGCCGGGTGTGCTTCGACGTGCTCAAAACCGGCGCCAGTTAACTCCCGACTAACAACAACAACAAAAAAAAAGAAGAAATTTTCGAACGTGCCTGGGTGCCTTGCGCGCGCGCTGTTGTAACATTCCGGCGGTCGACGTGTTTAAATAGTCGATGGAAATACGTGTTTTGTATTGTATTTTGTACATTCCGTACGTTTAGTTAGGGCGCTGTAGGCGCGAGTGTTCGGAACCGTCCTCCATTTTATATAGGGTGTCCAGATAATAGATGTCAATAATTCGGGAGCGTATAAATGACATCAAAATAAGGGTACAACTTCATATAAATTTTGTTAATTTGAGCCACCATTTTTGAGCTATAGGCCTTTAAAGTTGAAAATTTAAAACTTATTTTTAGGTTTTATGTCCAAGTTATACATGGGAACAATATAAAATTTTTGTGGTTCATTATAAAATGATAAAATGAATCCTACACTATTCTCTGGAAGACAGTGGCGGCGTGTTCCTAGTGATTAAAAATTCGTAACTTTTGTGGGGACAATCTGTATAACACAAACTTATCGTAAATACATTCTTTAGTCGATAAACTAACAAAAATCTACTCTTGTTTGAAGTCGATAAAATTAACGGTTTAAGAGAAATTTCAATTTCTATTTTCAGACTTCTATTTTTCTATATTCAGACTTCTATTTTCTGGACACCCTGTAGTTGGTTGTTTTGATGTGGAGTCAAAATGGCGGTCGGTTGGGGATACACCTGTCAATGGTACACTAATTTACTCGATTGGATTCGGTTGAATAACTTGATTTTTGTGCAGTTAAACCGATAAGATTAATCCTTGGGTAAATTAGTAACCTTTGACTTGTATGTAGAGTTTCGATTTTGTAATTTACAATCCACTATTATAAACAAATTGTATATATTTTTATGTAATGCATACGCTTTATAATATAATTCCATTAATTCATACAGTGGGTTGTAATGTAACTACCATAAGATATCGAACCAATCATTATACAGGGTGTTCCTAAACATCGTGTACATCCGAAAAGGGGTGATTCCTTGGCTTATTTTATGACTAAAATTTCATATAAACATAGATCCGCAAACGGTTCGTTACTAATCTACAGGGTGTTCAAATTCACACACAAGTTCACAGGGTGTGAAATTTCAAGTTTTTATTTGTTTTTTCTTTGTAGCTCTTGCACTTTTTGAGATATTTAGCTCAAATTTTGAATCTAGATTGCTTTATAGGGCACACATTATTAGGTATGTCAAATGGTTGTTAAATTCTACAGGATGATATTTTTTCAGGGGTCATGTACCCTTTTTCCCCCCAGAACTTTTTTGCTGTGCTCCGCTGGTAAATTCTAAAATACAAAATTAATTGTCTGTTTTGTTTAGAAACTTTTTTATTTTTAAACTTTCGTTTCTATGACCGTTATCGAGAAAAAAATTAAAAATGATTTTCTGTACAAATGATTTACTTTACAAAACAAAATCCTATACCTAATTTGAGCTAATTATCTCAAAAACTGCATGAGCTCTAAAAAAGAAACAAAAAAAATCTTGAAATTTCAACACCCTGTAGATCGATAACGAACCGTTTGCGCACCCACCTTTATATAAACTTTTAGTCATAAAATCAGCCAAGGAATCACCTCCTTTCGGATGTACACGATATTTAGAAACACCCTGTATATTCAAACAATAAGATAAGATCCAAATACTTTTCCGGATCTTTCAAATGGAAATATCCATAGTATTTCGTAAGTAAGTACAATTCATCACGCCGATTATGTGGCGTTTTGAAATACATTACGCATATACGAGGCGCTCGCAATAAGTTTTCGGCGCAGCCTGCTCGATCGGCTCGAGGAAAATCGCGCAAACGGTTCGATTCGCGGTGGCCTCGTACCTCGTAGCGATTACCGCGATAACGGGGGTTAGTGAAGCGCGTCAAGTGTCAAGGAATCAGTATCGGGTGAACAGTGATCGGTATTGTGCAGTTCGACGAAAAACAATAAGGTTTGAATAGTTATTTTTCTCGGTAACTAGATGGGTATCGCTAAAAGATTATATCGGTTTGTCGTGTATATTATTGCATGTTTGAATTATTATGAGATGATAACAAATTTTCTTAGAACGTGACGAAATAGTACCGTAAATAATATATTTTTTTTGCTCGCTTTTAATCAGTTCTGATAACACCCTAACTTTGTTTTCCTTACGTCATATTCCAAAGTAACTAACATATCATTTAAAGTTTAAAGGATAAACGTATACAGGTTGATTTACTTTGGTTTGCAATAAAGACAACTTATTCATTAGACACTTGTAAAGGATATAGTAATATAGTAATATTTATGTCATTGCAACTTTTCAATTTAACATCTGTCATTTTAGTAATCGTAGAAATGTCCATATTGCAAACTGAAATGAACCAATGTGTATTATTAAAGTACCATCGTATTTTCCGAACGTGGAATGTGATACATTGAAATGCATATAAGTATCATTTTTCATCTAGCCTACATTTTCTTAACTACACTATGTGCAAACTACAAAAATATTCCTACTCGAGTTGAATTTGTTTAATCTTCATACGAATTTAAATACCGTGAAATCGTATAATATTTTGTAACGTAAATAAGGTTCAAATTCGTCAACGTTGAATCATTGTTAATTTTCCTGCAATTCGATTGTAAATTGCACAAATATTTGCACTTTTACACACGGAATCATTATGTTTTTATTTTACTGCAGCAACCTTGATGTGCGTGTTTTATTGCGATGATAACGTTGCGTTTTTCATTATTATTATACCTTCCTATGTACAGGTAATATCGTTAGAATCAATACAGAGAATATACCGGGCGATAATATTTGCGCTTGTTTAAATTGCGTTAAAAAAAAGACTTATTTACACACCATTTCTACTCGAAATATATCTTATCAACGAGACGAGTTACTCTGATTAACGAAACTTTCCGTTTATCTATACAATCCTATAAGAAAGTAAATTATATTTGTGCATGTAGGTATAATGAATAGAAGTCTTTCGGAACATTATTGCAATTGGTTCGGAACACATCGAATATTGGTAGTCTAAAAATTTCAAGCGGTACAATTTACCGCTCTCCTTCACCATCTTCTTCGCGAAAAATTAGACGAACGCCGTTCAGTTCCTGTTCGATTCGACGCGCTCCCCTTTCCTCTTCTGCTTCTCCCGCAACGCCTCGGCGTCCCGGATCCTCCGCTGCTCGACGGTGAGGCCGTCGCTCCTCTTGCTCTTCTCCACCTCCTTCTGCTTCTTCTGGTTCTTGGCTCTGGCCAGTTCGCGCTGATTGCCACGGGTCATTTTGACTGTCGACTGACGTCGTCTTAGGTTCGATCTCCATCGGGAAATCCCCGACCAATGAGCGCCCTTTAATTTGACTGTCGACTGACGTCGTCTTAGGCCCGATCTCCATCGGGAAATCCTTGACCAATGAGCGCTCTTTAATATGACTGACGTAGTTTTAGACCCGATCTCCGCAGGAAATCCCATGAGCGCCTTTTCGTTCGAGTTATGCAGCCAAATGGAGAGTGGTTATAGTCGTTAATTTAATTTTTTAATGGGATTAATAGCGACGTTACAGCAATTATAACGTTTCCGGACGAAGGTCGGGAATGTTTATTAATAGTACAACATCGGTAATGTAACTAAATTGTTTTTTTTTATTGTAGAATGAGTAAAAACGGAAATCCACCGCCGTATTCGCCGCCTTATAATCCACAGCCTCCTGGTTTCTACCCGCCTCCGCAGGAGCCGCCTAATTTCGTTCCAGCGCCGACTGGTAATATTTTAGGTGTTATTTAATCGTGTGATTCACCTTGCAATTTTGTTATCTAAATTGGCCGTTGTCGATAAGATTTGCAATATTGCGAAATCTAGCGAATCGACAAGTACAAGACCAATCGTGGGCCTTACGGTTTTTGCCTTGCTAATTGTTCCTATTATTAATTTACATAGATATGACTTGGCATTGCAAGAAAAAGTGATTGCGTTATTTATAGATAAACTTCTGAACTAAGTCTCTATAAATAATCTAATGCACTTGGAAAATTGTTCAGTTCGACGCCACATTTTATTGCATAAATATTTATTGCAAGTTTGTTAGAATGACCGATTACACATCGACTTCAAACGGTAACGATTCAATTGACAACGTAGCTAAATTTACCGAACACTCATGCGAACTAAGGCCAATATTCCTCGAAAGCGAGGCTTGTCAAAGCATTTATTTATTTTTTGTTTTTAGTTATAGTAACGCAAGCGATCCCTGTGGGTCCCACGCCAACGTCTACACAATGTCCTTCGTGCCACGCTAACATAATGACCACCATGGAAACCGAGGCAACGACCAAAACGCACTTGATCGCCTTGTTGTTGTGCCTCGTCGGGTAAATCCCAGTTGATTATCGTTTAATTATTTCGAAATTCCGGGTCCTGGCTGAATAGCTTCGATAATTCTGGCCATATTACTTAAAATAAAATCGTAGATCTGTCAAAATTGACAGTTCAAGTTATTTACAGGCCGAATAGCCTTAGTGGCTGAGGCCTCAAAATGAAAAGAAGAAGTTACAAGGGACGATTGTAAGGCAAAAATTGACATTTTTTTTCAGATGCTGGCCATGTTGTTTAATACCTTATTGCACGGATTCTTGCCAAGCCAAAACCCATTACTGCCCGAATTGCAGAACGTACTTGGGAAAATTCGACAATTAAAAGGGCATCGTAAAGTTTTCGTCATACAATTCGTTTTGTATAACTAAGCAATCATTTAAGTAAACTGTACATTTAATTATAATTACGAAAATTGGTAATGTTTTTTTAAAATGTAAACGTATTTATGCATTTATTACTTTCTTCTCCTTTTGCTATTGTTACTTCCTTGACTCTTGTTTCGCTTCTTCGAGAATTTTTTACTCCTGCCTCCTACCGTTCTATCGAACTTATTCAGCCACCTGTTTCTATTTTCTTCCCAGGATAGTTGTTTCACATCTGTTAGGATAATTGGTTTGTATATAAATACAAATATAAATGCGATTGAATTATAAGTGCAAATTCGTACACAATATGGGTGCAACAAAGACAACTTCTATTAGTGATATTGTGGGGGTACTGCAACTTTCTCACTCTAACCACTGTTATTTTAATAATCTTTCCTTGTCCAACTCATAGAATTGACCATACTGTAAACAAATATGCACTTATCTGTATAAAAAAAACAAGTACCTGCATCATCCTTATTGGCAAACGCATTAGAACCGCCCGGTTTGATTTTAGACGATCCCTCGTCCTCCAATAATGTAGCGAATTCTTCGACTGAAGCGAAATTGGACATTATGTCGTTGGATTTCTTATTTTTGCCCTTCTTTCCGCGATTCGATTCCTCTTCGTCGGAGAACTCTATACTTTCGGCATCATCTTCGCTCAAATCATCGAGCAAATCTACAAAACCTATAGCATCAGCTAACGAATTTAAAAAGTTCTTAATTCGAATACCTTTATCATCATCGTTCATTTCCAGCTCGTCGTCATCCTCGCCGCTAAACTCCTCGTTATCGCTGAAGAAATCATCCGATAAATTCTCGTCTTCGTCATCATCACCGTCATCATCGTCATCCGCAGTTTCTTCCTTGCTCCTCGTCTTTTCTACAAAGCAATTTAATTCGAATTTGCGCTATTAAAATACTCGATTTGTTATTTACTTTTGTTCTCTTTCAAGCTACTGCCTATTTCGTTGAGATAATCCAACTCGTCCGGTTCCTCGTTGGTCTTCGCGCCGGCCATTTTGTCCAGCATTTCCTCGAATTCGTCGCTCCGCACCGACTCCAAGTCGCTGTCGTCGTCGTCCCTCGACCCGCCTTCGCGGTACTTCCCTTGAAGGTACCTAAAAAAATCCCCAAATTCACCGAAATATTCGAATCATTCGAATCACTAATACTGTAAAGCTGTAGGGCCCAAATTCGTAGGGTCATTTTCGAGATTTTGGAGCTCGCGCAGCGAGCAAGAATTGGATATGCAACTGTGTGCGGCGAAGCCGGGGGTGGAGGGGCGGAGGCCCTCCCGAGCTGATAAGCGAGTAGCAACTATAATACGTACGTGTGAACGAACAGCTCGTCTACGGGTATGTTCCTCGGGTTCTCTCTGGAGTAGCTTTCCGATTTAACCGGCAGGGATTTAACGCCTTTGGGCCTGTAGAGCTTCCGTTTGCTGAACATGAGGTCTCTGCCGGGCGTCGCGGCTGTTTTCTTCGGGTTCTTAAAGACGAACCGCTCGAGGAATCTGATGAGAGTGAAGTCGTTGAGCGGGTCCCCGTTGTAAGTGACCGGTTCGTTGTTGAGCAAATTCGTAGCGAATAGAGATACGGTGGGATGAAAGTGGTTTTTCAGGTAGTTCAGTTCGATGTAGGCGCTGAATTCTCCGCCGCCGTACAGCGGATTCCTCGCTAGAGGATTGTATTTGTGAGTTTTATCTCCCCCTGGACCGTTTCGGCAGTGGTACCAGCTCGAAGCATCACCCTTAGGTTTTACATCGTCTTCATCCACCGGTTCTTCTTTGATTTCTACCAACCCGTTCGTCGTTATCTCCTCTTTGACCTCGTCCTCGTTATCGCTTTCTTCTTTGATTTCGATCGTTTCTTCTTTAATATCGTGGTATTTCTCTTCGTCTTCGTCGTTCTCGAACGCCGATATTTCGCTGCGTTTCATAACGAACGCTTTAATGTCCCCTCGCTTGTTCATCAGCTGCGATATCAAATATAATATTCCGCACGAATAGCACGGTTGGGCGTACAACGAAATCTGAAGAAAAAAAATTTCGGTTTATTTAACGCCGTTTAATTTCGATTTCGAGCGTTCACCTGCAGCAGCCTTTTTACGAACAACTTGACGCGATTGGGCTCTTTATCTTTCAGCAGAGCCTTGTAAACCAGGCTTAACAGCATGGCTTTGTGCGTCGTGTTCAAAACGTTCGAGTCGAATAATTTTCTATAAAGCGCCGCGTAGAATCTAAAAAAAAAATGGTTTTAATTTCACTTTCGATTGACAATCTATTTTCTGGACACCCTGTATAACTTCCATACCTATCCGTAATTCCTTTACCGCTATCGGACACTTGGTACAGAAGATTGAGAGTGTGTAAGCTGATGTTGAAATTAGCTATGTGTACTAATCTGTACATGGTGTCGATGTGTTCCTGGATATTTTCGAAATCCATTTTAGCGTACGGATAAGCTCGATTTAATCCGGTCAGTAAAGCGGACATCATCCTGGTATCGATGTCTCCCTAAAAATTCAATCAATCAACGATACAATATGGTTTATTAACCATTATTACCGTTTTCACGCAAGCTTTGAAGAACGAAAAGTAGACGTCTATCAATTTACGAGGTACGTTGTTCGATTCCGGATTCAAATGGAACTGGGACAGGAAGCACAGGCTGTAATATTGAGCTCTGGTCGACACGTTGGGCCTAAACATCAATTTTTCTATCTCGTTTAGAACCACTAATTGCATGTTGTTGTGTTTAAACAGCAGTTTCGTTAAACAGTATATAACTTTCGAGGCGACTTTCTGTGACGGATCTCCCAATTTGTTCACTATGTAAGTTAGAAGATTCTAAACAATAAAAAAATATTACATTATTAGAGTAACTTGTATCGCTTTACTAACTTTCTCTTGTTCCGGATTGCTCTCTAGTAATTTGTACATAGCTGTGATGGCCTTTTCCTTGTTACTGTCTACGGTGTCTTGGGCGACTCGGCTCAAAGCCAGGACAAACAAAGCGTAGATTTCCTTCAATTGATCCTCGAAATACCACAAGTTTAGAAGTTTCCTTCTGGTAACCGCATTGCCTGATGATAGTTCGTTCAACATCGATAACGGTCGTTGATGGAAGGACTTTAACTTTCTCCCGTCGATTAGGAGATTCGATACAAACAAATCGGTAAGGGTTTCTGTAATGATACAATTGTGAGATATTTGTATACGAGAATTTATAGTGTTCGTACCCATTACGGACATGCATTCTTTCTTTTTGCCCACTTTAACCATGTTTACTAGATTTCTGACCGTTTCTAAACTAACTATAGGATTGTCTTGTATCATTATAGTATTGGCCGCGATTTTGTCCGATAGAGTTCCTTTAGACATGACGGTTTTCATCCATTGGTAATTCGAATTGGTCTTCAAATTCTCTACAAATAAATAGCGATAAATTACAGCCCGATTATTACTCTCGTATCCAATTACTCGAATTGTAGTTCAACACCTCCGATTCGTGGCATTTCTTCGCTTCGTCTTTCAATTCTATGAGAACCTGCTCGGTGTATTTGGGCGCATCTTTCGGATCTTCCTCCATCTACGAACACATTTTACCATTTAATTTGAATGTTAACTAGATCGTGCTTAACTTACGTCCTCGTACCACTTTTTCGGCTCGCTGTACTCCTCGAGGTCTTCGAGGTCTTTATGCGGAGCCCCATTACTGGGGAAATTGCGATTTTTTATTTTCATTTTACTGCTAAACGTGCAACAAAATGAAAAAACCTGTGTATTTGTTAGGTTAGGTTGTCGACAGTTGACGTTTGGTCATTTGCTAAATTTGACATTAGTCAAAATGACAACTAACCTTTATATTTTTAGAAAAGAAGAAGAATTTAACCTAAAATTCGCAAAAATTTGTTTACTCATTTCAGCAAAAGTTTTCGAATAATATCGCTATAATGGCTTCGATGCCGGTTACTTCATCGACCCTCTTGCCGCTAGGTGAGTTATACCCGTCTATTTATACCATTTACTGCAATATTTATATCCCTTTAAAGAATTGGTGGACAAATGCATCGGCTCGAGGATACACATAATAATGAAGAACGACAAGGAAATCGTCGGTACTCTGTTAGGCTTCGACGACTTCGTCAACATGCTTTTGGACGACGTCACCGAATACGAGAACACCCCGGAAGGCAGGAGAATCACCAAGCTCGATGAGATCCTCCTAAACGGCAACAACATAACAATGGTATATAAATCAAGTAATCGAAAGAATATTTACGAATCCCTTTTTTTTGTATCAATTTCAGCTGGTGCCCGGCGGTGAAATGCCTGAGTAACTCTCATTTTCCAGGTATTACAAGTTAAATATCAATTCCTCTGTAACACAGTATGTTGCGTTTTTTTTGCGAAATGAAACTAAACTTTTTATAGGTATCATAAATATTTTAAATAAGACAAATATATATCTCGAACCTTATAACAAACTACCTACTATAATCGTATTGTACAAGCAATACTTGGGATTGAATCAGGCGATTTAAGCGATGTTATTTCAATTATTACAGTTCGCTTAAATCCACCTAAAATCACTAAAAAACGACGAAATTTGCACATATATCAACCACATTCGTTTACTTGCAGATATTAAGCTAAAAAAAATCAACATCACTCCCGCGCTTTTTTCCTCATCTTCTTGAAAGCCTTCCTGTCCTCGAACAGGTAAATGGTGTTGATCTGTTCGCTCTTCCTCTTGTGGTTGTGGTCCTGCCTGATGTGCACCGCTATGTCCGATATTTGCGCGAACGCCTTGTCGCATTTGCTGCAAGCGAACGGCAACACGTCGATCTTCTGCCTGTGCGTCTTCTCGTGCTCCACCAGATCACCCGTAGACTCGAACTTTTCGTTACACTCGACGCACAGGATGATCTTGTGGAAGTTCTACAACACAAACGAATCAATATCAAGGTGCAAACGGCCTCTATTCAGCGTCTTCAGCGAATAGATGATATCGAGCTCACTTGGTAATGTTTGCTCAAGCCCCCCGAGCACTTGTACGTCATTTTGCATATTTCGCAGTCGTATAAAACGTCCGGGACGCTTTTGTTGTGAGCCGTTTTCATGTGTTCGCTCAAATAGAATTGCCTATCGAAACCGGAGCCGCATATGTCGCAGGCCACCGCGTGGGTGATGTAATGATCCATCGTGTCGTTTCTCGTGTCGAATATCAATTCGCACACCGGGCAATACAGGCCTGAAATGTATTACATCGTATTATCGAGGTTGTTTCGATCGGTTTGCGTTTGCTTACCTTTGCTAACGTGCGTCGAATATTTACATTTGTACTGTGATATCAGGGTGTTGCCGACGTGCATGGTTTCGTAATGGGATTTGAGGCAGTTCAAGCAGCCGTAGGAGTTGGTGCATATTTCGCAGGCGAACGTATCGGTGCGGCCGGTGCACAACAACGATTGTAACGTAGAGGCCCGGATCTCGTCCGGAATGGGTTCTTTGGGCTTCTGCGGGGGTTTTTTCTTTGGGACGAAAGCCTGTTCTTCGGCCTCGTTTTCTATTTGGAGGATTATCGTTTCCTGAAAGTTGGGTGAATTAGTGCAGGAAATCGAAGGGCTATTCGGGAATACCCTAATTTCGTTATCTTCGTTGATAATGGTAAAAACCGGCGAGGAACTCAGAAAGAAAGGCATCATCGGTTGTATGAGATCTTTGTTTTCGCTAGGGCTAATGTTTTCCTCGAAGTTCACATCGATATCGGTCTTGTCGGGTTCGTTGGGAATTTGTATTTGATTTGGGTCGTAAACGTATTCGATTAGGGGCCCCAAGCGCGTCAAATTCGGCTCGTCCGAGTCGGTTGGATCGTTCGTGTCCTGTTCGTAAACTAACTCTGGTCTGAGGAAATCCTCGTCTAAAAAAAGGGGTTCAAAAGCTTCAATGTTTAAACTACAGTTCAAATTGATTGAAATACATTCTTACCTACTAAGTCTGGCTCGTCTCTATAAGTGTTTAAGGAATGCTCATCCATAATTTGCTACTTGTTACTTATAATGTAGTAAGTAAAGTTTTAGAAGTATGGGTTTATTAAAGAATAATCAATTTTCTAAAGATCTAAACATTATTATTACTATTTAATAAAATGTTTTAGATAAAAAATTATATCGACATGTTATCAAACAAATGTCACACGTCACAAATTCTTCTTTTTTGAATTTTCAATGTCCTGAGCTGCTGGTGTTATATAGCCCACTTATCAGTTTTCAGTTAAAAAAATGGCTGTATGTCCCACAGGACCAAGACGTTTTAATGTATAATAAAACAAGAAGAAGTATTTTGACAGCTGCATTGTTATTTGTTTCGCAAATAATTTTGAATAATACGATTAATTATATAAATTTCTATTACCTACTTTCATGGTATGTCTGAAGAAATATTGCTCGTAGATGACGACATAAAATACCACGAACAATTCTTACCCCCAGAGGTACCAGGTTTTATAGGTTATGTTTTGTTGTCGTTTCTTTAACGAATTTGCATTCGGTTTGACGAATATTTTCAGCTTACCCCTGCGAGCAAATCGACGATAAACAAAATATTCGAGGATTTCAATTTTGCATTGTCGAATGACAGCGCCAAATCCAGCATGGTAGTCGAGGAGGCGAGGTACACGATTCCCACCCAACTTACCAACAGTTTCGATAGGGAGAATTGGACCGTCTCCACGGACCACTGTTACGCCAGACCGTGGAACTGGAGGCCGGAGGCGAGTTTTCTGCGACCCACGAAGACCTTGTTCATCCCGAAATTAGTGCCGGTCAAATCCTCCAATTCGATACAAGACAACGATGATGCTATCGATATCGAATCGGAGGTCGAAGTACCCGCTCCTAACTACGATGTAGCCAAAGCCAAGAGCCTAATGGAGGAGTGCGAAAAGCACGCTTTCTCCATTAGGGCTGATACCGAAGAAGATTGGGAGGAAAAAGTCTCGAAGTTTGTACACATCGAATTCTCCAAATTTCCAAATACTCAACATTGATTTGCAGGTTAAATTGGACCACCGGCCAACACAAACTCTTTAACACCATGGTGAATATTTTGAACAGCTTCAATTTATCGAAATTGGCGTACGAGAATTCTTCCAACGAGCCTCTTCTCAGACGCACCATCATCGACAAGGCCGTACAAAGAGTTAGACGTTTATTAGCTTCAGTGCTGTGGGACTCGAAACTCACTCAATGGTTGCACCAGATCCTAATCGAGAATTTAGGACCGCACTATTTGGCCTTTTACCTAGACATACTTCAAGTAAACCGATCGCTCGAAATTGTTTAAACGAAACGCGCGTTAAATCTAATTGCGTTTCAGACGTTGAAATCGAAGCTGCCCAATTTCGTCGATAAAATGATGCACACCCCGACATCAACGTTTCGAGCGGGCTGCATCAACAGCATAGCCCTAACATCGTTGTTGGAACGCCCTTGGGATCCCGTATCGACCACTCTAATGCAAGACAAACCGAAAAAGCTACCCGGCAATCCCGTGATAATCGTCGTGCCTTCGGGACCCACAACATCGAAGACCTTCCACAAATGGCGGGCTCTACTAACGAACCTCGGCACGGTGGTCACCGTACCGACCAACTTCGGTTAGTCACGCGCTCGATTTATAAATTCCGGTTATCGTTCGAGTGAATTGCAGGTTCGACAGGCCATCGACTGACCATGCCGAGCATCTTGGACCAATTGTTCTCGATAACGAGAGGCAAAATCCAAGACGTCAGAGACACGTTCCCCGGCAGGAACATTATATTGGTGGGCTTCAACAGCGGCGCCGCCTTGGCGTTGCAAGTGGCCCACATCGAGCCCGTTCTCTGCGTGATCAGCGTCGGATTTTCCTTGTTGACGGCCGAAGGGCTGAGGGGCGAGCCCGACGATAACGTGCTCGAATTGCAATGTCCCGTGCTGTTTGTAATCGGACAGTGTTCGAACAGTTCGAGGTAGTTTGATCGAATATATTCGAGTTGTTTTATTGTTAGTTATTGTTTGTTTTGTAGCCAGGAAGATTTGGAGGATATGCGCGAACGAATGAGAGTGGAAACTGGTCTGCTAGTAGTCGGTTCGGCCGATGATTATTTGAGAGTTAGCAAGAAGAAACGAAGGCAAGAAGGTATCACGCAGAGTATCGTCGATAGATGTATCCTAGTAAGTACAAACTGTCGGATTTTCGTAAGGAAATAAGTAAATAAATTCGCTGTTTTGTTTTTTTAAGGATGAAATGGGTGAATTCATCAGCGGCTTGATCCTCTCCCCATTCCCGCCCCAAATCCGCCAATCTCCCACGCACGTACCGCCCGAAACTCCTATAAAAAAAGGTAATCCGGAACGGAAACGTTACAGCTCTAATGCTAGTTCGTTGGACAGCGAACCGCCATCGCCGACGCCAGTCCGGATGAACAAATCAGGTCAAATTTATTCGGAAGACGAATTCCGTTTCCTACGACTAACGTTTTTGCTAGTTTAGATTAGCCTAGTTTAATAATTGCGGTTGTTGCATGGCGATGGAAACGATTCGCATAAGAATCCGCATGCGCCACTTATAAAGTTGTAATTAAAATTTGACCATCATCGTAACAAACACTGTATTACTAAGTAACTGTGGACTGTCTTAGGATAGTCTACTGTGATCTTACGAAGGTAGGGTTCTCGGCCTGAATCATTTAGAAGTGTCTAGAAGAATCTAGAACGCATTCAGAATCATTTAAAACTGTGTAGAAACATTCAGAACTTTCCATAGTCATTTAGAACGCTCCAGAATCATTTTGAAACATTAAGAACGCTCTATAATCATTTAGAACCGTCTCGAATTAAATATTTCGCCTTAATAAGAAAAATACTGTAATTTTAATCATTTAAAACTGTGTAGAAACATTCAGAACGGTCCATAGTCATTTAGAACGCTCCAGAATCATTTTGAACCATTTAAGAACGCTTTATAATCATTTAGAAACGTCTTGAATTAAATATTTCGCCTTAATAAGAAAAATACTGTAATTTTAATCATTTAAAACTGTGTAGAAACATTCAGAACGGTCCATAGTCATTTAGAACGCTCCAGAATCATTTTGAACCATTTAAGAACGCTTTATAATCATTTAGAAACGTCTTGAATTAAATATTTCGCCTTAATAAGAAAAATACTGTAATTTTAATCATTTAAAACTGTGTAGAAACATTCAGAACGGTCCATAGTCATTTAGAACGCTCCAGAATCATTTTGAACCATTTAAGAACGCTTTATAATCATTTAGAAACGTCTTGAATTAAATATTTCGCCTTAATAAGAAAAATACTGTAATTTTAATCATTTAAAACTGTGTAGAAACATTCAGAACGGTCCATAGTCATTTAGAACGCTCCAGAATCATTTTGAACCATTTAAGAACGCTTTATAATCATTTAGAAACGTCTTGAATTAAATATTTCGCCTTAATAAGAAAAATACTGTAATTTTAATCATTTAAAACTGTGTAGAAACATTCAGAACGGTCCATAGTCATTTAGAACGCTCCAGAATCATTTTGAACCATTAAGAACGCTTTATAATCATTTAGAACCGTCTTGAATTAAATATTTCGCCTTATTAAGAAGAATATTGTAATTTTTCAACTGAAAATCGCGGTCGTTCGTCGTCAGGCCGAGAACATTTCACCTTGCCCTGGCATAATAAAGTAATTAGGATGAGTTATAAGTAGGCGTTTGCGAATACTTAGGCGCACATGGAACGTTTATTAACGTCAGTATTTCCTTTTTTCCAGTAGGTCGACCGCCCGGTTCGAAGAGCAAGAACCGCCTCGAGGCGAAATGGGCGCAGCAAATAGCCCAAGGTAACCTCCAGTCCGCCTCGTCGACTAATCCTCCTAGCCCGTCGCCCATTCCACATTCCCCCATCGCCTATCCCGCCGCCACCGCCTCCGATACGTCCTCGAACGACGGTTCCTCCGCGGCTGAAAAACCGCCGAAGCCGGGCGATCCGCCGCAATCGCCGGCGCCGCCGGCGGCGGTGAAAAAGCTCAAAACGCTGCTGCCGGTGGAGAAACCGTCCCAAGGGCCTGCGGCCAAAAATCAACACTCGCCAGGTTAGTGTGTTGTGTGTGTGTGAGGTTCACGGGGAATTGGTTTGGTGACAGGTTCTATTTATTATATTATATTGTCTGTAAAAGGCTGTCCGTTTTCGTTAGATTAGTGCATCTCGGGCCAGCCTGCTGCAACGTTGCCGGGTTGTAATTGATATCCTTGATGTGACAGATATATTCAATTTAAGGTTACGTTTACTTTCATTGTTTACAAATTAAAAAAAAATTCTTAAATAGTAGAATTTAAACATGAAAAAGTAGATCAGGAGGAGATGTGGGCTGTCAATTATTCCAATAGTCTTCAGAAGTTCAACTGCGCATCGTAAAATTCCCCAAGTCAAATGGGAGAATTAACATTGGCACTAGGGACATTTTGAACTGCGCGGAAATTACTAAAAATGACCAAATAGTCTAACGAAAATGGATATCCTTTAGTTAAGTGTAGTCTATTTTATCTACTAAGCGCTGAATTTTATCCTGTTTGTTTCGGTAATTGCAGCTAGAATGCACGCGTTCGGTATGGGCAGGAACGCCTCGTCTCAAGGTAACACCAGCGTGACGAATTTGTTACAAGGTGGCATTAAGACAATACCGCCATCTTTACCCAAGCCTTCTACTTCCGGTATTAAAGGTAACAGCGGTTTAATCCACAGTGGCCCGTATTCAGCGTCTCTGTTTAACTTTAGAGTGACTCCAAAGTCGCTTCTCGAGTACCTAGTTACTCCATAACAACCAATGTAATACTGTCGATTTGAAAGAATCTCCTTAGTTCCTCCATAACAACAATATAAAACTGTCAAAAGTGAAAGAATCTCCTTAGTTACTCCATAACAACCAATGTAAAACTGTCAAGTTAAAGACGCGACTTTAGAGTCACTCTAAAGTTAAACGGTGGCGCTGAATACGGGGCATTGTATTGAGAAATCTATTGAGTTACTATTGCGCCTTGTAGATAGGCAACCACTTATACAAGACAAACATTATTTTTTTTTAACGAATTCGTTTGCAGTTTTGGAACACGTCACCATACACAACGCCAATCCCGGTAAGCTGTTGTCCAACAGGACGATAGATTTGTCGAAAATAACGCTGTTGAATTCGTCGAAAGCGTCGAGTCCCGCCGTTAGCAACGTATTACTATTGCCCGATAACAAAATCAAAACCATCGGATCGGGCGTGAAGGGCGCTTCGTCGGGCGGTAATATTCTGTTGCCGATGAGCCCTTCGAAGGGAACGCCGAAGACCGCCGGTGCGTTTAATTGCGATATTTCGATATACAGTGTGTTATTTATAAGATGCCACATAGGGATTCCTGTAGAAATGTGTCAGAAGCAAGCTAATTTTTTTAACAAATAACGTTCGTAAAAAATAATGATAGATGAATAATCGTTTGGTACCGATTCCAGTATCTGCCGGACCGAAATACATAACGGCCAAGCGTCAATTGATGAACCAGAAGCCGCCGCGGACGGTCAAGAAGCCGATCTACATGCCGGCCACGAATTTGGAGCCGCCCCTGCCGCCCCCTACCAATTTGACGACGCAGGACATCATGGATTTGCCGATCATCTTCGCCGATGATAATCAATTGCTCGGCAACGCGGCCGGTCCTGCCGACGTTTTGCAAACGTCCGCGGCCGTCCAGCAAGCGTCCCAGGTAAAAAAACCCTTCTGAATGGTTCTAAAGGGTGTTTCAATAAGAGCGCAAGATTTTAAGGTTCAATAAAACGATGTTATCTGTAGCAAAATATGAAAATAAACTCCTGGACAAAATTAACGCAACATCATAAATTTGCCACATATTTTTTGTTTGAATTTTTAAACCGATTTGGATGATTTTTTTTTAATATAAGTTGGTTCCTTCACAATATCATAATGTTCGCTGTTTATGATAAAATGTATCTTTTTGATTATACCGGGTGTAATAAAAATGTAATGTTTTTTCCGAAAATTCGTATCACCCTGTGGAGTATACTAGCAATCGAGGCATATAGCAGTTGACATTAGACGGTAGATCCATCTTTTGCCAACATTTTCTTTTTTTGGTTTACTCCATTATCTCTGTTAATAAAGAAGATATTGCCGTTTTATAGCGTAACATGTTTTAATAGACTTTATTATTCAAAACATTGTTCTTGTAGCCTTCGAAAACCCTGGCGAACGTGGCCTCGACGAAGTACATGCTGGTGAACAAGCAAACGCTGGGCCAAGGTAATTACATTCTGACTCCGAGCATCAAGAAAGGCAGTCCCGTTACGTCGGCGTTCAACAAACCCACGCCGAAATACACGAAGATCATTTTATCGTCGAAGAAGAACAACGCGGAGGATTTGAAGCCGGTCGCTGCGAGTACGCCGTCGAAAATTCAATGCCTTTCGCCGGAAATAACGGTGAAAAAGGTTCTCTCATATTTATTTATACAGTGAGGACCAAAAGTCCGTCGCCTCCCCTTTCACTTTTGAATGGTAAAAGCTTTTGTCGCGCAATTTGGGGTGTTTATATTGAAGTAAATAGAGTAATACAAAATAATCAAAGTTTCCAGACCTGCTACATATACGACCGTGCCTTACATTGACAAATATTCAAAATGGCGCCTAACTGTCATTTTGAAAGTTTCAACTGTCATTTTTACGTCAATAAATAGTTTTTTTACTCCAATATAAACACCCCAAATTGCGCGACAAAAGCTCTTACCGTTCAAAAGTTAAAGGGGGCGAGGCAACGGACTTTTGGTCCTCACTGTATGTTTTAATTCGTGCTTAATTTTCTTCCTCCTTTGGATTCGCAGGTGCTGAGCGCGCAAGGCCAACTGATCAAATCCGAGAGTTCCACGTCGATGGAATTGGTCGATTTGGAAAACGAAATCAAAGCGACGGCCGTACCAAAACCGAATCTCTCCACGTCGGACGTGAAAAACATCAAAATTATACCGAAATTATCTACGGACGTCCAATACGCCGCTGCCAATGTGCAAAAGAGGCCTTCGATGGAAAACGTGGACGAAGGCGATCCCGATTACGTACCCCCTAAGAGCTTAAAATTAGAATAAGGTAAATTGATTTTCCTTCTTTTCGTTCGTTTGTTGGATTATTAAACTGTTTCGAGAACAAAAACTAAACTTTTTTTAACCGTAAGGCACATATTCAGTGCTTCTTTTTAACGCTAATCAACCGTTAGAGTCTCCTTAACATGACATTGACAGTTTTACATTGTTGTTATGGAGTAACTAAGGATATTCTTTCAAATTGACAGATTTACATTGTTGCTATGGAGATTCTTTCATTTTGACAGTTTTACATTGGTTGTTATGGAGTAACTAAGGAGATTCTTTCAATTTGACAGTTTGACATTGTTCCTATGGAGTAACTATGGACATTGTTTAAGCGACCCTTCAATCGATTGATTAGCGTTAAAAGGGAGCGTTGAATACGAGTCAAAAGAGCGTAAAATATCTACTTAACCCAGCCATATAACTAAAACTGCTACAATATCTAAAATATTTTATTCAAAAAGACTAAAAAGAGCATATAATCAATCCTATCTATACCTAATCCTAATTTTTGTTCTCTAACATTACATCCTGAAGAAGCGGGAAGACGTGTTCTCTGAACAAAGAACTCGTCGTTCCGTGGGTGATCGCTAAAATATCTTTGGCTATTCGAAGGTGTTTCATGGCCTCTTTCGCGTCGTTTTGGTAGTGCAGCAACTTGGCCAATTTCAAACGCAGCAATCCCGTCATCGGATGAATATCGCCGTAATATTCGCTGAACAAAAAAAAACGAATAATATCGACAACGCTAAATTTCCAAAAATATTTACTGGAAACTGTCGACGATCCGCAAGCCGTACTCGATGGCCTCGTCGAATTTCCCAAACTCCACGCTACTGTCGAAAGCCAAATCCAAAGTTTTTATGTGCTTCACGTTCTTCTTGTAAAACACGCCTTTCTGTTTGCTCAAACACGCCTTACAAACGTCCAAATCTACCTTTGAATTCAGGAAAAATATTAAAACGAAGCCCCCGGCGGGAGAGATCGATCACAGCGAAAGGATACAAGTAGTTTCCTTCATATTCTCCAAGTGCAAGTTGGTCATTTCCGTGACATCCTCGAACGTTCGAACGAAATCCTCCGTGATAACGGCGCCGCATCTAGTACACTGGTCGCCCGCTCTCATGTTCACCGAATCGATGCAATTGCCGCAGGTCTCCTCGGGACAAGCGGCCCCGGTCATCTCCCGATTCGGCTCCGGCCCCGAGCACTTCCCGCACCGGCACAGGAAGTAGTACGTTTGCTCCAGCTCCCTCTGGCGCTCCCTCTTGGTGGCCATCACGTCGATGTAGCTGATGAACACCTACGGAAGAGACCCGAACGTCGAGTATGTATCACCCATCGTACGGTGTACTCACTTTGGACCAATCCAGATCGGGGAGAGCTTCTAGGGCTCGCAATTGTAGCGTGGTGCCTTCGAATGTAACGACAGCGGTGGGTTGACAGGAATGATCGATTACGGAGGCCCCCAGGTACATGCCGGTGCCGAGGCTCTGCATTTCCTGGTTGCATATGCTGAAGGAATTCACGCACATCTGTGAAGAAGATCGTGAGATCGTTGTAAGCGAAACTCCTCGGTTATTACCCTGCCGAAGATGCCCATCAATTCGGCGGAGTTCGGAAGCGATTCGCCTTTGAAGAACTCGTACAGGACGCCGTAGAGCGAGGAGAAGTGCTCCATCCTGGCCTGGTCGTTCTTCAGGTTCGGATAATCTAAAAATACCTTCCCATTGAGTAATACAGTTATGCAATAGAGTGGCGCGCTTACGGGACATCAGGTCTTTGAATTTCCTGTATTTCTTATCGGTGTAGTAGGATTTGGTGTGGTGTCCGCCCTTTTCGAGGATCTTGATCAACCTGGCCAGCATTCTGGCCGCATCGGGCAGCACTCTCGGCGCTATTCCCTTCAGATACTGGCATTCCAGTTTGTGTATCGTCCAGCCTTCCTTCTGGCACGACCTTCCGCAGTAGTAGACGCTTCGGCACACCGAACATTTCGATAATTGGCACCTAAACAACACCGGGGCGGTAATATTAATTCCAAATTGTTCGAATAGCGCACGTACTTACTTGGTGAAGCAGTAATCGCACCGCTCCGTTCGGTACTTGGAGCACAGCACCCACACGAAGGGCTTCTCTTCCAGCAGGACTTCGCCTCGGCGGATTTCCCGTTTGGACGGCATCGTTTCGTCGACGGGATCGAGGGGGCCGCGGTCTGCGAATAGCGCGAATAGCGAGATGTTAAAAAGGTGAAAGTTTTTGGCAGGAGGTTAATGGTGTTATTTTTACCTCTGGACGGATCTTGATTTATTAATAGACCGGTAAGTTAAATTGGTAAATAGGTAACTATAAATAATGCGGTATATTTGAGCTTTGCGTTAGTGCTCTGCCTACTCGTATAGGGGTAGATTGGTTTCGTTGATTTCCTATATTTGAAATAATCGTGCGGTTGATAATAATTTTATATAGCACCTACCGTTCATGTTTTAAATAGGTGTCTTTCATGTAGTTTTCAATCCAGTTTTAAGGATCATTTGAATTTCTTGTAATTAAATTGTTAGGTTAGTTTCTCTCTTCTTCGGCAAAACAAAGAGTGCTTCTACCGTATAAGCATCCGGCCAATTTTATTCGATGTATACAAATAAAAATGCCCTTTATTTATTTAAATATATATTTTACGAAATTGTACCATTTACAAACATATCAAGAAACCTTATCACTTAAAAAAAAACCAATATTTATACACAATTTTACGCCTACACCTACTTCCTCGAACTGCCCTCTTCGTTAACATCTACAAAAAAAAATGAATTGTAATTAGACAAGTTCAATTACGACAAACGAATCGAACGTACTTTTACCATCGCATGCTACAATTTTCACTTTATCGATCTTAGTTATCTCTTGTACTTCTCGAAATTCGACATCGTTTAGCATGAAAGTCCAGACATTATCGCAAAACCTGTAGGTGTTCAGTTTGCCGGCCTTAAACGTTATCCTGGCCTTTATTCGTGTGGCCAAAGTTTGATTGATCGACTTGTCGAATTGGAGCAGGACTTTGCAAGCCAATTGCGGGGTGATTTGACCGTACTGAAACGAAGGAAACGTTAACAAACGAATGCGTAAATATCGATTGTCCTTACTTGAATTAATTCATCTAAACTCTCTTGAAGGGTATGCCCGAGAGTGGTGTTTCTGTATAATTGATAAGACATACTTTGCAGTTTAGCTACTAGTAAATTTTATACAGAACGCAATTAAATACCACTTGTACACACAAAATTCCAAACGTTTTGTTATTTACAATTTCACTCACGCGTCAATTATTGACAGTAATGACAGTTGACTTGACTTTTGACATAAGTGTGGTCTCATCAAGTGTGGTTATTTGGTAAACAGTGTGGGTTTTCTCGGTTCGGTCCACAAATAAATAGTGATAAATTTTGTAATTTTATTTTTATTATTCACAAAAAATAGTAAACAAAGAAAGAGAATATATGACGACGTGTTTTGCCATTTGTTAGTCTTCTTTTTCTTGGAATTTACAATTATTTTGTCACGATTGACACGTCACATGTTTGAAGCTAACTTCACATTGATCAACGTATAAAGTGAGGTTAGTTTTGTGATATTAATATTTCGCCTTTTTCTATAATAATTATCAACAATTTAAAGCGAGTAAAATGGTTTCTATTATAAATTCAATCGACACAGGACATGAAGATATAATACACGATGCAGAAGTAGATTATTACGGATTACGTTTAGCTACTTGTTCATCAGATAATACAATCAAAGTATACGATATCAAAAGTGGCGCATTCTCATTACTCGACGACTTAAAAGGTATTTAGTACTTACCATAAATATAATACCGTATGATTTTATTAACACACAATTTTCCTCTATTCGAGTAAGTCATTAGTTCACTCGTAAACAACCATCTATGACGCAGAATACCCTATTAAATTCCAGGCCACTGCGGTCCCGTATGGCAAATAACCTGGAGCCACCCGAAGTTCGGCAACCTGCTGGCCTCCTGCTCGTACGACCGCAAGGTGATCATCTGGAAGAGCAAAGAACAGCAACGGAAATGGCTGAAGCACTACGAATACGCCAACCACGATTCGAGCGTGAATTCCGTGCAATTCGCCCCGGCCGACCTCGGCCTGATGCTGGCCTGCGGCAGCAGCGACGGCTCCATATCCGTGCTGCGCTACAACCCGTCCGGCAACGCCTGGGAGGCCCGGAAGATCCAGAACGCGCACGCGATCGGCTGCAACGCCGTCAGCTGGGCCCCCGCCGACGTGCCCGTCTTCGGCGACCGCCAGGGCGCCGACGAGGCCGGCCACAGGATCAAACGATTGGTATCCGGGGGATGTGATAATCTGGTGAAAATTTGGAAGGAGGAAAACGATAGGTCGGTTACTCTATATCCGAGTAAAAAGTGCTTTTGTACAGTTCAAGTGTTTCAGGTGGGTGGAGGAATCGAAGCTGGAATTCCACTCGGATTGGGTGAGAGACGTGGCGTGGGCGCCATCGGTGGGGTTGCACCGGTTCACGGTGGCCAGTTGTTCGCAGGACAGGCGCGTGGTGATTTGGACCAGCGACGATTGCAGCACTTGGAACGCCACCGTGCTGCACACGTTCGACGATGTCGTGTGGAACCTGAGCTGGTCGTTGAACGGAAACATCCTGGCCGTGTCAGGCGGGGACAACAAGATCACGTTGTGGGACGAGAGCTCCGAGGGTAACTGGAGGTGCATCAGCGACGTCGTCAAAGGACAGGGCCAGGTAAATAGCCAGTAGGTTGATCGGGTTTTTTTTTGGAAGAGTTATTGTTTTGTAAAAGAGGATGTATTTGAATAAAGGAAGTTTTAGGATATAATTGCATAATATTAAACCACGGTTGTATATTTGTAAGCTCTGGAAACATACAGGTCGAGAAAGTGTTCCGTTATTTGAGGATAAAACAGGGTTCCTAAAATGGCCGCTTGGGGGCGATGTTTTAAAGGAACCCGGTTTTTTGCGTATGAATTATATAGAATTGGCATTAAGAATCTCCATTTTCTCCTCGAAATGTCAAAAAATAATTTTTGAAGTTTTGACAGCTCGAACTGTCGTTTCACACCACCGCGATTTATATGTAGCGCGACGCTGATTGGCTGAGATAAGTTGGTCCTCCGATCGTTCGCCACGGTGCGGCTCAAAAGTGAAGCTCTAAAAGTCCTCAAATAACGGGACATAATCTCTAATGCATAAGCATAGGGAGTTTCCAGAGAAATATACGGCCGTGATATTAAACAAACGCCACTACTTAAATTTTATCGTTTATTTTATCGCTACAAAATCATTACTACGTTTACAAGTCAACTGGATAAAACATTCACAAGTTCTTTTTTTAAATAAATATCAATAGTTTACGTTTAATATTATTATTAGAAAAAAAAATACTAAATGTATACGAGCACTTACCAAGTATTATTGTATTATTGCTTTTCCATACAGCGTTCAAATTACCAAAGCAACGTGAACGCACTTTAGGTCATCATTTCGAACAAAAAAACCCAACTATATACAACGTTGAAATATTTACAGAATACAATTTTTTGAAAAAAAATTTTCGCCCCCTCATCGCAAATAATATATTCCCCACGACATATTCCTACACGTCCTGCTCCTCCGCCCAAGCCGGGAAGGTCTCCAGGTCCCAGATGAGGTTGCCGTAATAGGGAAAGATCAGGAAGAGCACCAGCAGAGAGATGATGGTCATGCCGATGCCCACCTTGGACATCTCGCCGGAGGCCATGTTGCAGGGGGCGGCCGCGATGGCGTTGGGCGGCGTCGACACCGGCAGGCAGTAGGCGAACGAGCAGCAGAGCGCCGCCGGCATCATGAGGTACATCGGATGGATCTTGGCGTCGACGGACATCTCGGCGAGGACGGGCAGCAGCACGTTGGCGCACGCCACGTTGCTGGAGAACTGCGTCAGCACGGCGCCCATGCTGCCCGATATCAGCATCACGTAGTACTTGTTGAGCTGCGTGAAGCCGCGCAGGTGCTGGGCGATCATGTGGCTCATGCCGCTCGCCTTGGAGCCCTCGGCCATGGCGAAGCCGCCGCCCAACAGGAAGAGCAGGCCCCACGGCATCTTCTGCTGGACGATCTTCCAGGAGATGAGGGCCGGCGACGGCGCCTTCGGCCTGATGCGGTCGTTCTTGCTGAAGATGTAGATGAAGTCCGGTTTCGACGGGCATATGAACATTATGAGGACTACTATTAGGGCGGCCGTCGCGTCTTTCACCTTGAATTATATATCAAAAGAAAGGTTCAAGTTTTTGCTTTAAACTGGTACAAAAATGAAGCGTCTATGACGAGTACTTATGAAGTTATGATGGAAAATTGGTCTGTATCACCAAAAAGCAATTATGATCAGGCAATAAGAAAAGCAATTATGAAGAGAACAATTAAATAATTGAAAAATGAAGTTTCTATAGTAAGTAGTGTAGAAATTGAGTCGTTGTGGTGAAACGTCTAGGACGAGTACTTATGAAGTTATGATAGAAAATTGGTTTGTATCACCAAAAACGTAAAAGCAATTATGAAGAGAACAATTAAAGAATTGAAAAATGAAGTTTCTATAGTAAGTAGTGTAGAAATTGAGTCGTTGTTTGGTTTCAATTGCAATTAAATTTATACAGCATACACACACGAACGTTCCCAGGATGTTTCGAGCCGGACAATCAACAGATTAAGTAGAATTTAACACAAAGACCAGTCGAAATTAAAATTAAATTAAATAACCAAACGACTCTAAATGGGATAATTTAGGTCGTCGAATTATGTACCCGGTGGAATGTGAAAAAAAAAATCAACATTTCCTGTTTCTCGACGTTCTCGAAATCTCGACGTTTTCCTCACCTTATGGTTGGTAATCAACTCGGCCCATCCGGTAACGAACTGCGGCTTCCTGAAGAACCACAAGACGATCGACAGCAGGAAGCAACAGCCGATGGCGCCCTCGTGGAACGACATGGGCCCCAGCTGCTCCAGCTGGTGGTTGATCAGCTTCTTGGCGACGGCGGCGCCCTGCTGGCCGACGCGGATCTTCTTGGCGTCGGCGCTGTTCGGCCGGAAGAGGCCCATGTACCAGAACTGCATCCACACGATGCCCAGGTACATCATGAGCAGCATCAGCGGCACGTTGAGGATCATCCACTTGGTGAACTCGACGCCGGGACTGTTGGGGAACAGCGTCTCGTAGAGGCCTTTGAAGGTGAGGTTGGTGCCGGAGCCGATGATGCAGCCCATGCCGCCGATGCTGGCCGCGTACGCTGTCGATATGAAGTAGCACATGGTGGTCCTGGTGGGCCGTTTGGTGTCTTCGGTGGCGTCGCGTTCGATCTCCGCCTGCTGGGGCTCCTCCAGGTCGCTGCTTTCGAACATCTCGCCGATGCCTTGTTCTTCCAAGGCCAGCAGCGTGGCTTCTGCAATAACGAAAAATAGAACTGATGGTACTATGAACAATCGAAATAACTAGGAAATGAATTGATGCTCGATTGAGGTTTCTGGAACGAGTTGTTTAGGAGTAATGGATGAGAATATAGGATTGTTGTGTGAAATACAAAATATCTCTGGTACTAAAGAAGTTAGATAAATGGGTGTAAATGGAAGAATTGGAGAACGAAGATTTGGAGAGTTGAAAAATGAAGTTTTCTCTATAAATTGATACTTGATTGAAGTTTCTAGAATGAGTTGTTTAGGAGTAATGGATGAAAATATAGGATTGTTGTGTGAAATACAAAATATCTCTGGTACTAGAGAAGTTAGATAAAGGGTGCAAATGGAAGAATTCGAGAACGAAGACTTGGAGAGTTGAAAAATGAAGTCTCCTCTATAAATTGATGCTTAATTCAAGTGTCTAGAACGAGTTGTTTAGGAGTAACGCACGAAAATATAGGATCGTCGAGGAAGTCCAGCTTGTTCCTTACCAATAATGGGTATCATCATAGCAGCGGCGGCCGTGTTGGATATCCACATGGATATCAGCATGGTGACCGAGCACAGGCCGATGTTCAACCGTCTGGGGCTGCACCCGACCAACTTGATCACGTACAAGGCCACCCTCTTGTGCAAATTGCAATGCTCCACGGCTATGGCGATGATCAGCCCGCCGACGAACATCATATTGGTCTCCTTCAGGTAGCACAGCGACGTCTTGTCCGAGTCCAGGATGCCCATCAGCGGGAAGAGCACCATCGGTATGAGTGAGGTCACCGGCAGAGGGAGCACCTCGAACACCCAGTAACCTGGAAAGCCACCTTAAGTTATGGAATGTCCTCTGGATTGGAGGAGGAAGTTGTGGTTTACCTGCCATCAGCAAGACGACGTAGAGACATCGGAAGGCCGACGTGTTATTGGTGAGGAACACTGGCAACAATACTAGCGGGTAAATCACGATAAACAGCGTCTTCCAGTAGATTTTGACGGCTTGCAGCAACATGGCCGCTTTGATTTTCAAATCCTCCAAGATTTGCACTGAAACGGGACGACAAAACAGTGAGAAAACAGCCGCACTCCGTTGTAAATTGTTATATAATCGCAAATATTTTTAAATCGACGTGAAACGGACGAAGGCGGGATTTTGAAAAAAATTATATATATAATGAATACGTTAGAATATCGCGCGCGTTCGCTTGTCAAGTCGCAAGAGCGAATTAACAGCGATTCGATGACCTGGAAAGATAACGCTCTCGACTTTAAAAGGTGTCTTTGATGCTCGCGTGCGACCAATGGCGGGCGCGTTACGGGCGAGCCAAAAAAATAGTAGCTGTTACAAAATAACCGGTTATAAAGTCACTTGTCGCGAAATGTGTAGAGGTGGGTTTCGTTCGCTTGCGAGATTCGAAGAAAAGTCGAGGGAGGTACGTTTTGTAGAGGAAAGTTCGCGCTTTTCCTGGATGTATTTAGAAATAATCTAGTTGATTAAATTTTTGAGATATTTCGATTTTTATGGATGATTGGAAAATATGAGGAATATTGGAAATTAAGCGAGTTTTTCCACATTTTAACAAGTTCACTGGGTATTTTCACTCCTTTTTTCTCGAGAAGGACTCGCAATAAATCAACATCGCGAACGCTTGTAAATTAATTTCGCTGGTGCTTCATTATTAATCAAACATTTGACACGAAAACAAACCGTTCCGCGAATAGCTTCAAAAATAAACAAATACACAGGGTGTCCAGAAAATAGAAGTTAATAACTCGCGAGCGTATAAATGACATCAAAATAAGGGTATATCTTCGTATAAATTTTGTTAATTTGAGCCTCCATTTTTGAGCTAGAGGCCTTTAAAGTGGAAAATTTAAAACTTATTTTTAGGTTTTATTTCCAAGTTGTACATGGGATCAAAATAAATTTTTGTCAGAAAGAAATTTTTGTAAAGAAAGAATTTCGCATTCGGGCGCTCGAAATTTCGGTCTTCCCCTCGTATATTTGTTTTGTTAAACGAGCGACTGTCACTAAATTAATCAAGTAGACTAGCAATGTATAAATTATTTTATAGTTTATTTTTGTACCGTTATTTCGTAATGATATTCAAAATTTCGGAATGTTTTTAATCAATCATTTGGTTTTTGGAGCAACGTTTCGCGTTCACCCTGTATATGATAAATCATTGTATTATGTAAAATTCGACAGTCTTTCCTGCTAATAAATCCCACAAAATATCCATCATGCCCTCGTAAATTCGTTGGGATAATACGAGGGCCGGTCGACAATTAAACCGGCTCAAGGAGCGATGTTATGAATTCATTTGAGGTGGAGGTTATTGGTTGGTTAAAATTTTTTTCGTTCTTTCGACTTTGTCATTGACCTCGTCAGTCTTGCGATCGGACAACGATATAAATTCTAAAATTGATAAAAACCGTTCGCGGAACAACACGAGCTGTTTGTGCACACAAGGTTGAGGCAACGCGAAGGATTTACGAGCGAAAAACGCTCGTTTCAATGAAAGGAAATTTCCTTTTTTTTCAATCCGTCAATGTCACAAATGTCAAACGTCAAAAAATATAGTTCGAAATAGAAATGACGTTTTAATAAAATACTTTTGCTTATTTATTTTTCGCCTTTTCTATATGACTTATTAAGTTTAAATCGTACGAATGGATGCGTTTTTTAATTGTTTGAAAAACCCAACGAAATATTCGAAGCACCCTCGTAAATTTGTCGCTACGAGGGGACATCGATAAAATTCACTCTACACTACATTAATGACATACAGGGTGTTAAGTAATTGTTTCAAAATGAACTTGGGAAAAATGGTTTTGGTTTTTATTTTTTTACGCGAAAATGGTGCGTCGTACGAAAATAAGTCTTCTGACCGAATTTGCTACAAAATTTAGTTTTTAGAAAAAGCAGTGGTGTACCATTATTTTCAAACATATTCAGTTCAAACCCCGTACGGACGTCACTGGTGAATATTTAAAAAAATCTTATGCTTCAAAAAATGCCCCTTAATAATTAAAAAGTGTATACAAAATTTCTTAAAAATATCTGGAGTAATAAGAAAATTATGATAGAAAAGTTATTTTTTTTCTATATAAAATTTTAACATCCTGTAGCTCGAAAACTAAGAGGTTTAGGACATACTTTGATATAAACTTTTCTTCTTAAAATCAATCAAAAATTCACATCCTGAAGTATCGGCATTCAATTAATTAACGCCCTATAACACCCTATAATTATGTTCATTTCATATTCATAACAATTAAATCTTTTATAACACCCGGTATTGATTTTATTAACTCTGATAAATACTTTTTTTATAGCAAATTTAATGCACTTTTACGGTATATAATCAAAATTAATGTGACTATACGAATAAATGTGATATTTCGGTCTTTTTTGAAAAAAACCAAAAAAAAATTTAAAACAATGAAATATGTTAAATAAAAGAGAAACTATCGACTTTTCGAAAAAGTGTTATAGGACATTTTTTGTTCAAAATTACTTGTATAATCACTATTATACTATTATGAAACACTCTGTACAGTAAATACGTTATGAAATCTGTGTTATTGTTCGAATCCCGGAACAATATCGTATCAATTTCTGTTTTATGTTCTTGGAATCTCGTATTTCCGTCAATAAAATAAATCTTTATGGACGATATTTTACCCGTTTAAGTTTAATCTCCACCGTTACGAGCACAAAGATCGTTCATAAAATTTAATTGCCCGATTCTTTCCAATTAAAAACGATGTTATACATGAATTAGATAATCGATTGCGCTACGAAAGCCGAATTAATTACAAGGAATAAACGGCAATTGTAAATTCTAATTAACTGTGACATATTATTATGATTGAATGTATTGAAAGTGATTGTTTGTACGGCGAATTCCTCAGGTATTCGCTAATACATATCCACGTGTATAATGATCGAATTATCGAAATTCGCGATCGATTATTATTATTATTTATCATGGGCGTGAGCACAAAATCCATCACGCGTGATTCTCATTAACACGAAATATTTTATATTATTCCTCAAAATCCACTTTATCTGCAAGTTTTGGTTAGCAGAATTTTATTAGTAGGCTTTGGCTGTCACTGTCATTCAAACGTCACGTTATTTATTTACTTGAATTGACGGATTTTCTTTCTCTGTCAATCTATCAACCAAATGTCAATTTATTAAACGTCAAACTAATAGTAGAAAATTAAATAAAATATCCGGCTTATTTACTCGACATTATCAAATAATTCAAAAGATTCTCTTTCCTAAGTATATCGGGTTTTTTGTAACAAGTTTAACTAGATTTTTCAACGGTACATTTTCGATTTAAAATCACAGCACTCTTTGCGAGAGCGATTATAGAGGGTACTTACTGATTAAAAAGGCCGATGGTACGATCACCGCTAAATCGGTGGTGGTCATCGCGTTTGTTCCGAACAAACGGAACTAAATGGAACGAGAAACACGGCCAACTGGGAATATGCGGGGCGTGCGAATTTTTTTTATCGTTTCTAATAGGTATCGATGGAATTTATTGGGTAAAAATGCGACGAAAACACGTCAATGTCGTGATGATTCGACGGCATTTTCGATTCGATTCGATCGAGCCATCGTTTCATTATCTGAAACCTTTGGAAAAGCAAAGCACACTTGATTAGTTTGGGAAATTCTAAGAGTCTTGGGGGAAAGGTTGGCAACAAGTGTCTGTTAAGTTGGCGTTCTGTTAAATTTTCCGAAATAATTCAAACTTACTGTTGCTCAAAATTCCTTATTCACTTTATGACACACTCAAAAAATTGTTAATAAACTCTCGTTTACACCTCGTTTATATTCCCGACGCTCCTTCTATGTACCAACTAATCCGATTTAGAGCCCTCTATAACAAACTATAACCCTCGTTTACGCCTCGTTCGGTCAATCGCGTTAAATATTCCGAAATAATTCAAACTTACTGTTTGCTCAAAATTCCTTATTCACTTTATGAAACACTCGAAATATTGTTTATAAACCCTCGTTTACACCAAACGCTTCTTCTTTGTACCAACTAATCCGATTTAGAGCCCTCTATAACAAACTATAACCCTCGTTTACGCCTCGTTCGGTCAAACGCGTTAAATTTTCCGAAATAATTCAAACTTACTGTTTGCTCAAAATTCCTTATTCACTTTATGAAACACTCGAAATATTGTTTATAAACCCTCGTTTACACCAAACCCTTCTTCTTTGTACCAACTAATCCAATTTAGAGCTCTCTATAACAAACTATAACCCTCGTTTGCGCCTCGTTCGGTCAAACGCGCCTCTTCTTCAATAGCAACTCGTCGCGCAGGCCGCAGGGAAACTTTCTCAACTTTCCGAATTTTCGAATTTTCTTCTCGCTCGACGGTGGTACTGCGGTCACCATGCGCATTGTCACTCGGTACTGGCTCGTCTCGGTACTGTCCGAATTGCCGATTTTCTCCGGTTTATATTTATTCGGACGTGATAAAAGTCGATAAGAAGATGGCGACGGTGGAGGGACGATCGATTCAACTTTGAATTCGATTCCGATCGATTGCGGGCGATCTTAAGGGTCAAGGGAGTGTTTTTTTTTTGGAATTTGACCGGGCTATGAATTGTGGGAAATAGTGCAGGTAAAATTGATGGCATATTTTAGGTACCTACATATTTATTGAATTATCTATTGGTTATATATTGTAATTGCAACATACATATACCAGCAACGTGTTAATTGAACTCCGACCTAATTTTTTGTATTTTTATATTATCTAACTCGCTAAACGCTCGGAAAGGGGGCTGCGCCCCCTTTCAACCCCCCTTTCTTACGGTGGCGGCTTCGCCGCAAGACAGTTTCCTAGCCGGATCCTCGTTAGCTTCGCGAGCTCGGTGCGATTGAATTTTCGTTTGGAAATTAATCACACTCCGTATATCAATCTTTTTAAATAACCAAGGTCTCGCTCGCTGCGCGAGCTCGTCTATATCGCTGTGAATATCGATGGGCTCTGCCGCACTAACCCGCAGCTCGGAGGCCTGACGGCCTCCTACGCAAAGGCTGTTAAAAAGTAAGGTCTCGCTCGCTGCGCGAGCTCGACTATATCGCTGTGAATATCAATGGGCTCTGCCGCACTAACCCGCAGCTCGGAGGCCTGACGGCCTCCTACGCAAAGGCTCTTAAAAAACTAAGGTCTCGCTCGCTGCGCGAGCTCGACTATATCGCTGTGAATATCAATGGGCTCTGCCGCACTAACCCGCAGCTCGGAGGCCTGACGGCCTCCTACGCAAAGGCTGTTAAAAAACTAAGGTCTCGCTCGCTGCGCGAGCTCGACTATATCGCTGTGAATATCAATGGGCTCTGCCGCACTAACCCGCAGCTCGGAGGCCTGACGGCCTCCTACGCAAAGGCTGTTAAAAAGTAAGGTCTCGCTCGCTGCGCGAGCTCGACTATATCGCTGTGAATATCAATGGGCTCTGCCGCACTAACCCGCAGCTCGGAGGCCTGACGGCCTCCTACGCAAAGGCTGTTAAAAAACTAAGGTCTCGCTCGCTGCGCGAGCTCGACTATATCGCTGTGAATAACAATGGGCTCTGCTGCACTAACCCGCAGCTCGGAGGCCTAACGGCCTCCTACGCAAAGGCTGTTAAATAACTAAGGTCTCGCTCGCTGCGCGAGCTCGACTAAATCGCTCTAGTTAACGATGGGCTCTGCCGCATAGACCCGCAGGTCGAACGCCTATCGGCGTTCTACGCAAAGGCAGTCATATAGCAAGATCCTCGCTCGCTTCGCTCGCTCGGTTTATGTATAATTAACATTTCCTTAAATACGAGTCACCCTGTACTATATTTCAATTCAATTGAAAATAATTTTTCATTTAATGTTAAAAACGCTCCGTATATCAATTTTTCCGATTTCCATAATGAAAAAACACCCTGTACATCAAATTAAATGTCAATGTATCCCGTAGTAACGGAAATGACAACTTTGACAGTTTGAAATTTGTTCATCGCCGCTGTCATAAGTGTAGTTTTTTTAAAAGTGATTCGATCGTTTCACCGTTTTTGGTAAGTACAAATAACCAAGAAACGTACATTTTTGCGTATTATTGCATTTTCTTTTATGCTCGTCCATTAAAAACGACGAAATTGTCTAAATAACAAAAAAGTCTCTTATTTCGGTGTAGTTCCGTTTAAACCAAACGAACAGGCAACGTCCATCAAGTAATTTATTTGGAAATGTGTCAAAAATTTCACTTTTATTTACTTTCAAAATCGAATTACGAAAAAAAACGAATTTAGCTGGAGAAAAGAGGTAGATTTTCGTAATCAGCGATTTTTTTTACGTTTCCCCATCTACCTCCCAATGCCCCAGAAACTTTTTTTTAATTTCTCTCGCCAATCAGTCTATATCCCCTGTCAAGGGTTACATCTATATATATGTAGGATTTAATCCAAATTATAATTTCACATCGTGCAATTAGCCTTTATATCTTGGCATAAGTAGGTATTAGGTAATTTGTTAATATGTAGATAGTACTACTGTGGTACTAAATATAAGCTTGAGCTAATGTTTTATGCTAAAAATATTTTTTCTTCTGGTATTTGAACATGAATATAGTCTTGAAAAATATTTTGTGGACAAGCAATCGTTAAAACAATGAGCTTTGTTATTACCTACTACTCGAAAAATAATATTAATCATGTGTAGTCATCATCAATTAAATAGAAATTCCTTCTTTGCCACAAAGGAAGAAAGAGTTGTAGAAATACCATTTTAGTTTCTTCAAAATATGAGCAACTAATTTCTTAAAATAGTCACAAAAATTATATTTTCATCAGTAAGTCTAGACTTATTCCAGAACAACCGATTAACTATAATCTCAAAAAATATAGTAGGTGATGATATTATAAGTATTCAATAAATAAACAAACAAACAAACATCTGCATCATAATGTTATTGTTCGATTAAATTCGAATTTGATCTGTTGAATTAATTCAACTAATCAAAGGCAAATTGTTTACGATTCAATTAATTTCCCATCTTTCTTTGAATTTGTGGAATTAGTGGAAATTTGGGGAAATACCCAATAAATGGAGAAATTCAACATTTTGATCATTTAAATTGATATTCCCCATTCGTTTCGAAAAAATCAACTTTAGATACCCAATAATAACAATTTTGATTAAGCTAGAAAAATTAATTTATATAACTTATATAGATAATTATTTTGGAAAAATTTGAAGAATAAATAATGCTTGCAAATATTTAATTTCCTTGTACTATTAAAGCTACATTATGTAACAAAGAAATAAGAATTTTCTCCCTATGTATGCATTTTATTAAATTTGATAAAGTAATAATTCCCCTGGACTATTAAATAAAATTTACACTTATAGTGCAATCCAATTATTATTATCAACAAATTCTCCCGGACTATTAATGGTTAATTACAGCCCAGTCAAAATCGAGAAAATCTGTCAAGTGGCCCCCTTTTTTTAGAGAAATTGATTTTTATAGCGCAGTTTCTAACATATTATTATCTTAACATTTTCATTTACTTAATAAACACATTATCGCCGTCAGTTAATATAAATTTAAATAAAAATTAATAACAAAGATTGGGTCAAACATCAAGTGTGCATTGAACAAATTGCGTAAATAACAAACACACAAACGGATTTGTTTGTTCTTAATCGAAACTAATTAAATAATGCAACAATACATCAATGTATTTACTACTATTTTATAATAAATCCCATTAAATTTTCTATTGAACCAATCGCGAACTCCTCACAGTGTTTTATTTGCTTCAAAATTATCTTTTACAGTGCTTTTGAGCCAACTAATCGCAAACCCCTCGTATAGATCTATGAAATAATCTTGTTTTGATTCAAAATTATTCTTCTCTTTTAAACCAACTAATCGCAAACCCCTGGTAGTTCTTTGAACTAGTCCCGTTTTTTTTGCTCAAAAATCACCCTTCCCTATATGAACTACTCACAGTCCCCTCGTAATCGCTACGAGTTCATGTTGAAATGTAATAATAATAATAATAATAATATCATCTTTATAATCGCAAACCCCTCGTAGTTCTTTGAACTAGTCCCGTTTTTTTTCCCTCTACGAACTACTCGCAGTCCCCTCGTAATCGCTACCAGTTCATGTCGAAATGTAATACCTACGTCACAATCGTACACACGCGAGCCTCCTCTATAAATAATGATAAAAAGTGGGCCGGTGCGTGACGTCACGGCACCGCGTCAGCGTCGAATCGAATCGGAATAAATAGTAAATAAAATCGATTGATGAAATTCAGTCTAGTCTAGGCGAATCGAACGCCTCTCGTGTAATTTATTAACGTAAATAAACGCACACAGTTCAACGGGGTCAATGCGAATGCGATGATTTATTTTTTCTTTTCGCTCTCTGGTGTCCTTTTGTCGATTAATTAACGGACTCGCTTGTCAGCTCGGGAGGGGCTGTGCCCCTCCACCCCCGGCTTCGCCGCTGTACTATATTTCAGTTTAATTTAAAATAGTTTTTCACTTAAGATAAAAAACGCCCCGTATATCAATTTTTCCGATTTCCTTAATGAAAAAACACCCTGTACGTCAAATTAAATGTCAACGTATCCATAGAAACGCAAATGTCATCCATTTTGTCTTTCATTCGGGAATGATCGTACGTCATCGTAGATCTGAAAGTTTTCACTTCCGGTTCGACGGCAGCCGTAAAATATGCATCGATTTCGAAAAATCTTTATAATTCGAT